TCGTTTTCCGCGCTGCCCCGGCGGGAAATACAAAACGGACAGCGGTCGTATTTCGGCCTTCGGCGCGGCCGAACTCGCAAGTTGGACAAACTGGGGTCAGGATGTAATACCAACCCGCCGCCGCCGAGTTAGCCGCATACAAAAGTGAAAAGAAGGGCCCGAAAAACTCGCAGCGGCGACAATACAAGATCGGGTTAGTCGAGTGGTCAGTGTGTCTGTTCCCCATCTTCGCCAACGCGGTCGACGACACTTCGTTCGAGAATTTTGTTTCCCTCCGGACGAAAAAGGCAGGCGCAGTGGAGATCGCGCTGGCTCACTGCAGCGTTATGAAAGCGTTCCGTGTTCGGCGCGAAACGACAAATAACCTTGAATAACCCGCCAAGTCGCTCTTCTTCTTATCGCCGTTGGCTCATCGCTAAATGCACGACTTGATTCATCCCTAATTCACAGCAAACCGTTTGCCCGAGTCTGACTCAAGGCGCCTCGAGACTCGAGGGCCCGATGATGAAGCGAGTGGAGCAGACGGCCGAATGTATAACTAACCTCTCTTCTCCGCTCCATTTGAAAGGCAAACCCGAAGCGGCGCCGGGCTTCGGCTCGTTATGGTGCATTATCAACACGACCCACACGCACACACACTCACACAAGTCACACGCACGCGGATAACTTTCTTCTGCCAGATTATCTCACGCGGCGTGTCGTTTCGCAAGCTTTTGCGACCGTTCGACGCGTGGCGGCGCTGGCGGCGCTGGCGGCGCCGGAGTCCTATGAGAACGTTCTAATCGTCGGGGCAGTGAGAGAACGAGGACATTATCTGGCTCTACCGACCGCAGGCCCGCTCGCCGGCCCGCCCGCCCGCCCGCCTGCCTGCCTGCCCGCCCGCCTGCCTGCCTGCCTGCCCGCCCGCCCACCCGCCTGCCTGCCTGCCTGCCTGCCTGCCTGCCTGCCTGCCTGCCTGCCTGCCTGCCTGCCTGCCTGCCTGCCTGCCTGCCTGCCTGCCTGCCTGCCTGCCAGCCCGCCCGCCTGCCTGCCTGCCTGCCTGCCTGCCTGCCTGCCTGCCTAGTCGCGCGGCAAACATTTCACGTTTTTGCGATACGAGATCCGTTGGCTTTTTACTCCCATCGAGCGCAACGGGCATGACGGCGCGGTGGGCGTGCCGGGGAGAGGGGGAGGGGGGGTAAATCCCACCCCGGGGAGAGACAAGGCGGAGCGATGACTCGCGTGAATCCGTCTTCAATTCCGCCTGCAGCCCAATAAAGACTCTCTCACTCACACACTCACACTCACTCACCTCGGCCAGAATGGCGCAGTCGAGCGCCACAAAAGTCTCGCCGTGCATGCGCACTCTACACTATGCACACACCGACGACGCCCGAGAAAGGTCAGCGCGCGGTGAGGCCGCCCGGACGGCGCGAATGCTTCTGTAATGTGAGACAAATCGCGTGCTGGTGGAGGTGGTGGAGGTGGTGGACGCTGCCGCCACGCCGTTTTTCCGCGCCATTTTCTCCGATTGCTCCCGGTCGACGCGCACCTCGACGCGCACCTCGACGTGGACGCGCGCGCGGCTCATCTTTATTGGCAGATTGTCGGGTGGGGGGAGGGGGGAGGGGCAGCGCGGTGGCTGTAACTACAGCAGCGGCCGACACGGCGGTACGGTTCGCGCGGTGCGCGCGGTACAGGTGTGTTCTTGTTCTTGCCGGGCACGGGCCGTGACCCCCTTGCCCGCCGCGCCCCGCCGCGCCCCGCCGCGCCACTGGAAATGACGTTTACACCTGTGCGAACATGACGACCACCTCGCCGCAGAATGTCAGGTGGGTGGCAGGGCGTGGCACGCCTCGGCGCCGCGGGCCACGGCACGCACACCACCGCCCTGCTGTGCCCCACGTAATCCGTGTCAGACAGACCGCCGGCAAGCAGCAAGCCCAGCGTGCCCCAGCAGTGTGCGCGCACCACGATGACAGCAGCAGCGAGCGCGTTTTCCGCCCGCTCCTAAAAGAACGAAAAAGAAAAGTAACTGAGAAAAAACTTGGAAGTTTTGCGGCAGAAAAATCTTTCGCCGACATTCGGCCATTTGTTTGACGAGGAGAAATGGCAGTCGGCGGACGGAGAGCCGTGCCTTCGCCGTGCCACGCCGTGCCGTGCCGTGGCGGCTCAGTTACGCGGACCGCCACGCTGGAGGCGCTGGAGGCTCTGGAGGAGGCGCTGTGGGCGGTTCTCGCGATGGATGCACGGTGACGCAACGCTCGAAAAATTAAGGCTGAATATTAATAAATAAAAAGACAGGGTGATTGCTGGTTGCTGCAGACGCTGCATACTCTGTAGACGGCCAGGGCCTTCGCGCTCGGCTTGGGCAGGCCAGGCAGGCCGGCAAGACAACCCCGGCGAAATGTCAGCTCGCCGGGCTCATCCCGAACGTCGCTCTGTCTCCCTCGCACTCACGCGGCGCCCCGTCGGGGTGCGAGTGAGACAGAGCGATGTTCGCAGTGAGGCTGCAGGCCTGCGCCACCACCTTGGGGGGCGGCCCACAACGCCGCCGTCTCATTCTCCTGCACCGCTTCCTCCCCCTCCCCTCCGCCGCCTTGTAGTGCTCCACCCAGCACAGATGTATCCAGTCTCACAATGCCCCGAATTGGGAGTACGGGGGCGTTCGTCTTAACCCCATTACGTGTTATGAATCCCTCGTTGTATCCGCGTTCAAAAGAGGGCGCGGGAGCACTCAGCCCCCTTCCTCCTAGGACAGGCCGACGGCAGCCCGACGGGCCCATTGAAGGCGACGGCCTTGAGTGGCCGTGCCTCCCGCCTCAATCCGAAGGGTCGTTTCGTCGCTCTGTCTCTCTCGCACTCGTGGGCCGTTACGTGCAGGCGCGAGAGAGACAGAGCGATGAAAACGACCCTTCGGAGTCAGTCCGTTCGCCCCGTCGTCGCCAACCGAGTCGCCAACGATAACAAGACGACAATGGGGGCGCACCGTAAAAACGCGGCCCGTTTCAATGTCTCCTGAAACGTCTTGGGCTCCTCCTCGTGCCTCTAAAGATAGACAGACATGTGGGAGAGAGAGGCGACGCTGGCGGTATACGTATGAATTATCTCCGCGTGTGGCCGCGCGGTCGAATGGGGCCGAAGCGGCGTCCGTGTTGACGGCCCGTCCGTTCAGCCCGCCGGGCCGGCCGGCCAGTGCGGGGAAAAGGGCTGCTGACTTCATCTCGCGCGTATTAGTGTCGTAAATAAAGGCGACAGCCGCGACAGCACGCCCCACTTTGGAGTGCGGCCTCCACGCCACGCCAAGCCGGCCTTGACTTTCATCCCCCTGGAGAGCCGCGCCGAGCCGCGCCGAGCCGCGCCGAGCCGAGCCGTAATAAGACAGGAAAAGGCCAGTCACACGCCAAATCCCCAACACCCACCTTGTCGACGGAACGTGTGAGTAAGTTTGTGTATATGTGTGTGTGGCTGGGTGTGTATGTGTGTATGTGTGTCTGTGTGTAGGAGGGTGGGTTTTAAATCCCAGTGCGGTGGCGACAGCCCGAGCGCATTTTCCCGCCATTTTCACGCGCGCCAAGCGGCCCGGCCGGCCCACCGCCCTCTGCAAGTAAAGCCCTGGCGGCGGGGGTGGGCGGGTATGGGACGGGCAAGGGCAAGCCGGGCAAGGGCAAGCCGGCCAGGGCAGACAGGGTAAATATTTTTGGGATCCGCCAATCACTCCGAGCAAACAGGAAAGGTTCTGGAAAAAAAAGAGAGGGGGGATGCGCGGTATGTCAGTCGGAAGTGGGGGGCTGCAACGGGTGGGTGGGTGTTGCGAGGGGGAGTGGCGGCGGGCGGGGTGAAGAAGAGTTTTTATGGCGGTATGCAGATCTGCCGGTAGGGCAACGGACCTACCCTACAGAATCTAGCGCAAGAGTTAGCGGCACTGGATTTTCCGACATTTTGACAACTTTGTGAGGGCGGTGTGCCGAAACTAAGTGTATGGTCAAGGCGTTCCGGAGGCAGAGCATGAAACAGTAGAGTAGGGTCTTGAGATTGGACGCAGTGCCCATCCGAATAATCTTTAATCATCCCTAATTATTACCAATAATCATCATAATCACCAATAATCAGTATAACCGGAACCACTCATAAATCCCCCATAACCAAGTTATCAGTGTTCACGGGAATCTCGGAGTTTGTTACCCCGCGTGCCGCCTCACCGCGCTCCGAACCGCCACCGGCGCGGGGCCGCTCGCCTCTGAATTCCCTCTGAGGGATTTTCATTTTATTTTTTTATGAATCTGTCTTCGCCCACGCCGCACGCCCGGCCCGCCGCCCCGCCGCCGCGGCCTCCTCGTGGCCCTATCTAATAACCGGCTCCTGGCCGCCCGTCCGCGGGGCGGGGCGGGGCGGGGCGGGGCGGCACCCAACACCCGGCCTCCCCAAAGAGATCCCAGACGCCGGATAGAGATCACTTAATTAGGCGCCCAGGGGCGTCTGCCGAGCGATTCCGGGGAGTCTCTCTCCCTACTGTCTCTCTCGCACGCTTACGGGTCGCCCCAGGAGTGCGACGGAGAGGGAGCGCCGCAAGCGGCCTTGCGGATCGGCCCCCTGGCTGGGGGCTGGCGGAGATCAAGGAGAGCCTTCTGCTGGCCCTGCCCGACCCGGACCGCCCCGACGTGGCCGACGTTGGCTGTCTCTGTCTAGCTCGCCGACGTGTCGACGAGTCCCGGCGCTGCTGTCGCCGCTGTCGCCGCTGTCAAAGACGTCCACTTGACTGGCCTGTCATCACGCGCCGTGTTTGACGCGCTATTCGCACGACGGCGTGACATGAGCAGCGCGGGAACCTCAGTGGGGACGCTCCGACGGCCTTGAACGCGGTGTAGACGGCGTGCCCGGGCGTGCCTGGGGGGCGGGGCGTCCGTACCAGCTCTCGCAGGCCACCGCGGGCCTGGCGGGGTGCCGCTGTGATGTCGGAAGGGTGGCCTACTCGGCAGGCGTAGGCCGCTCCGTCCTGCCCCAGTCGACACGGCCTCGTTATGAGGAAAATTCTCCTCGCAGTTGTAACTCTCGTCGTTAAGTCTATGTTCGACCAGTGTGCTGCCTTCCCCCACAGCGCGTTCTTACCCCCAACCCTCTGCCACAGGTGCTGCTGGCTGCGCACGTGGCGCCCCAGGACTACTTCGCCGCGAACGCCGACGGCGACAATGACCTCCTGGACGCCGAGGTGGCGGAGACGGCCGCCTTCGGCTCGCGCACCGCGCCGCGAGCACGCCGCTTGCAGCTGGACACGGGCCCGTCCGCCGCGGAGACCGTGGACTCCACGACGCCGGCCTCCACGACCACCACGACCACGACCCTGTCGCCGAGGTCCTTCATCCGCGTGCGCGCCGGCGGTCGACGCGGACCTCCCAGCGGCGGAAACGGCGGCCGCGCCAGGGCCATCGTCAGCGTGGTGAACCCCAACGACGACGAGACCTTGCAGACCCTGGGCTCCGGCGACATCCGGTCGCTGCGCCAGCGGCAGGCCGAGCTCCAGGACTCCGGCCGCGAGCTGCAGGACCTGCAGGACCAAGGCGCCGGGCACACCCACATCACGCGCCTCGACGTGGACTGCAGCAGCGCGGGCATCGGCGTCACCCTCGAGTTCCAGGACGACTTCGCCGGCGTCGTGTACAGCAAGGGCTACTACGACGACCCCGCCTGCAGGTGCGTGGCAGGGGCGGAGTCCTTACGGAGTCCTTATGGAGTCGAGGTCCTTGATGGTCCATGAGGCACTGCGATAAATTTGGCGGGCTAACTCGGCCGCGGGCCACGCCCATGATCCACGGACCTTCATCAGGACAATGACTGTGTTCCACGTTCACAAATAAATTGTCCCGCCCTCCCGGCCGGAGGCAGGCAGAGGACGGCGACATCGCCAAGGCCGACAGAGAGGGAGAGAGAGGGGGGAGAGGGAGAGACGAGGACTGCGCCTCGCTGCTAGGCTACGCAGGCTACGCAGGCTACGCAACGCGCATTTCTAATGAGCGCGCTACCGTCTTTTGTCCCTTCTTAATTTGGGGAGCTGGCCCGCCGAAGCGGCAAGCGCCACTGCTTCTGTGTCCAGAAGTGGACCTGCATGCCTGTTGCCTTTGCCGCACTGTTGCAGGGTGGATCAGTCTCTCTCTCCCTCTCACCCCCGCCGCTCCGGGGCAGGCGGCAGCGAGCGGTAGGCACCGCGACTGACAGCCGGGCGCGCATTGTATCTGGAGCACCCTGTGGAGAGTGGCGCCGAGTCCCGAGGGCGGCGTACACTGAAAATTGCAGAATGAGCCTTCGCTCCATGAAGACCATGAAGACGGAGGGGAGGAAGGGCCGCTGAAACGCACCCTCGGGAGGGGCAGCATAATTGGCTGCATGGCTGGCCATGTATCGGGAAGGGGGATGGGGGTGGGGGGCACTGGAGAGGCGCGCACCACCAGCTACCAACACGACACCTCCCGGGACGTGTCCCCCACCCCACCCCGCCCTCTTCGCAGCCACCCCCCCGGGACCCCACCTCCCCACCTTCATTACCTCACGCCAGTCATAGACACCCCGTCCGAAATCAACGCGTCGTGGTATCGCCGAGTGGATAGCGTTCTGAACCTGACGGGTTCGTTTCCACCAATTTTTTTTTCTGCTTGAGAACCCAGCCCTGTGTTAGAGTACAATTTTCTGCTCTGTACAAGTTGTGGTTCAATTGTTAGTTGACGTCTCTGTTTCTCCGAGACCCCTCTTGACTCCCCGAACACGTGTCCGTTTATGGAGGCAGTTATCGGCGAGGCTGTAAAACTCGCCTCGATTCGCCAGGTCCGCCGGCGATGTTGCGCGATGTTGCATGAAATCATGGAGCACCTGGAGGCCTCTAAGCTGGCCAGGGCCTCGGCCAGGGCCCAGCGCGGCCCGCCGGGGAGGCGAGGCCTGCGACAAATGGATGTGATTTCTTCAGGGATCGTTGGGAGGAAATTGGATCCCTTGTGGGAGCCTAGCGCGGCAAGGCGGCACAGAGCGCGCAGAGCTGCCGTCTGTTGGATTCCTGAGGGTCTGGAGCAGTCTGGGGCGGCGGGCAGTGGCAGGGGACAGGGAGGGGGCATCGCCACACCGGCCAGGCCACCACCTGTGTCCTGCGTCGTTGCGTCGCCGCGTCCCCGTGTGTGACGCGGTGGTCGTCGGGGCGGCAGCGGCGCGGAGCCCTCCATTCCCCCAGGACGGTGACGCGGACAGTAACGCTCGAGCGGTGGAAAAAGAGAAAGAAAAGGAGAAATGAAAAAGGTTGATAAGATGATGAACTCTCCCTCTCCCTCAGATTCGTGTCCGCCGGGGCGGGCCGCCGATCCTTCCAGTTCAACGTGCCGCTCCGTGGCTGCGGCTCCCGGCCCAGCACGGCGGCCTGCAGCCAGCCCGGCGCCGGCTGCGGCGGCCGCATCGAGAACGTGCTCGTCATCCAGACGGACGACACCGTGCAGGTGCGCACCCGACATCCACGTCACGCCGCGGAAAAAGAACAGTTTGTTTAAAATAGCGGCGCCTTGCAGGAAATATGGGACGTGGCACGCAAGGTGTCTTGCGCCGCCCCGGACGCCAACGAGAAGACCATCGCCTTCAAGCCGTTCGTCGTGGACATGCTGGAGGTGGTGTCCGTGCCCGTGTCCTCGGGCTCGGTCGACTGCTGGATGGACATCCGACGCGGCATGTTCCCCAACGTGAGTCATCATGCGTCAGGCCTGTGGTGTGTGTTCAAATTCTTAAAGAAATTGAGAAAATCTTTTTGTGCGCCACAGACGCAGCCCCTGGAGGACGTCATCAAGATAGGCGAGCCGCTGTCCATCCTGGTGTACCTACGCGCCCCGAGCGAGCAGTTCGATGTGCGCGTGCGGGACTGCTGGGCCTTCGACCAGGAGGACTACGAGGCCAGGGACACCCACAAGCTGCAGCTCACCGACAACGAGGGCTGCCCCAGGTTGGAGTCCGATCTTCTGGCCCAATGCCCGGCTGTTCGCGCAGTGTGTACAGTGTACAGTGGGAGCCAATTTCGCGGTGTGTGCTTCCAGGAAGAAGAAGTTGATCGATGACTGGAAGAAGACGACGGAGACGGGCGACTCTGGCGCCAACATCATCGCGTATAACACCCTGAAGGCCTTCAAGTTCCCCGACAAGGTGCAGGTCTTCCTCACGTGCAACATCGAGGTGAGCTTTTCTGTTGGTTTTGAGGCCGATGCGAATAACGAATTCCCATTGTTGGTCTATCGATACATTTCCGCCGCAGGTGTGCAACGGTGCGTGCGCTGGGCGATGCGGGGGCGCGTCCACGGGGCCGCCGCCCGTGCCAGCCCCGCGGCTACCCCCGGCCTCCAGCCCCGCACCGCCACCGTCCTGCTACCCCGGCAGCCCGGACCCCCGCTGCCCCCAGGCGCCGCCCCCGGCCCCTACGACAGTGCGCCCAGTCGCGCCCCCCAACTGCTACCCCGGTAGCGACGACCCCCGCTGCCCTCCGCCGCCGCCTCCGCCGGCCAGGCCCAACTGCTACCCCGGCAGCAACGACCCTCGCTGCCCGCGGCTGCCCCCGCAGCGTCCGGTTACGACAGAACCGCCGCCGCCACCGCCGCCGCCGTCGTCCAACCTCAACTGCTACCCAGGTAGCCCGGACCCCAGATGCCCGCCACCGCCGCCGCCCCCACAGCCGACACGGCCGCCACCGTCCTGCTACCCTGGCAGCCCCGACCCGCGGTGTCCGCAGGCCCCAACGACGACGTCGAGGCCCCCACCGCCCCCGCCCGCGCCGCTCAACTGCTACCCTGGGAACAGGGACCCGCGGTGCCCGCCCTCACCGCCACCACCCACGGCGGCCCCGCCGAGCCTCGCGCCGCCTAACTGCTACCCAGGTAACACTTGCACACAAAGCGGAAAGTAAACTCAAAACGCAAAAGAAAGGCAAAATCTTAAAGCTAAAATTAAAACCAGGAAACCGGGACCCTCGCTGCCCACCGCCGCCCGCCAGCCCCGCGCCGAAGCCAAACTGCTTCCCGGGCAACGACGACCCTCGGTGCCCGCGGCCCGGACCGACAGGACCGCCAGGACCCAGGACGGAGACGCCCTACCCGCCGCCCACCCCGCCAGCGCAGCCAGCCTGCTTCCCGGGCAGCCAGGACCCCCGTTGTGCACCGCCGCCACCCCGCACACCGAGGCCCACGACATACGCGCCACCCCCGCAGCCCACGTCCCCGGCCTGCTACCCGGGCAGCCCCGATCCCAGGTAACGACTCAAACAGTGGAGGGTTAGAGGCCTACGTGTCGGAGTACCTGCAAATTGTTTTATTTTAGTTTTCGAAGTATTTAAATCACGATAAAACCAACAATCGTTCTCCGATTAGGTGCCCCAGGCCTCCAGGCCCACGGCGAGAGCCAGCAACCTACCTGCCTCCCGAGACGACCACAGCCTGTTACCCCGGAAGTCCTGACCCACGCTGCCCTCAGCCACCACCGAGCACCACATCGCGGCCAAACTGCTATCCGGGCAGTCCGGACCCGCGGTGTCCGAGGCCACCACCGACCCCGAGCACGACCGCAAGGCCCAACTGCTACCCTGGTAGCCCAGATCCTAGATGCCCGCAGCCTCCACCGCCAACCACGACGGCTAGGCCAAACTGTTACCCTGGAAGCCAAGACCCGAGGTGTCCGCAGCCACCGCCGCCAACGACGACGGCCAGGCCCAACTGCTACCCTGGTAGTCCTGACCCTCGGTGTCCGCAGCCTCCTCCCACCACCCCAGGCCCCAACTGCTACCCGGGTAGCCCAGACCCCCGATGCCCGCGCCCGCCACCGACGACCTACTCTCCGCCAACCACGCCCAGGCCGAGCTGCTACCCCGGCAGCCCGGACCCGAGGTGTCCGCAGCCGCCACCAACATCCCGCGCTCCTGCCACGTACCTGCCGCCGTCTACGACGACCCAGCTGAGCTGCTACCCGGGTAGTCCGGACCCCCGTTGCCCTCAGGTGCCGCAAACCACCCCCAGGCCGAGCTGCTACCCCGGCAGCCCCGACCCGCGCTGCCCGCAGCCACCACCGAGTACGACGGCGAGGCCGAACTGCTACCCTGGGAGCCCCGACCCGCGATGCCCGCGTCCACCGCCGGTGACTACTCCCAGGCCACCGCCGCCGCCCCCTCCCACCACTTCGCGGCCAAACTGCTACCCCGGCAGCCCCGACCCGCGCTGCCCGCAGCCACCGCCAAGTACGACAGCGAGGCCAAACTGCTACCCCGGCAGCCCCGACCCGCGCTGCCCGCAGCCACCGCCAAGTACGACAGCGAGGCCAAACTGCTACCCTGGAAGCCCAGACCCGCGCTGCCCGCAGCCACCGCCTACCACTCCCGCCAGGCCGAACTGCTACCCCGGCAGCCCCGACCCTCGCTGCCCCCGCCCGCCGCCTACAACCACGCCGTCTAGCTGCTATCCTGGAAGCCCTGACCCTAAGTAAGTCCCTTCCTCTCGGGGCCTGTCTAACTTACGTGTCCGACGCCACTGATTTTTTTTCCGACATGAAATTGTTTTCAGACACTTGAATAAATGAGGCAATCTGTCTTTCAGGTGCCCAAGGCCACCGCAGCCTCCTTCAACGAGGCAGCCAGCGACATACCTGCCGCCGGAGCCGACAACTCCACCTTGTTTCCCGGGCAGCACGAACCCACGTTGTCCGGCACCTCCTACACGACCTCCACCGCCACCACCGCCCACGACATCGAGGCCGAACTGCTATCCTGGCAGTCCAGATCCACGCTGTCCACAGCCTCCACCACCAACCACGACATCGAGGCCCAACTGCTATCCTGGCAGTCCGGACCCTCGTTGTCCACAGCCTCCACCAACCACTACATCGAGGCCGAACTGCTATCCTGGCAGTACAGATCCTCGTTGTCCACCGCCTCCACCTCCAACCTCGACACCCAGGCCAAACTGCTATCCAGGAAACCAGGATCCCCGCTGCCCGCGCCCACCTTCGACCCCCTACGCCCCGGCGACCACCCCCGCGACGCCGGCGTGCTTCTTTGGCAGTACCGATCCCCGCTGCCCTCCGGCGACAAGGCAACCACCGCCGCCAACCACCGCCAGACCAAGCTGCTACCCCGGCAGCCCCGACCCAAGGTGCCCGCAGCCCCCACCAAGCACAACCCCGCGGCCGAACTGCTATCCAGGCAGCCAGGACCCGCGCTGCCCGCGGCCCCCAAGCACGCCCTACGCCCCGCCTAGCACCCCGTCCACGCCAGCCTGCTACCCGGGCAGCCCGGACCCTCGGTGCGCGCCGCCGCCGCGCACCACCAGGCCCCCGACCTACGCGCCACCGCCACCACCGACCACGCCAGCCTGTTATCCAGGCAGCCCCGACCCCCGATGCCCGAGACCTCCAGGTCCTCCAAAAGAACCAGTGCCCTACCTTCCGCCAGTCACCACAGCCCAGTGCTTCCCAGGCAGCCAGGACCCTCGCTGCTCGCCGTCAACGACTCCGAGGCCGAATTGTTACCCGGGCAGCCCTGACCCTAGGTGTCCTCAGCCTCCCCCACCAACAACGACCTCCAGGCCTAATTGTTATCCTGGCAGCCCTGACCCAAGATGTCCTCAGCCTCCTCCACCAACTACAACCTCAAGACCGAACTGTTATCCAGGCAGCCCTGACCCTAGGTGTCCTCAACCTTCTCCACCAACTACGACATCCAGGCCGAATTGTTATCCAGGCAGTCCTGATCCAAGATGTCCCCAGCCTCCGCCGACGCCTGCCCGGCCCAACTGCTTCCCCGGCAGCCAAGACCCCCGCTGCCCCCGCCCTCCGTCCACCCCGTACCCGCCAGCCACTACCCCCACAACGCCGGCGTGCTTCCCTGGCAGCTCCGACCCTCGCTGCGCGCCACCGCCGCGGCCCACACCACCGCCAACCACGCCCAGGCCGAGCTGCTACCCCGGCAGCCCGGACCCAAGGTGTCCGCAGCCGCCACCAACATCCCGCGCTCCTGCAACGTACCTGCCACCGTCTACGACGACCCAGCTGACCTGCTACCCGGGTAGTCCGGACCCCCGTTGCCCTCAGGTGCCGCAAACCACCCCCAGGCCGAGCTGCTACCCCGGCAGCCCCGACCCGCGCTGCCCGCAGCCACCGCCGAGTACGACGCCGAGGCCGAACTGCTACCCTGGGAGCCCCGACCCGCGCTGCCCGCGTCCGCAGACCACTCCTTACGCGCCGGCAACCACTCCGACGACGCCTGCCTGCTTCCCTGGTAGTTCCGATCCCCGCTGCACCCCGGCTCCACGCCCGACGCCTCCGCCCACCACCCCCGCGCGGCCCAACTGCTATCCCGGCAGCCCTGACCCACGATGCCCGCGGCCGCCCCCAACGACCACGCCTAGGCCGACGCAGTCTAGTTGCTATCCCGGCAGCCCAGACCCAAGGTACTGATTAAGTTTGTTTCAGATTATGCGAGTTTCTGGCCTTGGTGTTAATTTTCAAATTATGCAAACTAACATTGTATCTGTTTCAGATGCCCGCGGCCTCCACAGCCACCCTCGACGAGACAACCGGCCACGTACTTACCTCCACCTCCACCGACGTCCTCCCCTTGCTACCCGGGGAGTCAGGACCCCCGATGCAGCACTCCGACGACACGGCCCCCACCGCCGCCCCCACCGACCACAACGAGACCTAATTGTTACCCAGGAAATCCGGATCCGCGGTGTCCTCAGCCTCCGCCCACAACTGCACAGCCCAACTGCTACCCCGGCAGCCCTGACCCGAGGTGCCCACAGCCAGTGCCCACGACCACATCCAGACCCAACTGCTACCCCGGCAGCCCTGACCCGAGGTGTCCACAGCCAGTGCCCACGACTACATCCAGACCCAACTGCTACCCCGGCAGCCCTGACCCGCGCTGTCCTCGCCCACCCCCGACCACCAGCCCGCGCCCACCTCCTCCCACCCCCACACCAACAAGCTGCTATCCGGGTAGCCCTGATCCGAGGTACGAGAAACACTTGGGTGTTTACATAGCCAACAATAACTAGTTCGCTAATATTGACCATTATGCTAATGATGTTCGTCTTGCAGGTGCCCCAGACCGCCCCAGCCTCCATCAACGAGGCAACCGGCGACGTACCTGCCACCGGTGCCGTCCACGCAGCCCCCTTGCTTCCCGGGCAGCAGCGACCCACGTTGCCGCCCACCCCCCACGACTCCTCCAAGGCCGAACTGCTACCCCGGCAGTCCGGATCCCCGTTGTCCTCAGCCGCCGCCAACCACCACGACATCCAGGCCGAACTGCTACCCAGGAAGCCAGGACCCTCGCTGTCCCCGGCCTCCATCCACCCCCTACGCTCCCGCGACCACCCCGTCGACGCCGGCGTGCTATCCCGGCAGTCCGGACCCTCGCTGCGCGCCGCCGCCACGCACCACCAGGCCCACGACGTACGCGCCGCCTCCACCACCGACCACGCCGGCCTGCTACCCGGGCAGCCCGGACCCAAGGTACGACAGCGCGACCAGGAAAGACCTAGCGAATGAATACGAAAATGCCAAGTAGCGACCTGACAAGACTTCAGAGAAACGCGTGGTGAACCCTTTGCAGTGCTGCACTGGTGACGCAAACTCGCTGGGCAGAACGCTGCAGGAGTTTGCGTAACAGGAAAGAAGCGGTTCCTAGCAGAGCTTAATAGAGGCCCTTGATGAGAAAGGATGAAAGTTGTTTACAATTACCTAATTACGCCTTCTTTCTCTGAATTTCGCTTTGCAGATGCCCACGGCCTCCGCAGCCTCCGTCAACAAGGCAGCCAGCCACATACCTTCCCCCGGCCCCCACGACATCACCCTCGTGTTACCCGGGCAGCCCCGACCCCCGCTGTGCTCGTCCTACAACCCGGCTGCCGCCTCCACCGCCACCGCCGTCCACCACATCAAGGCCGAACTGTTATCCAGGAAGTCCTGACCCGAGGTGTCCGCAGCCACCGCCGCCAACCACGACGGCCAGGCCCAACTGCTACCCTGGTAGTCCTGACCCTCGGTGTCCGCAGCCTCCTCCCACGACCCCAGGCCCCAACTGCTACCCGGGTAGCCCAGACCCCCGATGCCCGCGCCCTCCGCCGACCCCATACTCTCCGCCAACCACGCCCAGGCCGAGCTGCTACCCCGGCAGCCCGGACCCGAGGTGTCCGCAGCCGCCACCAACATCCCGCGCTCCTGCCACGTACCTGCCGCCGTCTACGACGACCCAGCTGAACTGCTACCCGGGTAGTCCGGACTCCCGTTGCCCTCAGGTGCCGCAAACCACCCCCAGGCCGAACTGCTACCCTGGGAGCCCCGACCCACGATGCCCGCGTCCACCCCCGGTGACTACTCCCAGGCCGCCGCCGCCGCCCCCTCCCACCACTTCGCGGCCAAACTGCTACCCCGGAAGTCCAGACCCGCGCTGCCCGCGCCCACCTCCGGTGACCACTCCCAGGCCTCCACCACCACCCCCTCCCACCACTTCGCGGCCGAACTGCTATCCCGGCAGCCCGGACCCGCGATGCCCGCAGCCACAGCCCACCACACCGTCGAGCTGCTACCCTGGGAGCCCAGACCCACGGTACGACTGTTAACTGGTTTTTAGCAGCAGTAGACGAAAGCGGGGATTGTTGCACGGCAGTCTACACACAGGCGTTTTGTTTCTTGCAGGTGCCCGAGGCCTCCACAGCCGCCTTCAACGAGAGAGCCAGCTACTTATCTGCCCCCTGCGCCGCCGACGTCTGCCCCGTGCTTCCCGGGAAGCACCGACCCGCGTTGTCCGCGACCGACGACGCGCCCGCCTCCACCCCCACCCCCGCCAACTACCTCCAGGCCCAACTGCTACCCGGGCAGTCCGGACCCGCGGTGCCCTCCTCCACCCCCGACCACGACATCCCGGCCCAACTGTTTCCCGGGAAGCCAGGACCCACGCTGCCCGCGCCCGCCGCCGCCGACGTACGCGCCGCCAAGCACCCAGCCAGCCTGCTACCCTGGCAGCCCCGACCCGCGTTGCGCCCCACGGCCAACACCCCCGCCAACCACCCCACAGCCCAGCTGCTACCCAGGCAGCCCCGACCCGCGGTGCCCGCAGCCTCCTACAACGAGGCAGCCGTCGACGTACCTGCCTCCGGCCACGACGCCGCAATGCTACCCGGGCAGCCCCGACCCGCGTTGCCCAAGGCCCCCCACACGACCACCGCCGCCGCCCCCGGTGACCACCCCCCGGCCGTGCTACCCTGGCAGCACGGACCCCCGCTGTCCGACTGCGCCACCCGCGCCAAGATGCTTCCCCGGAAGTACCGACCCGAGGTAAGTGGATTGGATTTCGTCCTCCGTGTTTATTCAGCAGTGTGTCTTCGTGTCTCTGTCTCGTGGTACTCACCCCCTGGCATCCGCTGCGTGCACAGCTGCCCCCAGCCACCCCCACAGCCGCCGCAGTGCTTCCCCGGCAGCAACGACCCGCGCTGCCCCCGGCCGACGCCGCCGCCCTCGCCGCCCTCCACGACGCCGTCCTTCTGCTACCCCGGCTCGCCCGACCCGCGCTGCCCGCAGCCGGTGTCCCGCCTGCCGCCCATGCCGTACCTGCCGCCCTTCCCCGACAGCCCCGGCGCCGACGAGCCGGCCCCTAACTGCTTCCCCGGCTCCAAGGACCCCCGCTGTCCCGCCGTGCCCAGCGGCCAGGCCTCGTACCTCGCGCCGCCCAACTGCTTCCCCGGGTCCACGGACACGCGCTGCAACGGCTTCACGGAGGGCAGCCAGGCGCAGGGCAGCGAGCTCGTGCCGCAGTTCCACTTCCTGCTGCCCACAGGTTCGAAACCGCGCCTCTCGCCTGCATTTCGTAACTTTCGCTGCGCTGTGAATTTACTCGATTGACTTTATCCCTTTGCAGAGCTGAGCCGTGACGCCGACCCACCGCACCAGCGCAACCGGAGGGACGTCGGCGACCTGGAGGCCGCGCCATCCGCCTTCCACCACGCCGCCGACAAGCAGCCCGAGCAGGAGGTCATCTCGCTGCGCCTCGGCGTCCGCGGCCTGCGCGTCAGTCAGGCGGCCGCGCCGGTGCGCGCGCGCCGCGCCGTGGACGCCGCCGCCCCCGAGGACGCCGTCAGCGGCCCCGCGGGCACGACGGGCACGACGCCGCTGGCGCTGGCGGGCGGCGCGCTGCTCATCGCCACGCTGGCCGTGGCCGCGGCCCTCGCGTCCTGGCGGCGCCGGCAGCACGTCGCGGAGCTCGCGCTATAGTGCCTCCTCGCCGCCGACGCACGCGACATGTACCTGAGAGACTCCCCGGAGTGCCAGTCGGCCCTCAATAGCATCCGGCCACGGTCGTGCCTACACTGGGGAGAAAAGCTGCGGCCCGCGGCCCGGCGCGCCGTTCCCGCCGGTTCAGTTGTGCACCCCGCCGCCCTGCCGCCGAGCGGGGCGACGGGGCGATCCCCCGGGGCCCGACCGACGGCCACCGCGGTCCTGAATAACGAAACAGCGCCGAGTTCGCGCAAGTGCCGGCAGCCCTGAGACCGCGGAAAAATGAAGGGGAACTCAACGAGGTTCACGTACACTGTACGCACGCGGCGCGCGAGACGCACGCCCGGCCGGTGCGAGTACAAACAGTGATAGGGACGAGTGCAAACAGTGTTCGTGGGAGTGCCGCCCCTGCCGCCACTGCCGCCAGGTTCGGCAGGAGCCGGCGTCACTCTCGGCGTTTCTACGTGTGTGGCATCACCGCCTTGTATCGCTATTGTGTAAGCCTTCCCTTATGCTGTCATTTTTTTTTTTTCATCGTTGGTAGAGGGATCCTGCTCTTCCCAGTTTTTCATACTCTGTCGCTTTTCGTTTCTCATCATTTGCCACACGCTGTACAAACGAGGGAACGCGCGGCCGCTAGTGTGTATTTATTGTGTCAGGTCCACTGGTCGATGGGTCGGTCAGGGACCGATTGATTGATAAATTGATCGAAGTGCCATTCATTTTCAAGAGATCTTCATTCATGCATTCGCCTCATCCTCTGAGGTGCCTTTTTGTTGCCTCATGTTTCGTGTGATAAAGACAGTGTACATGACGATAAGTTGTTAGTGTAAGTTTACGTAGTTTTTATTAGTTTCCTGTACGCGCTCAATGTGATGGAAAGCTTGACAAATAAAGCTTATTTTCATATCTTTTTAAATAGTTGTTTTATTTTAAAAAGTTACACTGGGGCTACGCCACCTAAGTTGGTCCGTAATTATCATTTTTTTTAAGATGAAACATACAAATGCAAAATCTTGACACACTCACACACACTCACACACGTGCTCAGGTAAACAAAATTAAAAATAGGTTTTTTTTTTGGTATTGTGGTCTACTTGTTGACGACGCTCTTGAACCACTGGCCGAAGTGCTCCGCACCGTCGCCGTTCACCTCCTGGTAGGAGTCGACCTTGGACTTGCAGTCCGCCAGCCATCTCGACACGTTGGGGTACTTGGTCAGGTCGACGACCTCGGTGGCCTGGAAAGAGAGTGAAAGCCAAGATTAGCGACATGACGCCTGCCATCAGCGAGGTAGGCAACCACTGCGGCCGCCCCGGCCACGACGCTCACCTCGATGGTGGAGACGGAGGAGAGCAGGGAGTGGTCGGCGATGGTGATGTTGTCGCCGGCGACGAACTTGCTGCCCTCCAGGAAGGTGTTGAGGAAGCCGAGGGCCTCCTCGAGCTTCTTCAGCTTCTCCTCGTCCTTGGGGGCGCCGCCGAACATCTGGGGGTACTGCGGCACGACAGACAACGTTCAAATTTACCGCCAGTCACTACACGGATTTGCCATGTCGATGGTGCGGCTTAAAGACTTACGGCGTAGTCTCCGAAACGCTGGTACACGGTGCCCATGTCGAAGAACAGGCGCTGGTTCACCAGGGCGCGCTTCTCGGGCTCCTTGGGGTACAGGGAGGAGTCCTTGCCGTACTTGTCGGCCAGGTACATCTGGATGGCGCGGCTGCACAGAGGGACACGTTAGCGACCGTCCTCGGCTCAACAAGACCGCAACGATACCCCTCGCCGTCGGCGGGGAGTAGCGCCGCCTCGCGGCTCCCACGTGTGGCGCTACTCCGCGCCACAGCGCGAGGGGTATCGCCAACGCCAGGCGCAGCCACACTGCAAGCCCGAATAGAGCGGAGCTTTCTCTCTTTCTCTTACCTCTCCCACAGGTAGAGGCCGTTGTCGTCGAGCGTGGGCACCGTGTGCTGGGGGTTCATCTGCAACGAAACGGAAACGAGTATCAGTCGAACCGTTTGCCGGCGAGGCGGGTTTACGGTTTACAGCGAGCGCAGCGAGCCACTTCCCGAGGGACTTTACGACGCGGATAACGGATTTGGTCCGTGCCCTGCCCTTCCCTCCGGTCTCATTCGCCGGAAACGGCTTTCGCCGACTCATCGCGACGCGGCACGCGGCCGGACGTTTTGGCGCGAAAAGGCGCTCGAGTCCGACTGGCCGTCGCGGCGGAACCCGTTTACGACCCAGGGGGCCCCGAGGTGCGAACTCACCTTGATGAACTCGGGGGTCATGTGCTCGCCCTTCATCAGGTTGGTCTCCTTGAGGTTGAGGTCCACGCCCACGGCCTTGGCGGTGATGAGCACGCCGCGGCAGGGGGCGGAGCCCGCGATGTAGTACAGGTCGATGGGCATCTAGAAAAAGGAGAGGAGAGGCGGAGTTAGATTGGAACAAGTGGCTTTGTCGAAGGACGGCGACGACGGCGACTGGCGCGGCCACGCGATGCCGGCCGTCGTGACGGTGTTCTGGTACGCGGCGGTGCACTGGACAACAAGGACGCCGACGAGAACATGACCACGGTGACGCAACCGCGGCACGACGAGGCGCACTACTACACTGCAAAACTGACAGAAAGATGGGACTATTCCCAGGCTCTGGAGTCGGTTTGTGTCTGTGTTCGTGCCGCAGTGTGCTGGACCGCTGGAGTCTGGCGCCGGGCAGCGCGGACGCCGCCAAGGACACGGTGTGGTGGGCCTGCAGCGCCGTTGCCAGGCAGCTAGAGCTAGGTGTAGCTAGGTGTACGGCGTGCACCACTCCGAGGCGGCACCGCCCAGTCGGCAGTCGCCACAAACGGCCGTTGTTGTAGGTGCGCGCGGTGTGCAGTGGGCTTGTCAAGTGCTCTGAGCGGCAATATCCGCTCAAATCGAAAAGCCCGGCCAACCATGCCGATGATGGAAATAGCGCTGGCAGCCCGCCACGCCCCGCCACGCCACGCCCCGCCACGCCCCGCCACGCCGGCCGGCGCAGAGTTGCATGCGCTGCAAGTCTCTGGCCGCCTCTAGCCAGTCTCTAGGAGGCCGGCGAGCGGGGGCACGGCACGGCACGACGCCGGCCGGCCGGCAGGAGTCCATGAAGGCACCATTCCAGGCCGACCGGACGGCCGGACGCCCAGAGGAGGGGAGCGGGGCTTCGGCCGGAAAGGGGGGCGGGGAGGGGGGCGTAGCGTGCTCCCTAGGCCGCCAAGGCCACCCCCCTCCCCCCTCCTTTTCCCTGGTATTTTATTCCCGACTCCTTCTCTCTCGTTTTCTATATTCCCTTTCTTCTCCCACCGCCGCACAGCGCCGCCAACACGGCCCGGTTGCTAGGCAACGCTACGGCCCAACAACGCATACCAGAATAGTGCGTCGTCACGACGTCTACCTCCATCCTCCTCGCACCCGAGGCGCGCGCCGGGCCCCGTCCTTGTCCCACCTGTTGAGACGGAAATATGCGCTCGCTCGCAGGGAGGGGGGGGGGGATAGGCAACCTCGGCTTGCAATTTGGTTGATGAGGCCGTGGTGCACAGAGCCGCGCCTATCCTCCTCCAGGTACTACTGCTGTTGTTGTTGCCTTTGCTTGTTGTTGTTGCCCGTGATATACTTCACGGTACGTAGCGAGCGACCAGTGCCGTCGACAATCTCAATGGCGCAATTGGAAACTTTTTCGGTTTCCGTTTTTTTGTTTTCTTTTATTACGTTTGGCGAGCGAGAATGCGAGCATAACGAGGATCCACGGCCGGGCCGGCGGGCAGGGCAAGGGCGAGGCGAGGCATTGTCCTTGGCGGCCGAGTCAGGGGCACTGTATCTAATTGGGCGTATCACCAAGCTCCAGCTGTGTGTGTGTGTCTCGTGAGTCTGTCTGCCTTGTGTGTGTATCTGGGTGGCGCGACCCACGCTAAGCGACCACTGCTTCGCCCCACCATACACGCTGCCGCGCCCCCCGCCACACACACACACACACACGAACGCCCAAAGCGCGCCAAAAGTTTCACAACAGACGAAAAAAATAATGGGAAAAAAATAGAGAGAGGACAGGAAAATCGCCGAGACGGCAATCAGCGGCACGAAAGGGCCGAAATCAATGAAACACGCTATTTTATAAATGCAAAACATAAAAAAAAACATGGAGTTTGCATAATGACTTTGGCATTTTTCAGCGAAGGTGGCGGTAAATTCAAACGCACGTGACTCGATATATTCGCGAGCGGTGATTTACAGTGTCGCTTTGCGCTTTATGGGGTTTCATGCCACTCCCGTTGCGTGAATGCGTGATCGACCGGGGCATTTGCTCGCAGTACGCGGTCGGCCGCCACTTCTTCATCGATTCCACTCCAAGCAGGGCGAGTCAATGCACGCGAAAAGACTTTGCGGTTCTAACGGCGGCTAAGCAAACCCGCGGTGTGCACGGTGTGCTAGCCGGCCGGCCGCCGCCGCTGCGCTGCTAGGCGGCGCTTCGCTGCACAGCAAACTCTGTTATCTCAAACTCGCCCGGCTTAGAGTGTCCCCGACGCACACGGCGGGCCTAAATTTAGCAAATTAACGGAATCCGCGTGCGGGGAAAGTCGGCCTCGCTTTTCCGCGCGACGGAGTTTCCCGCCTGGGAAACTTGTCGACGCCGAACTCCGCGCCGTGTGAGGCAACGGGCGCACGGCGCCACTCGACACTCGGTGGGCCACCGGGCCGATAAATCCAATGCCAGCACACAACAAAAAAAGAAAGACAAAGAGAGACAGTTCATCATTCTGACTGAGTACTCATACAGCGTCGGGCGGCTTCCCCTCGCAAAAAAAGGAAAAGAAAAATGTGGCAACCAAACGTTAAGTCAGTTGCATTTTCGAGTGTGAGGCACTGTCTGCTGCAAGAAGCGAACTGCATGTGGCTCTCATTAGCTACTGGACGCGTGGGGTACCTCTTCTCGCTCGACGGCTAACCACGCCCCCCTCCCTTTTCCCCCGACCACGCCCTGAAGCCCGCGCACTCATCCACCACACTGACAGTTGGCCTGATTTAACGATACTTCCAGTCCAACCTCCGCGCCTTCATCCACGAAGTTGCGCAATAAGTTCGACTGCAAATATTTGGTCAAGTAGTATACCAATTTTGTCAATCTGCTTAAATGAGCGCGCCACACTTGCAAATTACTTTGCCGCCCACAACTTCATCGCCTCGATGTTGGATTCTGCTCAAAATTCCAAACTGGACTCAAAATTTAAAATTGTTACTACAAATGGTGAGCCTACTGAAATGCTTGGTGACCCGTAGGGTTCACTTAAAATCAACTACATAATGCAGATTTCATCCAAAATCGATCCACTTTTATTCCGTTTTATGATCATTGTAGTTTTTTTTACCAGCGCAATGAAATCAGACACACGATCGCACTTCCCTCTTTTCTTTGACGGTTCAGAAAGCCAGCGAGGCCGGCGGCTTACCTTGGAGATGGGTGTCTTGGTGGCGGCGAGGAGCGGACTGTTCGGTTCCAGCGACGGGCTGTAGTGGAGTGTGGCGTGGAGTGCCGAGTGCCGGCTACATACCCGGCCGGTTCCCCTCCGCACCGCCGCCACCGCCACCGCCACGCCGGCCGGCGGGGCTGCGTCCGGGACGACGACGACGGGGACGTCGCCGGCGAGGCAAAGCCGGGCACAACCAAGGCAAAGCTGCCGCCAAGGGGGACAGGCGGACGCACACCTCGCACGCGGCCCCGCGGAGTGGAGGGGAAGCCACGCCGAGATAAACCGGCGGGTGGGGACGGCGGAGGGGGGGAAGTGAGGAAGTGAGAGGCGGGAGGAGAGGGGAGGGGAGGGGCGCCCGGAATGAGGCAGCGAGAATGTCTAGTCGGTCTGGTTGCGCATAGTTGCGGCATTAGTTTAACAATCGCGAAAAAATTGGAAAGAGCTTTGTCGCTTCCTCTGAGTAATGCCCTGCAATGGTCAAACGAACGAGCGTCCGAGCTGCTACTGTAAAATGGAGATAAACATAACAAATATAATGATGTGACAGAAATGTTGCAAGTCATGGTGACCGCGAGGTGATACTCTCGGACCAAAGGGAACCAAACTTGGTACACTGTGTTCTGTGTTTGGCGAGCCTTCGCGCCCTGCCGCCCTGCGTGACTGGCCTTGGCAGCCAAATCGCTAAACTGTGCTGCCCTTCTCTCTTCCTCGCGGCCTGTTGTCGCTCTGTCTCTCTCGCACCTGTACGGGACGCCCCATGAGTGCGAGAGAGATAGCGACGAAAGCGACTGTCAGTCCGCAGGGCCCGGGCTCTGATTGGTCCCCGCTGACGACAGAATGACGCGCTAGTGCGGCGGCTACCACGTCCGGTGCGCTGGTTGGCCGCCGGAGCCGCCGCCGGGCAGCGGGCAGTGCTCTGGATTGGCTGGCCCTTGGGCTGGCGAGGGCGCCTGCGAAGTCGAGGGTAGGCAACCCCGCGCCGCGCGAGTCCAACGGGCTGGCCTACCCGACGAAGTGCCAGGCGCTCTGGCGGCCGCAGCCGCACTGGAGCCCCCTCCCCTCCCCCGCCACCGCGACCACCATGACTTGCACTTGCAGCGCGACCCGGGCCGCCGGGTGACGAGGCGACGGTCGAGGCTTTTCTGGAAGGCCGGCTGTGGGACGTCCCCGCCCCGCCCGGCCCGAACGCCCCAAAGCAAGAGACGGATCCCGGTAGAGCGACATTGCGTGACGCACCGACCCACCGGGATGCGACACCGGACAGGCCGGGCCGGCCGCCGTGCACCGCCGTGCGTGCGTGAGGCAGGGACTTCCCACCGCTCCCCGCAGTTCGGCGAGGCGGCGTGGCTGCAGGGCTGCGTGAGTCAAAGCCACCGTGGTCAGACCGCACGCCGCACTCAGTGTGCCCACTGCCCTGCCCGCGCGGTGCAGCGGCAGCGCGGGGGCGATGACCGGCAGGGGGCGGTGGCGCTAGGGTCCGCCGGTCCGGACGTGTTGGGCCGCTGGGGTGTACAGTACACTGTACACCTCTGATCCCACCTCTGATCGATCTGCGGACTATCGACACCAGAAGTGCGCCATCGATAACGCGATGTATCGATGGCTTATCGCGCGGGGAAATGCAGATACACTTTCAAGTTTGTTGCGGTGTATCGCCTGCGCCCGAGCCTCCGAGTCTGTCCAACATGTGATGCCACTCGAGCAGAGTGCGAACACTCGTAGTGGGCTTCTATATTAATCTTGAAGTATTTCGGTGGATGTCTTTGGACAATCGATAGGATAGTATTTCATTTTAAATGCCGCTCCTTTTTTTAAAAAAAATTGCATTTTTTTTTTAATTTATGGGTGGAGTGTTGGGTAAATAAAAGAGATGTGTAGTATGTTTGTACACAAAGGTAATTTATTACAAACTTAATATTCACATGAGTTCACTTCATTAAGTCACTGATAGAAATCATTTTCAAGCCCATTTAGTTACACTACAATTTTTACAATTTGTACATTTGCTCAAAAAGCGGAACTTTCTTATGAATGATACAAGGCACTGAAGTTTTGTTTCGCAATTGCTATTAAACATTAATACAAAAATAACAAAGCTCAAAATACATTTTTCTCATCAATTGACACTAAAAAAGACTATGTGCCAGTAATATGAATATAAAGATGAAATATCTTATCAGTCTTCTTCTGAACAAATATTGGGGAATTTCACATCAGTAGCATGAATTCAGTAGAGAAAACAGGTTTTATTACATACACACCTTTCACAGCAGCTTGAGAGAACTTGTGGTAATTTATGAGTGTAAATAATAAAGTAACATTGTGTCCTGCACAAATGTACTTTAAGAACTTGCAAACATGATATTATGCTTTATGATATAACTATTGCACAGTAGATGAACAAATGTTGTTGTTTTTTTTTAAAATAGGGGGAGCATCGATTTGGTGCACAAGTATCAGTTGAGTGAAAACCAGTAAAATTAAAAACAAAAACAAAGGTTGTGCAAGATGAAAAACATCAATCCAATATGACTGTGAGATGAACATTTTCCCATGGAATAAAGACAATCAAACACCATAAAAAGACTCAGTACAGATTAATTAGTGGGAAAAAGAAAACAACCCTGAGAACCAACAATAAAACAAATGAAGTAATCATGGTTAAACTGCAACTGACACATAAGATTTCAAAAGAAAAAAAAAAAGAAAAAAAAACCAAGTGCACTTTGACACACACCACACCAGAATGCTACACCTTAAAACACCTTGAAGTTGTCGTGGGTTACCATACACTTTTAGTGTAAATCCATCCTTACAGTAAATCAATTCTGTGGTACAACGATAAAATTATGCAACAAGGCTTTCAGACTAGAACCAACATCCACTTGGGATACACACCAATGTCATAGCAAACAGAACATTTCTTGCAAGTTAAGCCACTGTAAGAAAGAACTTACACATTGCACAAATTGATTAACAAACAGAAGACAAAAGATAACTTGGTGATTCCAAGAACAAAGAAGAAAAAAGTATACTGCAGGAGATCAAACAAAATGTGATTCAAGTTTCTTGTTTGTGCTAGTAATTTAACAGATTGGTTACAATTAAGCACACTTCACAATTAACATTTTCGTTATTAAGAATGGAAACCATACATGAAAGATAATAGATCAAAGGCAATGACCTAGTTTTGTTTTAATTTGTAAGGAAAGAAAAAGCAAGTCTTTGAAAACTTCTTCATTTCATTGGATCAGTTCATTTATCCATAAAATATGTGATTAGATTCATCCATTGAGCCTATCAAAAATAATTAACAAAGTAAACAGACAAAAATTGGACTGATTACATGACTGAGCATAGCCCAGATGTTTCGTTTCCTCTCACTTTAGCAGGTAGCTCTGTAAGCTTTCTGCCAACAAGCTTAGGCTTGAGCACTATTGCTTGCTCACTGGAAGGCTCTGATGAGCCAGCCTTGGCCTTTTCGTCTTGGTCTTCACTCTCACTGGCCTTGTCAGACTCATCTTCCGTCTCCTCAGGTTTCACAAAAATAGGCTTAGAAATATTAATTTTTATTCGATTAGGAACTGACGGCAAAGCTGCTGGGGCTTGTGCAAGGTCCAGGTTGCCATCAATTGAACATGATACAACACCCACGTTTGTGTTAACAGGAGGGGGTAGAGGTTCATCAAGGGTCTTGGGTTCTGCGGCCTCTTCATCAACTGTGGAAGCTTCAGATGGTTCTTCAGTAGTCTCTACTTCTTCTTTAACAACTGGTTCTTCATTGGCTTCTGTAGCTTCATCGTGATTTCCCACAGGATCTAAAACATAAAAAAAAAGGTGTCAATTTTAGATTGCTTTGGCAGAAAATTGAAAAAAGTGAAATTAAGCATTTGAAGAACGCATGAGCATACCTCTTTCAGCAGAGCTGTCGGCTGGTTTGTCATCTAATTCATGTTTTACAGTTGGGTTGGGACTGGCCCCCTCTTCTTTAACTTCTGGAACTTGCTCGCCACCTTCTTTCTCATCAACACCATCCACCGCCACAGCTGATGCTGGATCTGCCTCAGACGCCGTTTCCCTCTTAACATTTTCTTCTTCCCCAGTTGACTTCTCTTCCTTCACTGCACCTTCTGTTTCAACTGCCTCTTCCTCTTGGGCTGAATCCTGCGTTTTCATTTCCACATCCTCGGGCTCCTTTTTTATTTCAATGGCAGGCATCGGCTCATCTTCAGTGGGAGCAGTGGAAACTGTGTCAGTTCCATCTGGAGCAGCCTCTGCAGACCCAGAATCCTCTGTAGATTCAGGTGCCTCTGCAGACTCAGGTGCTTCTGCTGCTGCTTCTGCAGGCTCTTGAGGTTCTTCATTGGACTCCAGAGAGACCTAAAATTTAACAAAAGGCATTAGAACAATCCGTATTTGGTGCATCTACAAGATTACTACACACGCTTGTGCACTCACTCTGAAGTCTTTGTAGCAAAATGGATGGTATGTGAGCCCGTCCGCAACCAGGCAGTCCTTGAGGTGCCACTCTTCCTTCTCCTCATTGTAATACTGGTCGAATCTATCATGGCACAAATCACATATTGCGCCCTCGGCAAAATCTTTGGATGGAACACTTTGAATCTCTTCCTCTTCAGCTTCTTCAAACTTAGAGGCTTCGCTTTGCTGACTGTCAAACCAGTTTTGCGCTGCAACAATAGGAAATGTCACAAATTCATTTTCAAACAATAATTTTAGAAAAACAAAGTCAATAACAAGAGTACAAAAAGCACCTTTATCGACAGTGTCATCAATCTCTTCAAATTGAATCCAGTCAGAGACATCGTAGTACCACTTTCTGCTTTGAGGCTTTCGAGCTGAGTCCTTGTCTCTACGATTTTGTCGAAAGTGCCAGTCCAAATGTGCACTGTACTTTTCTGTTTGCTCTGGTGGGAAACGAGTTCCGCAGGAGCTACACTGAATGCCAGAGTAGAGAATGTCAATAAGAGCAGGTTGCTTTCTGAAAATATGAAGAAATTCAAGTCAGAGTCAGTACAGTGTTTACTTTCATAATTACAACACAATAAATGAACAGTAAGATATTTAACTAACACTTTGAAAGAAGTTGAGGCCTCCTTAAAATCAACCACATGAATCTTTTTCTTGGCATCTTCTTCTTCTTTGACCTTCTCTTTCTTGGTATCAACCAGAGAGGAAATAGAAGACATGATTCCTGTGTCATAGAGGCTTTGGAATAGTTTTGAGATATCAAGATCTGGTGCCAAGAATGGAATGCCAGCGGAAGGATTAGAAGAAGTTGATTCTGTGCCTGCTGTTGAGGCAGTCGGTGCTGCATCATCAGTACCATTGGGTGCTGGGCCTGCTGTAGGGGCTGCAAAGCATAAATAACTGTGAACTCCAAAGCTAATTTTCTTTGTGGAACATTTTTCATAGACTGACAACTGTACCCACCAACACCAGAACCAACGCCCTGACGCATCGCATAAGCTCCTGAAACAGTTGAGGTAGTGCAACTGTAGCCTGAGGTGTTAGGCAATAGACCAAGCAAAGAGGGAAGACCTGTGGAAAACAAACACTTGGAAGCTCAAGAAAAGAGCAGGGAGTATGGGATGATTGCTAAGCAAGAAGCAGAACATCCAGAAAGAAAGCAACATAATAAAATGTATAAGCAATTCTGTGAGGTGTCTTGCTCACCAGGTTGAATGGCTTGTAGAAGGTCTGCAGGCATCTGTCTGTCTTCAACTCTGGCAGGCTTCAATGAATCTGTCATCTCCCTAGTGGGTCGAGGACCCCTTGGCTTCGGTATTCTCTTCGGCATTCCTCGACTCAACACTGTGCAAAGAAAAACATGGTTACACAATTACAAAAAATATTCTGAAGATTAAAGCAGAGCAATTGAGGCATCTCCTTAGCTCTGTACGTTCATTCAACAAGTTTGGAAAAACTAACCTCCTAAGCCTCCTCGAACAGGTAAAACAGGTTCGTGCATCGGTAGAGCTGGATCATGGTCTGGTTCCAGTTCTGCTGCATTTCTCACGCCATTATCGATTTGTGATGTTTGGTTAGAACCAGCCCATTGCCCATTGGCTCGCGTTGGTGGTGTCATTCCAGAGGCGGGTTTCTTGGTCCTACCACTCATGCTGACAATTTCCACCTCACCAGGAACCACATCAGGCGGCAACTCAGTCAAACGAATGTAATGTTTTTTGCAATTGACTATAACAGGCACAGCGGAACCACCAAATTGAATATTGAACGGGCGGTTGTTGATAAGAATTGTCTGTAAGGCGTCTGCAAACTTGATGATATGGGGCACACCATCAATGTCGAACCTACAAATCCAATACAGAAATTTAATTATGATAATCTTGACAAGTTGACTTGCACCCCAAGTTACATGAGCAGAAAATGTACCTTTGAGGTTTGGCATCCAAGAAAATGGGAACAGCAACTTCGGCATCAATGATGAGTGTAACACGTCCTGCCACTAAATCTCTTCGTGAATTTCCAACATGGACCTTGGGCCACTCCTCTGATTGTAACTGCACTGAGAGGACCTCCCCAGTCGCAAGATATACCTCTTTGGGGGGACAATTGAATTGACACTCAAAACCTTCATCATTCACATACAACTCTCTAGTAGGGGCTCCTAAGCGGACTCTGTAAAAAAGAAAACAGTCAACAATCAAGCTACAACATCCCTCTTGGAAAAATAAATTTACTTAAGGCAGATTACTGACCTATAAATTTTTCCAGATACATTGATCTCTTTTGCTGGTTGATGGAATGCACAATGAACTGCAACCTCATTAATAATGATGGAAGCTTCACCAGGATCAAAAGAGATTTCACATGGATTGTCAGCACTTAAGAAAGCAACAGCATCTTCACCGTAAAACCGAATCTCTCTTGCAATACTATCTATAGTGATTGTTCTCATCGGGTCCTGAGCAATCCTCTCCAAGATGAAGTTATCAGCAGGTGGAAGGGAACTGGCAGTGTCCTTGAATCCGGGTGGTCCTCCCCTGTAAACCAGAAAGTATGAGGACTCATGTACGAGTCTACAAAAATTTCTAGATGGGCAGGGCAGCTTGTTGGCTGACTGGACTCACCTTGAATAGCGCCATGGGCCGCCGTAATAGCCGCGAGGCCCGGGCCTGGGGCCAATCATACCAGTCATACCGCGGTGGGGCCGGTAGACAGGCCCTCCCATGGGCCCAGACATGCGCTGGCTCATCGCCATGTGACGAGGGTGCACTGGTGCCATGGGTGGCTGGGAAGGTAATGGAAGGAGAGGCTTCTTGCTTGGACGGGGACCCGGATACCTTTCATCGATGTCGCCAAACTGCTCATGGTCTGGTGATCCCACTAAAAGAAAGTCATTATTACATGAGCAAATCATTGGGTGAGTCGAAAGTAATGGTAAATTCTGAGACGCTACTTACTTCCATGCCTGTAATCCTTTTCTCTTGGTCTCCTTTCCCATGCATCTCGGCGAGTGTAGTCATTTCTTTGGGCTTCCCGAATTTTCTCAGATTCATGTAAACGAATCACCTGAAAACGCGTGTCAAACTTTTAGTATATGTTTGTGGCTAAAATATTGAGAAATGTATCATAAAGTGTTCTTACCTGCTTTTGCACCAGCTGAAAGTCAGCATCAGACATTGTTCCATTCTTCACTTGCTCATGTGCTCTTGCCAATATAGCCTGGCAGTCTGGTTTTGAAGACAATTCAAGACCGTTCATGTGAAGTCGCATGTCTGTATCCTCATTTTGACTTAATTCACTCTCTCCTACAGTTAAGAAAAACACAATGTCAGCCTCACACACAATTTTAACACAACAAACCAAAGAGACAAAGTCTCACCTGAAGAGCGACCAAGGCGGTCATGTCTCGATGATCTGGGAAATGCAGGAGAACGTTCCACTGTTGGTGATGGTGTCAGCGTTTGCTTGAACTTGGACCACCCTAAAGAGTCGTCTTTTCGTGGTGTTTGTCCTTCAGGTGAGGAGATTATGGGAGGTGGTGGAGGGGAAGGAGCCTCAACAGCCATTGCACTATTTTGACGAAGGTCAACATCTTGCGTCCCAAACAACCTGAATTCAGACATTATATAAAATGTTTATACCAACGAACGAAGAATAAAAACACCAATACACATTCAACACAAGAAAAAATATTTGATTAACAAAACTCCATTAAGAGAAGAAAAATCTGAAAAAGAACTTTGTGAAAACAAAGTTCACATTCATTAACTTTTTTTCTGTGACACGTAGCACTGGAAAAGCTGAAGATAAAATAATCTAAAAAGTAGACCCAGTTTGAGTTACTTACGATTCTATTCTAGCTGCCTTATTTTTTTTGTTTGGTGGTTGTCCATCCTCAGGTTCAGCTGAATGACGTTTCTTCCCTGGTGATGAGAGTAAGCCGCGTAGGTCAACATCATGACAAGCTATGGTGGGTAAAGCTGTTGACATACCATGTAAATGTTTGGAATGACAGCTTAACACACAATCCCATGAGAAAATAAAAATTTAAAAATGAAGAAATGAGGAGATGAAGACAATGTAAGGAATTCATCCCCACATGGGGCTTAAGAGATTTATATTTAGAAATCTGTGTATGAAGGGGAAGGGGAAAAAAGAGGGGGAAAAAACATGTGTAAAATCATAGGTGAATAGTTATTGACAATTAAGTTAATCAAAAGTAGAAAGCCAATCTGGAAATTTGCATAAACAAACCTAGTTCCAAATAAAATAGGCACGTGTAATTATTTTAGTAGGTTTTATGGTGAAGATAATTTATTGAAATTCATTATTTTCTTTAATTTATCCTCCCAATGGATTCAGTGAATTATTGGTCTACAGCACAAAAACAAATATAAGACAGTGTGTTCACACAAACATCTACAAAGGTGTAGGTGCACACAGGCACACAAATATACACACACCAGTAAGTGCACTACACAACAAAGTCTTCATAAATGTAGACAGAGAGGGACTAGAACTAAAAAAAAATAAACGTTACATTTCACTTCATAATCACAGCATTATTTTCGGAGAGGAGCAATCAATTTGGGATCAAATACCCCCTACCTCATCTCATTGGAAGCCTGTTCACATGTTCAATCTTTCAGTACTTTGTTTAGGAACTGACTCACTTTTGAAAGCAGAGATACATATCATATCCTCTTTCCTGACAGTAGCGTAAATAAATATGCACAAGAATAAAAAGGGAGAAAGAAAACTTAATAAAATGCACAATAATGGGTGTTACATGAAACTATTAAAGTGCTTACAATAATTCATGAAACCATTACTGAAATTTTATAGGAATGAAATAAAACAATGTCAATAGAAAAAAGAACTAACTAAAGAGAAAAAGAACCATTTTCCTCACTAAGAATAAGAAAAAAAGGGGAAAAAAGTACTCAAATGTACTGGACTTGGACATGTGCTGTATGTTAATGAATGTTCTAACTGTTGAGAAGCTGCAGCTCTAGGAGGGAGGGGGAGGAAAGATCCTTCATCAGGTCCGTTTCTTGATACATAAAAGCACTTGTTTTCAGATTTTCATTGGAACAAGTTCAGCTTGATTGTTGGTTTGTGTAAATGTGGGTGTGTTTCCTTTCATTAAGAAATTATGAAATATTGAGACTCGGAAGCTTTCTCAAAACACAAAAGAGGATCTCTGGAGGATGCATCTTTTAAAATCCCGTGCAGAAAAGATTTTGTTTCAGAGGTATGCAGTATTATTTTTTATAGAGGAATGAAATTTATTGCATTCACATATATCACAGAAATATTTAAGTATAAAGAGGGAGCTTTCACAGCACAAATGAAAATTGAGTACAAGACCCAAACCCATTTGGAAATAAATATAGATAAATCTAGGAAGCGCTTACTTTGCTCCGGTACACCAGGAGATAAGGTCGAAGAGCTTGACTGAAGTAACCTTTCAGAGGAATTTGCCAAGCGGATCTGCTTCTCAGGAGGTGCACGTAAGTCCGTGTCGCTGCTTACAGTTGAACTAACAGCTTCTGGAGGCTCCTCTTGAAGGCTCTTGTCGGTGCGATAGTTGCGCCCCTTGTGGGTACCTTTGGTGTAGTTGACAGGCCAGGTAGAACTACCAGCAACGGATGCAGAACCAGGACGAGGTGAGATGGGGGACACTACTCTCTCTACAGCATCTGAGGCATCAGAATCAGGAGAATCTGCGCCAGCGTCAGACACAGGCCTGTGGCTGGAGTAACTGGACTTTCTTGGACTTCGGTTGCTGTCCCTCCTATCACGTTTGGAGGAGCTTTTCCCAGGTGAACGGCTACTTGCAGTTTTTGATCTTGAAGAACTGTGGTCTTCAGACTTCCTACTTGACTTCCTACTTTCACTTGAACGCTTTTCTCTATCTTCTCTTCGACTAGAATGTCTACTACTACTTCTATCAGCTGAAACATCCCTTGAATGCGCTCTGCTTCCCTTAGATAAGTCCTTATCTGATGACCTTGAACGCTTGCTGCTTAACCTCGGATCTTTACTTCTTCCTTGAGATTTTGTTGATTCATCTTTCTGTACTTCTATAGGGGTTTCTTCTTTCAACTTTGAAAGACGAGGGTCTCTCTGAGCGCGTGTACTTGTAACGAGGTTGACCAGACCCATGCTAACTGGAGCTATTTTAGGGTGACTAGACGGGGCTGGCAATGCTGGGTCTGGTGAAGGAAATGCTGCCTCCTTCTTAGGTGCCTCAAGTTTCACAACTTTCTTGCCTTCTTCTTTGATCTGTAAATCCAAAGAAAACCGTTAAAGGCAGTCAACTAATTGTTAAGCAACCAGGTTAAACTGCTTCCAGGATCATCTGGAAGTGAATTAAACAAATACTAACCATTGCTACATTTTCCACTCTTAATGGTGTCACACTGATAGGTTTCTCTTTACTAGAAACAGGTACTTGAAGAGGAATCTGAAACATGAAATTAGAGTTGTAGAAATTTTACTGTGCAGGGCTGTAAATTGTGACTCGTATGAACTTTTTTTGGTAAAAATTTTACTGTTGAATCAATAGTAGACAGTACCAAGAAAACAAAGTGATTAAACACTAACCTTTTCTTTCAAGTGAGTGACAACTTTTTTCTCCTTTTCCTCCTCTAACTTTTTTATTTGTGAAAGTTCAAGGTCAAGTTTTTCCTTTTGCAGTTGTAGAAGTTCTTTCTTTCTTTGAAGAAGTTGCTCTCGCAACTTGGCAGCTTTATCTGGCTCTGGCACAATCGCAGCCACTACAGGAGCAATATCAGGACTAGTTCCTCCAGCGCCTATCACCTCGGGAACGACGTCTGCAGCAGGGACAGCAGCAGAACTCTACAGGGATAAAAGAAAAATTAAACAATTAATTAAACAACGCACAGGTTTGAAAGGGCACAAAATGTGTTTCAATACATGTTTCACTTACAGGTTTCAGAAATTTGGGGTTGATGTGAATTTTGAGCGGGGGTGGTTGAGGGGGTGCTGCTGTTATTGGCCAATTAGGATCCAATGCGTTAACACTAACATCCATAGCATAAAGATCCTCTTGAGAGTAGATGTCCTTCCATGTCAGTCGAAGCTTATACATCTGTTGTCTGGTCTTTTCATCAACCTGACGACAAAAATTTGAGACACTGAATAATGAAGTCAAAGCTAGGAAAACACCATACTAGAGAATGACAACATACCTGTCTGAAAACTGTACTGAATGACTGTACCATGGTGCGGGAAAAGAGGCTAATGTAGTCTTTTCGCACATTTTTGATGATGGAGTCGATGAGGTACAAGATGGGTAGTTTCACGTTGCTGGGTACCTATGTCACACAGGTGCAAATAACGTGTCACTCACTGAAGTCCATTCCTGTAATACTCTTAACATACTGTCCAAGCTAGAGACAGATTAAAATTTATCACAATGAAATTCAATCTAAATTAAGTTTGATTGTGAAACTTAAATCAAACTGAGTTAAACCAAAAAAAGAAATTTCTATTTTTTAAAAGGAGATAAAATAAAGATGAAACAAACAAACAAACAGAATTTAGAAAGTATAGCTGTTGCCACATTTCAAGAGGGAAATGTTTAATATGTTGTCTTCATGACGATACCCAATGGACTCCTTCACTTATTGTGTGTGGTTTGTAATGTGCAAGTTATCAATCCAAGACTCAGCACCCATCTACCACACATTCTATCAGTTGTTTGAAATAATATGACAAATCCCTATGTTTAGTGAAAATATTTGTTCACATCTCTACATCCTCTTCATATCTTTTTGTAAGGTCTTCATGAAATTACATTTAAGTATCAGGCTTAAATTCACGTAAATGAGTCAGTCAAAAGAAAATGAAGTCCATAGAAAGATACCTCACACAAGTTTTTTAACTGATTAAAAAAAAAGATAGTAAAAAAAACAGGTGTGTCAAGTTTTAAGGAAGACACAAATGGCAGAATAGATCTTTTTTATTCTTAAGGTGATTTACACATAGCAATCACGACACTTTACATAATAATACAGATATCACAGAACTTTGTGAATGATCATGGGCAAACTCACAAACTCATACAAAATGTCCAGGCAAAATAATGGACCATATGATAACCACAACAAGATCTAGAAAACCCTCCACACACTAATGAAGTCCATGTCAGCCAACTTTAAAAAAAACAACAAATGGTTCAATGAGGGATGAAACCTAGCAATTAAAGAGAGAGGGGGCGGGTGAAATGGAAAAACAGGATGAATTCAATACTGCATTTCATGGTTTTACATGAGTTAAGATACTTAAACATTCCCTTATATCCTTACTAAATCGAAATAAGAGTAAAATACTAAAATCAGTCTGTCAAGAGAATGTTCAAATATATAACCTACCCTAAACAAACAATCATGCAAAGTGATTATTATTTTTGTTTTGTTGGTTTAAAATAAGGTATAAATCTAGAAGAAATTCGAGGAGAGGTTTCAAAAAAGGGAACAAACTAAAATGGTTTAGTGACCACCAAATTGCATGTGTAATACAGATTTCTCCCATTCTCAAAACTACATGCAGAACGGGCTTCAATTGCTGATAAGTCCATCATCGAAAAGTTTGCTTTGGCATTGAAAAGAAACACACAACAAAAAGAAAAAAGCAACAAAAAAAAACAACAAAAGAAACAAATTGAACCCTACATGTCCTATCCGCCACTGAACTAATTAATGAATTGTGGCCAATTGAATGGTATATTGATACAATTTTGCTGTTCCAAAATGCTGATTCAAAAACATGGTTGCCGCAACTTTTCCTATTACGAGACAACTAACTAGAAAGACAAGGGCAGACAGACAGACCGACTAAACAGCATGCAGTTAACTGTACAAAACATCTGTTCTGTAGGGAAGCAATTAAAATTTCATCACCACAAACACAAATCCACAATGGACAATGAGTGTGTGATACCTTGAAATGCATAAGCATGGAATGCAATCTACCAAAACCCTAGAAACCAATTGGCCTCTTATGCCATCACTATAATGCAAAACCTAACCTTTTCTTCATACAAGAAAACTGAGAAATCAGATGACTTGGCAATGAAATGATGGGATGGGAGAAAAAGAAGGTAGCATGCACCAGGTGGCACGAACATAGTGAAAATTATTACACCAGCAAAGCCAAAATCTCATTCCCATTACCTTCAACACATAGGAATATTGTAAGCTTCAAATCAAGGAGTGCACCCACACAAATTAATGTTCAAAAGCCACACTTCAGAACTTTCAGAATCAATGTAAGTTCTATATTCATTGGTCAAACCATTTAACTAGAATAGTAAAACAAAAGGCGAGAAATCTAAACTAAATTTTATACCTAGGCATCATCCCACCCCCACCCCCCTTTATTTCCAGAGAAGGGAGAAATTCAAACATAAACCTCCACCATAAATTTAATGTCATGCTTTGACTGAAAAATATCACAAAATATCACAGGGGTCTTCACACTCTGATATTGACAGGACCACTCTAAAGCCCTTGATGAAGAAATAGCACACCATTACACCAGAAAAGAAATAAAGCCACACTTAAGCAACAAGCATAACATTCAGCAGATGGCTAAGAACACAAATTTCTCTCTCCCTGTGGCTGTATGGTATAATGGGTTTATCAACATCTTATAGCATGGTTTTTGAGCAAAACTTCTGAATTAGATTCAATATTATCTAATAAGACTGAATATTAAAGAAAACTGGATCAATTTATTTTTTTAAGAAAAAAACTACTTTAGAACTTTTTGACTGCATGTCTCATAAAAAAATGCCAAAACCAAACATGACTGTCATAAATTTTAAAACAAAGCACTTGGGGGACTGCATAAAACGTTACGGGGTTCTCGGGGTTCTACAGGTAAGGAAAAGAGCCAAAGCTCATTATATGGAGTTTCATGAAGAAAATGAATTAAATGCCAGGTAAAATGGATGGCTCTCTGGGGGTTAAAAATGATCACATGCAAGGCACTGAAACAATCATTTTCACACTTCCCACAGTATTAAAAAATGCATCATAGGTTTTTCAAGAAATACATATTTAAATGTTCATATGTATATGCAAATGAAACTACACTCCTAACTGTAAGAATTGAATGAATTGAGGCTGAGATCAGACTGGTATAGCGATGGGACGTTGCAAACTGTAATTTGACCTTTTCTAAGGCACAAGATCTCCATGACAATAGTGTGTCAAGACTAACTACTTAGGATAAATATCATGTAGAAAGTAAAACCTTTTGGAGATGATCATCAACTGCTTTAACAATGGCCTCGGCGTAATTTAAATAATCTTCAGCAAGAAAGGTGAGCGCGTTAATGTGGGGTTTACTGTTCACGGTCAATTCAGCTACAGAGGACATGTAGTTGTTCACCGCCTCCTGAGCTTCAGCTTTATCCAGCATCATTGTTCTTCGCGTCTGAAACAACAAAAACCACGACCTACATCAGTTTTGAATAAAATACTAGTTACTACTAACATTCGCCATGACTAAGAATTCAGATCTAAACTACAACACCATATGTTTGTCGGGTGTACACTGATAATTATGACAATGATATAACCTCGACCGAAATATTTTAACCGATCCAGATCATCGAAACTCTGATCAGAAAGGAAAAAATGAGGCACTTCACTTAATTGGAAAGTAGTCTACATCTGGCTTCTGGCTGATAGGCTCACAAAGTAAGGTTAGGAAAAATAAATTTTGAAACCAACCGTTTCGACAACTAACGAGATTGAAGTAAAATAAAAATAACAAACAAATACTAGAACGTTTGTTTTCCCACAGCAGACTTGAAACGAACTCACAATCGCCACAGAAATAGTCAGGATAAAAATACGAACTGATGGCGAAAAGAATAACGATGTTACCAGTCTCACCTGCTTCATCATCACGAAGAACAAGTAGTCTTAAATTCCGTTCATCGCCAAGAAGAGCACCACGCCCTAGGTGTCCAAGTCCGCAAGAAGCACTTAAAACGACATTATCACTTCAGTTCACCACACAATCACAGAAAAGGTTTACTTCGAGTCGCGGAACTTTCACGAGCTTTTCACGAACGACATGAATCTCTTGCGACACAACTTTGCATCCAGGAACAGGAACGCCAGGAACGAGCGTTGCCATCCAGGATTGGTCGAAAGTGCTTGCAAGCGGATTCGCTAGCCAATGGCTGAACTCCACAGAAAGCGGCATCATGACGTCACATTGGAGTCAGTCATGTCGTGGTGGGGGGTAGCAGAAAACCGTATCCGTGTCGCTTAAAGGTAAGCCCTGAAGTGAGGCTAGGCTCATAAAATTGTTGAGAAATTCCGCAATCAGGAAATGATGTTTGATGTTTGGGGTTGTTATGGTTGTGAGCATTGTTGACACAACACTTAACACTGTGTTCCAGCATTATATTGTGATTGACGGGCCAGGTTCAGTCTTTTAATTTTCTGAATCTCTTCCCATTTTTACCTTTCGAGTCTTTGAGGTCTGATAAGGGGGAAAAGATGCTTAAAACTTTGAGACATGTTTTATTTCCCTTGCACAAATTTCCAAAAGTTGTAGAGAAATTTGCATACAATCTTTACCATGATCACAGAAGAAGAAATCTATTATCTACATCCGGCATTTTACAGTCAGGAGAATCCAAAAGAATATAATAGCCATGCAACGAAATATCTTATCTAGTCGCAGTCGAAGACTGTTGGCTCTGTTAGCTGAGCGATAAGGCCCTTTTGTTGTTGATAGATTCAAACAAGTCAATTCAGTCCTTTTTTTATAAGGTGGAACAGTGAGGGACGGAGTCTTCGACAAAATCCAGTGTTGGCAGTAGTCATAGCTGAGATGTCTCCATACAAAAAGGTCTGCATCTCAGTGTACCGGCCACTATCCCAAATACCCCATCGGGAATGCTTTGCTATTGCTCAGCCAATTAGCAAACAAGCAAGTAAGGTAAAATATATTTTAAAAACCTCTCCAAAAAAGAAGAAAGAATAAAGGATAAAAATTAAAGTATTTTGTTGAAAAACAGCCATTTAACAAAAAAATAAGGTTACAGGAAGTGCCATGTACAAAGTAACAAGTACCAAGTAGTAATGACGTAATAATAAAAGATTAGTATTCACACTTTGTAAATGCACAAGAACCTAAGTACCAAGCACAAAGACTTTACTTTACACAGTGCTACAGCTTCATTAAGGCCATCCTAATGTTTACTCAAACCTGGCACCTAACATTTCGAATAGAGAACACCAAATAGTTGCCAAAATGCTGGATACATAGTTTCTCTTCATCATTTTAAAATATTTCATTACATGGGAGAATAGCATCGTTGGCTCTTGGTCTTGATACAGTACCATTGAAGATCACAGTTCAATATGAGTAATGACTTCTTAAAATTACATACAAGATGTATAATTTTTGAATTAATTTGTTTGCATATCTATTTGGGATTACTCCTCACTATTACGATTTCAAGTTTTATTTTACGTACATTTTCATCCAGTGTGTAACAACAATACAGATAATATGGAACTAAGATGTTTTGACTGGAAAAAAAGCAAGAGTTCTGCTTGGTTGTAATCAGTCATGTGGACAATTATCACACTATATTGGAGCAAGATTGGACAGAACTAAAGCACAGATAGAAAAAAACAATACTAGTGTACAAATATGGGCTAAAAATACAGACCAGAAAAATTCCATGTTTGTTTTGCCACTGAAGTATTTACTTCATACACAAAATTGTCAGTACAATAATGAACAAGCTGTACATACGATGGAAGGATTGATTCAGACAAACCATCACAACTTGAAAGCAGTGACTTGTCAAAGTAGAAATGTCGCAAACAATTGGGTTGACTACGCATACAATTAATTGGTATGACAGACAGGCAATCTGAATGACTTTGACTGGGATATTTCTGCCCAAGCACCATATACATTCTGTTGAGGTGTCCTACAAGAGCACAAAACAAAACAGCTTTACCCATTCAGAGAGCTTAAATCAAATAAATTATAACTATATTACTTACAAAGCTGTTATTGTAAATCCTAAAAGCAATAAGAAAAGGTAAAAAAAGAAAATTGACTTAATAAATAACACACAGTAAACTGTTCAATGAGAAAAGCACAGAAACTATATTCACTCCTACATTCACAGGTACAATTCTATACCTCAACAAACTACAGCAACTTTCACTTAAAAAAGAAAAGAAATAAGGAAAGAAACAAATCTTACACAACCAATCTGTACACTTTGAGAGTCACGCATGGTAGACTTGAATACCAACATTCACTCTTATCTGGCAGTGGTGAGCTGGTCCTCTTAACTCCTCTCAATCCTTATATTTATTTACATCAATCTTAAATCCAACTTACTGATATGCATGGCGTTGACAAACAAGAAATGACACTCTTCCCACTTTTAATGACAACTCTTAGCGCAGAAATACCTTCCAGATCCAACGTGGCAGGGAGACAAAAAACGGATATGATAATAGCACATTTGGAGTTGAGAAAATCAAATAGCCGAACTAGGTTAGTCAAATTTGTTTATCAACGCCACTGACATGACAGAGCAACAGTTGTACCAGTACCAGCACACTGCCCCAAAAGAAACAATAATCTGTACATGAGATAAGAAATTATTAACCGAAGTTAAAAGTGAAACCAAAATAAGATCACTTATGTTCCTCCATCTTTTGCAATCACAGTTTCAATGCACATTCAAAACTTAGTGATAAACTGAGAAACTTCTTCTTCAGATAAATGTGCACTTCTACTGATTTCTTAAAAACAAGATTTACAAATTAAGTTGCTGACCTAGACAGTCAACAGAGCACACGACCAAGGTAGCAGAATTTCAGAAATTCAGAACACTTTAACCAACATATCTTTTCTCATAGAACAGCATACTTCCATTCAATCACAGGTCAGGGGTTTTCACAACATTAACATTTTAAATAATAAATGAGGAGCTGCTTGGTTTTTTAAACCGCAAATAAATAAGCAGGTAAGAAAAAAAACGTGAGATCTTTGTACCAAATTTCCCTAATGGCAATGGAAGGTGTCTATTGCTGGCGAAGTAACAACAACAAACATTTTAGATAGGAGAAATGAGACGGCATCTATCAGGTAATAAGCAGCTCCCCAATCTATCTCAATTACATCATTAACATGACTGTACTGAGATCAAATCTTGCATGTAGCAACCTGTTCTGTTATCACTGCTTCAGCGAATGAAAGAATAGACTCATAGTACATTGACATGATAGATCTGAGTACTGTACTAAAATGTCTTCAACAAGTCTTCAATAAAACACAATCAAAATTGATACATAGCTGCTCAAAAATTATATCAGTAGTATTACACACTAGATTTGAAAAGAAATACAAAGTAGTACAAGTCACCATGTGCTGACAATTTTGTAAATAAGATCTGTAAAAGTATCAGGGAAAAACAGACAAATGTAGGACCTACACACACATACACACACCCACTGAGGTAAAATTAATAGAACATCCTCAACTACATTGTCTCTTTTCATCTTTAAATAGTTAAAAAATGGCATGTCCAAATAATAGAATACGTGAAGGGATATTTCTTATAAAATATAGAAATATGATATTGCGAGTAGAGGCTCCATGCTCCATAGCTCAAAACAAAAATATGGAAGGAGTAAAATTATTCCTGCAATACACAAGAAAAAGTTCTGACAAACACAAACTGAAATGTATGCAAGACATGTCCGCAGATCTAAAATTAAATACGGCTTGATCACATTGTGAGTTCCTTAACAACAAACATGGTTCCCATTGATCGAAGTCCATTTCAAGTTGTGCTGCTGTGATGAACTTTTTTAAAAGGCTACATTTTACCTGAGTGATGCTGCTTAATTTAGCTAACAGATATGCTCTGTGTGTGGATACAACTAGTTCTCCCATTATTTTACAGATTCCCACAAAGTCTGGTAACAATGAAAGTAAAAATGTGTCAATAGACCACCGGATATAAGCTAACTCCATTGTACATATGATTTATTAGTGAAAGAAAAGAAGCAACTGGTAACATTTAAAACAAAAGGGGGGAAAAGGGGGGTGAAAAAAGAATACTAGTACAATTCAACAGAAACAGTTACACACTACAAACAAACAAACAAAAGAATAAAGTTACAGAGTGCCTTAAATGATCACTAACACACAATGTTACTGTTTTATATCAAGCTACCTGTACATAACTTACCAGTAGATTTTTATGACATCCACAAACATTTTTAAAGGCCACACAATTGAACTGCCTGTGTGCCTCTTCGAAATTAATGAAGCAATAAGAAATAATACCTACAATACACATTACATAAGTTTAGGTTACATGGTGTCATTCCTATTGTTTAAACACAAGTCCACAATAAATAACACAACATAACATAATTATTAAGTAAATATCTACAATGTTAAGCATCACAGCATCACAACCCTTACATAAATGTAAAACACAAACCAAACTAACAGATTAAGCAGGAAATGTCCAGCAGATTTGAAAGTTGAAGGAAAAAATTCAGTGTTCCTCTTCAATGAGACAAAACAGGAGAGCCAATATTTTGAGCAATATTGTCTTCAGTTCACGACTCTCCGTTTCCACTATCGTCGCCATCTTCTCCAGCATCACTATCACCCATGTCCAGGTCATCATCATCATCATCACCAATATCATAGTCATCGACATAAAAGTCAGTCATATCAACAGGAGGCTCAGCTGCTTTGGCTTTGGGCTTACGGCAGTAATCTTCTAGTGTAAGAGGAACAACAACACCATCCTTCTCTGCTTCGATTCTGGCAGCTGACACTTGTTTCCTAGAAATGTTAGTTAAGTTGAAAACAAATCGATGATGAAAGCAGGACTGAACCAGGAAGAACAACAAGTAAAATCATACCTTATGATATTCTCGTACTCTTTGTCACGACCTTTAGAATCTTTAAACCGGCGATACATGACCGAAGCATCCACATTTGCAGGACTTGACGTATTAGGTTCATTCAGAAGTGATATAACTGATAAGAGTATAGTTCTGAAATCAGGATATGAATATAAATTCAAAGGAAACTATAACAGCAATAAAAAGACAACCATTTTCAAAACACTAACCTGACATTCTGTGTTGGGTTCCATCTTTCACATGGTAATTCCCCACTCTGCGGATCATCAACTGGAGGATGAAGGATTGAAATGCACAAGTCTCCGTTCTGTCAAAGAAAAAATAACAATGACGTCATTTCAATATGTCATGGAGGAAAAAATGAAAATAAAATAGGCACTGGAGTAGAACTTACTTCATACACATTGGGATGCCACACTTTCGTAAGAAAGCGTATGCTGGGCGGCGAATAAGGGTAATCAGGAGGGAACTTCATGTGGGCCTAAAAACAAATTAAGGTAAAAATATAACAATTAAAATTTTCTTTATTTCTAATTAAATTTTGTTGAAGAAGAAAACTAAGAAACTGAGCAATTTCCAGGAAAACTTGAACTAGGAAATTAAATCTTTAGGATAGAGTCAGTTAACAGTCCTGACAAGCTGATTTTCTGAAACAAAAGGAAGCTAAGGAAAAGAAACTAGGTCATGGCTGACCCATTGTTGGCCTTGACTATTGAACACCCTAGAGCTTCAAGCTCTGATCTTGAAAGTAAATCACGCCAGGTATAGAAAGTGATGATATATTCAGCGCAAGAGGAAGCTACAAGCTTCAATTTGGAAAACAGAATGAGTCAGCACTAGGACATTGTGAGGAGGGTTAGGTTGGCCTCAGTGACAAACAGAAAGAGACATCTAGTAAACAAAGGAAAATGAGGTGAAAGAACAATAAAATATCTAAAAACCTAAATACATGGCTCTTAATTTTTTTAAATAAAATAGAATATTAGAAGTTCCCCTCATTCTCCCTAAAATCAGGATACCGCTCAAACTTCTCGTTGACAACAAGTGAACACATCCTACAGTGTTCGTTGGTGCAGAAGTTAGGAATAACTCCAGTCTGCTTGAGAGCAAATGTCCTACACTATTTACAATCACTTGACACCATAAACAAAAACAAAAACAATGCCACCCTGGGTAGCCTGGGTCAGAGCCCTCACCTTGAAATAGCCCCCTTGGTACAAGGTGTCTGGGGGTCCGAAGATGGCCACCTCCCATTCGAACAGGTTATCGTCGTTGACGAGCTTGACGCGAAAGCCCTCGACGGGCTCCTCCTGGAGGCTGCGGTACTCCATACCCAGCGCTCGCACGGCGCTGCCCGTTGGCTGGTTAGGGTACCCCGAGCTCGCCATCATAACCCTGTCAACCCTGTCCCTGTCGTTGGAGGCCAACACAAGCCTTTCCACCTCAGCTCTGGCCAAAACAGCCCTGGCTCTGACGTTGGGTTCCACTGTGCTCCTGGGGGCCCCCAAGCAGGGCCAGGTGCTGCTGCAGCCTTCGAATCCTCAACCGCTGGCCCTGGCAAAACACAACACACTGTCCGCTGATGCACTGTCAAGTCGAGCCACACACTGACGTCACTGCTGCGAGTCGAGTCTCTAGAGTCTCTAGGCAGAGGAAGGCCTCCGCGGCAGAGCAGTCGACACAAAAGAAACCGACATGGCCCTACCACAATTCGGAAAAACGAGACTTGCGGCGCGGCGACGGGCACAACGCCGCGAAAAGCAGGAGAAATCGGCTACAAGGGGCCGTCCCGCCGAGCGGGGAAAAAATGGGTACCTGACTTTCTAAAAGGGTATTCGCCTTCTTCCACTCCACCGTCTGGCCGTAGCCTCAGAGCAGAAGGGTGCGGAGCAGGGGCAGGGGCAGGGAAGGGCAGGAGGGGGAGGCAGGGGGCGCGACGCCGACAGCGCACTCTGCAGGGAGAGGCAGGAAGCGGCAGGGGCGGGCTAGGGCGAGGGGGCAGGTGGCGGGAGGGAGGACCGCTGCGCGGGAGGGAAGGGAAAGGATCTCCAGCCAACACGTTCGGCGGTCTTCGACAAGGCGTTCAAATAGCCAAATGCTGGTGCGGGACTGCGGGACAGTACTGCAGGAGTGGAGCACAGGCGAGCGAGAACGAGAGCGCGCCCGGAGCTGTGCCACTGGCCACTAGGTGAGCATGGGCCGCGGCCGCCGCGGTTCGAAACGATGTCGTGATCACCTCGTCCTCGCCTCGGCCGACCGGGTCCGCGGTCGTCCTTGCCCAGGCCCCAGGCGCGCCGCGCACTGGCCCAAGCCTGCCCAAGCCACGGCCAGGTGAAAGGGACTTGAAGGTTATGTTGCGCTGAATGTCAATGCCTCGTTATATTTAGACCTCATCTTTAAAACAGCTGACTTCCTTGGCTGTTTGGCTCGGGCCTCCGCCGGCCCTGTCGGCCTGTCGCTGGCTGCCGAGGGAGGGCCCGCCACTGCCTGGCCACCGCCTCGCCGCCGCGCTGGGCTGGTGCTGCTGGTGCTCTAGTGCCCCGCCAGGCAGGCCAGGCTGCAGGCTACGCCGCTGGGACGACGTGCAGGCGGTGCTGGCGGTGGCAGTGGCACCCTCCCTGCGCGCGGGCCGCGCTGGCGCTCCAAGCTTGCAAGGCTTGCACGACGTGCTCGACGCGCGGGTCCATTGCGTGCACTTTGAACGCGTCGGAGAGCGCCTCCGTCTCGTCCCCGTCATTTCCATGCCAACGGATCGGACCTGAGCGTCGTGGACGTCGTGAGTAGAGCATGACGGACGAGCTGGCGGGGCCGCGAAGCCACGGCGGAGCCGAAGCCCAAGACGCGCCCGCGGCCAAAGCGTGCGGCCGAGGCGTGCGGGCGAGCCCCGCCAGCACGGCCAGCACGGCCTGGCCGGGACGGTCTGGCCGGGACGGTCTGGCCGGGACGGTCTGGCCGGGACCCCTGGAGCGACCAGTGTGGGTCGGGCACGCGGCGGGAACAGGGCTACTCCAGGATCTGTGTTGTGACTGGCTGTGACGCACTGGCGGGTCTCTTAAGGACAGCCTCTTAAGGACAGTCACTCTCAGACTGCCTGGCTCTATCTGCTGACTACAGCTTTGCTTTGCGTTGTTCTTCAGGCTGGCTCCAATATGAATGATCAGGAAGTAGGCCTTGCTCAAGCCATCCAGGCAACCACACTGAACAACAATGATCCTGATCCTCCAGCAACCGCTTCTCCAGGGGGAATGGTTGCATCTTCCGTCCCAAGGAAATCTATTGTGGGTCGGGTGCATGAGAAGATGGGAACGTTTAGGTGAGTAACCCAGATCAGCTTTCCTTGATGTGTGTCTGGTGGTGGCTTCTAGGGTCTAACTCTGGTGTGACTTTTCTCTGTGAAGCCTACCTAAAGGAGAGGATACAAAGCAGCGGGAAAGAAGGTGGGTGTCTGTGTCTGGTCTTGGTCTTCCCTTTCATCTGTGTCAACGTAGATGTAGTGCAGCTTTCTTTTATATTCCATTTAACGTACATGATATATATAGCTTAAAGCTTTCTATTCATTAATTATCTAAAGATCTTCCAGTCCCCTTGATTTAAAACTATTCAAAATTTTTAAATTTACAAAAAATGTTTGTCACTTGTTTTTGGCATATGTAATTTTTATGTCATTTAGTATTTGTTATAATTGTTTGTTTCTGGAAGCTGCTAAAATTCTGTTTACTGGCTACTTTTGTTTTGCATGGATCTGTGCGTGTTCCTTTGCTTTGCCTGCATGCCACAAGGAACTTCCCTCCCTGCCACGTTTGGTGCAAAGTCGACCCACCAGACTGATTCCGAGAGTAGTTTTCGTCGCTCTGTCTCTCTCGCACTTGCAGGCGACGCCCCACGAGTGCGAGAGAGACAGCGACGGAAGTGACCCTCGGAATCTGTCTGCTGGGTCCATGTGTGGCGCGGGGTATCGCCGCGTCCTGTTCGGGCCGTGCGGGCCGTTCAAAGGGGGAGGGGAGGGGGCAGCTCCGAAAAGGTCAACGTAGCGCGAGGTAGCGACAGCGGCGACGGGGACACGACGGCCAGTCTCTGGTCTCGGCGACGCGGGGTATCGCCAGCCGCTGTTATGCCACCGGAAATGCGGCCGCCCCGCCCCGCCCCGCCCCGCCCCGCCCGCCTGTCGCGTCGTCTGCCCTGCCCGTGGCCCCGCGTCGCGTCGCGTCGCGCCGCGCCCCGCCACCGCGACCCGCCGTGGCGTGGCCGCCTGGTCTATCAGCTGAGCGGGCGAGCGCGGGGCGCGGCGGGGCGGGGCGGGGCGCGGCGGCGTGATAGGGGCAGCGGGGCCACTCCACACTCCACGCATCCAGTCAGTCAGTAGTATTCTAGTCGGCGCAGACTTGCCCGGACCGAGGCAACCGAGGCCTTGACTGCCTCTGGCCTGCCTTGCCGAGGCGCACCGAAGCACCGCGCCGCCGCTTCGAGTGCTGTGTGCACTGTGCGCACTGTGTGCATGCCGGCGCACCACGAGTACCTCCTTTAGTCCGCGCCGGGCCGCGCCGCGCCGTGTCATGCGTTGTTGCTCCCCCGCAGCTCGCGCACCGCACCAACGGCACCATGTTTAGGGGCAGTGTGGCGGCCGCGGGCGAGCCGCAGGGCCCGCAGAGTCCTGCCGGTCCTGATGGCCCTGACTCCGAAGACTGGTGGTGAGTGTGTGTGTGTGTGTCACCGCGGTGCCACGATGTGTCGAGTCATGATCGCTCGCGATGTCGCCGTGTCGTTCCTCCAGCCGGCCATTCGGCCATTCGGCTCCGACGCGCTGCTTTGGTCGATGATTCACACGCGTGGCGTGGCCGCGTAGCCGCGTAGCGCTCGCCAGCCAGCTGGCCAGGCCCCGGCCGCCGCCGGCGAGCTTCTAGCACTTTTCGGCCTCGGCGACGTGCCCGACGCGGTCGTGACCGGGCGGAGTGACTTGCGTCAGCTAATTGATTTGCTAAGTCCATGAGTCCGAAGGGAAGGGGCGTGCTGGCGGTGTCGGCGGTGTTGGCCGTTGTTGGCGTTCGGCCCCGCCGGCCCGTTCGCCGTTCGGAAGAGCAGGGCCAGGGGCAGCACAGCGGATTTGCCGGAAGACCAACGCTGGCGGCCAGAACTCTTGACGCGCCGGCCGTCAGGCCGTCAGGAGCACATGTGCGGCGCAAGGCCGGGTTCTATCCCAATCTCTAGACCCCGGCGATAACGCGCGGACGCCAGGTACCGCCAATAACAGCGGCCAAAACGCCGGCAAAGCGGCCAAAGCGGCAAAGCGGCAAAGCCCTAGGGCCTCGTCGATAAGGGCCCCGTTGCACAACCGGGAGGCGCAGGGGTGCAAGCCAGATTGCACAGTTGTGTAGGCCGGCGGCGCAACTGGTTGCCGTGCTGCCGCGGTGTCTCGCTCGAGCAGTGTTCGCAATCGTTTTGCGTGTGGAGCTAGTGGTGTCCTGGACCACAGCGTGGAGAGACGTCAGGTCGCCGGCCACAACCCCGCCCCCTCCCCCTTTCACTTTCATTTCCATCCTTCCTCGTCGCTGGTTGATTCGGGCCCGGGCAACTCGGAGGCGACATAGACGCGCGGCCGGTGGCCAGTGGGGGGTTGACACTTTTTCTATCAAACTTATGGCCGCTGGGACCGTTGGTATCGCCGTCCTCATCTCCCCTCGGCATTCCTCCGCCTGCTCCGCTCCGTTCCTCGGCGTTCTCGGCGTTCGAACGGCGGCAAGGAACTGACGTCGCAGCGGCGCATTTATTGTCGTGCGACGCGGCGACGCGGCGAGGAGTACAGTCGGCACCAAAACGGCCCAGCCTCTTTCCATTTCCTTGACGGCGAGGCGGCACGCGAGTCTGGCTGGCGTCGGTACCGTCGGTACACGCCCCGCCCGCGTATTTGCACGACGACACGCAGCGCTGCTAATAATTAGCACACCGCTGGCGACGGATTGGGGTTCGAGGGCCCGCCAGAGAGCAGCACCATCGACCCCAATCAGTTGTTCAAGCAGATTTATAAATGCCTCCGCCAAGCGTTTACGCTATTACGCTTGTCGGGGTTAAGTTTTCTAAGATCAAATGAATTTTAGAGAGCTGATACGACACATGTTTCGACATGTCAGCGATATTTAGTCGGCGGCGTCGTCTGCTGTCCCATGCTCTCCGCGATTTGACAGTACCGTGGCACAATCGGTTTGTAGTTCCGCGGGTGGCCACCACGCCTGGCCAGGCGGCGCTGAGCTTTGCCTTCGAACCCCAATGGGCCGAGTGTGTGTGTGCCGCGTCCGCGCTTCCCGCCTGCATGACGTCGTAAGGCGGCAGCCCCACTGGCAGGCCTGCCCGCCGCGCCGGTTTGTGGTCGCCGATAAAGAACTTGCCCTTGGTTCAAATCAGATACACGCGTCCGCCCGTCCCACCGCCCGCCCGGTCAGGGGGCCGGTTTTTTGCGGTTTCGCGCTCGAAATTGCTATTTGGCCGGGCGGTGCGGCGGTGCCCGCGGCTGGCCGGCTGAGCGCCTGCGCCGCCTGCGAGGTAGGCCGCGCCGCCGTGCCGCCGAGCGGGCGTGTGCGACGGGGCGGCCCGCCCGGCCGCTGACAGGCGGACTGTACCGGCGGAGGCGGTCAACGCTCTGGACGCGTTTTGAGCTCCAGAGTCGCTAAATGTCGCTAAACCGAGCGTGTGACCCCATCAATGGATTCCCCGTTCGGAGAGGAATCCATTGGTGGGGTCACACGTTCGGTTCGAGTCCCATTTAGCGACTCTGGAGCTCAAAACGCGTCTGGAGTTTTGGCCGCCTCCACCGGTCTTCCGGTCCACTGTGCCGCACGCTATGTGGCGCTTTGCCGCACCCTCCGCGTTTCGCGTTTCTCCGCTAGCCTTTGTTGTTCCTCGAGATGACAACATCATTGCTACAGACGGGACGGCAGTAATCTCTCTCCCTGGCCAGCCCGCCCCATCGTGTGTGGCGTAGCAGCGCGTAGCACACGCCTTTTGCCTGGTATCCTGGGTGCCGGCTCGCAGTACCAACGCCGTGCCTGGCGGGTATTTCCATAGCGGCCAGCCCGCCTTGTGGTCTGATCTCTGTCTCGCTCGCACCCCTGCGAGGCGCCGCTCGAGTGCGAGAGAGACAGAGCGACGTCGGCCAGGCTGCGCGAGGCTCGGCGCCGTGGCCATTAGGAGGCCGGCAATTTGCGGCGTGCCGCGCCGGACGGCCCGACCAGCCGATGTGGGCGACGCCACTGGAGGCGACGTTGTGCTTTGGCGTGTTTGAATCGATACAAGGACGGCGGTGAAAATCGAAGTGGACTCGTCGTGTTGCGTGCCGGCGGTCATGGCGGTCTCGGCGGCGACGGCGAGGCTCCACGGGGACGGGCGGGTCGCGGCCGGCAGGCCGGCAGGGCGGACAGGTCACCGCCACCGCGGCCGATGCAACATTGACGGCGCGCGAGCAGTGCAGTGCGCGCATGGCCGCGAGGCCGCGAGCCGCGCCGCCACTGGCAAGGTCAGGTCATCCGAAATGGGGGCGGGTACCGGCCGGCCGTCCCTCTCGCACTCGTGGCCCGTTCCCGGGGTGCGCGAGAGAGACAGGACATTGCTCTGGTCGTGATCACGGTCGTGACCAGTCGTGACACGGCGGCCGCCAGCCTCGCCTCGACACTGGTTCGCTCTGTCTCTCTCGCACCCCCGCGGAGCGCCCCGCGGGCTGGAGAGAGACAGCGAGACGGCCGGGCATTATGCTCCATGCATGCTTCATGATGATCTAATGGCTGATGCCCCGGGCCTTTGCCTTTGCCACAGGAGGACGCGGTCGCTCAATCCTCCGAGCCACGTGGAGCAGTTTGGCCCCTGCGGGGGGATCCTCAAGAACTCCGGCATGGTCATGTGAGTACCTCCTACATTGTTTGTGAGCGTTTTTAATGAGACCTAATGCCTGCTGACACGCAAATGTTTGGACCTCTCTGCCGCGTCCAGGACGGTCCAGGACCCCGCGTCTCAGCGGCTCAAGTGGCACAAGAAGCCCCTGACGGTGCTGGTGATCAAGAAGGTGCGCGACCGCACCGTCATGCAGCCCTTCGTGCGCCTCACCAACTGGCTGGTCGTGGAGAAGTGCATGCTGGTGTACGTGGAGCAGGGCGTGCTGGAGGACCCCGCGCTGGTCGAGGACCCCGACTTCAAGGTGGGTCTTCAACGCACTACCGGGGTTCGGGGGTGTGTGTCTGAAAGGGCCGCGTTTTGAACCGCGTTCACTTCTTTCCTCCAGGACGTGATGAAGTCGCTGAAGACGTTCCGCGACGGCAAGGACGACCTGACGGACAAGATCGACTTCATCATCTGCCTGGGCGGCGACGGCACACTGCTGTACGCCAGCCTGCTGTTCCAGCGGTCCGTGCCGCCCGTCATGGCCTTCCACCTCGGCTCGCTGGGCTTCCTCACGCCCTTCCAGTTCGACGACTTCCAGCCCCAGATCACCAAGGTCCTCGAAGGTGCGTCCCGCGCCCCGCCGCCTGTCCCACAAAACGAAAAAAAAAAAGAAAAAAAAGGACACCCCCGGTGAGACTCGAACCCGCGACTTTGAATTTCAACTGTTGGCAGACAACGCGGCGCTGACGCTCCGCAGCCGGCTGGAGTGCATCATCGAGCGCGGCGACGCCGAGGACGCCGACGGCGACAGCATGCTCACCAAGACGTCGACGCGCGGGCTGCGCGGCAGGACGTCGTCGGGCATGCCCACCAGCCTGCTGGTGCTCAACGAGGTCGTCATTGACCGCGGGCCGTCGCCCTACCTGTCCAACATCGACCTGTACCTGGACGGCAAGCTCATCACCTCCGTGCAGGGCGACGGTGCGTTCGGTTGGACTGGCCTTCCCTGCGCTGCGCAGGCTGCGGCGCGTTGCCTCCAGTGGTTCTAGCTTGCCGTCACTGCCGCAGGTCTGATCGTGTCCACACCCACGGGCAGCACCGCCTACGCCGTGGCGGCCGGCGCCTCCATGATCCACCCCAGCGTGCCCGCCATCATGGTCACCCCCATCTGCCCCCACTCGCTGTCCTTCAGGCCCATCGTGGTGCCCGCCGGCGTGGAACTCAAGGTGAGGATGGGGGCTCCACCCGGCCAGCGCAGTGCACGCCCATCGTGGCCCGCTGATGTCGCGTGCCGAACGGTGTTGATCAAGATTTTGACATGATCCTCGCTGAGACTTTCTCCCGTGCTCATGCTAACAGTCGTTTCTAGCAGCCACTTTGACTAGGCCCCTCCCGACTCGGCCTCTTAGAAGTAATTGTGTTCTAGATCTGCATATCACCCGACAGCCGGAACACCGCCTGGGTGTCCTTGGACGGCAGAAATCGGCAGGAACTGTTACACGGGGACAGGTACTACCACAGGTTCTGTGTACTGTGTAGCGTACTGTGCTAGTGCAGACTCCTGCTCTTCAGTGCTCATCAACTGCGCTACCTCGCTCTGCACCATCTGCTCCACTGCTACACTGCTGCAGTGACTGGACCTTCCCCCAATTTCCTCCCTCCACCGACTGGGCGTGGTCTCGACTTGCCATTTCCACCCTGTCATTTCGCTTGTTGTTTGTCTTAGCACGCTCCGTTCCGTTTGCATGTTACAGATTGCGCTCAACTGTGACGCCAGGCATACTGCCCACGTGTCCTTCGATGGCCACTGCCCTCAGGAATTGCGCATGGGGGATAGGTGTGTCCAGATTTGCATATGTTTTGGGTTGGTGGAGGGTTTCATTAACTTCCCCTTTCACTTTTTTCGTAGTGGTCCAATATCTCAAAATTTCTTCCATCCATGGGACTATTTAAAAAATAAAAAAATTGTAATATTGTGTCTGCGACATTCTAACATTCTTAACAATGGTGGTACAAGTGGGTGTAGGGTTATGCCTGGTAAAATATTTCAATTTAAAATTTTAATTCCAAAGAGTAATTTAAATGTTAAATATTTTATCATCTGTGGGTCAGTTCCTTAATGACTTAGTTATTAGTAAAGCTTCAGTATTTATTTAATTTTTGTTAGAAGCTGCTTTTGCGTACTGATGCTTAATTCTCTCAACAATTTATTTTTACTGGCTCGCAAAGCCTTTTTACCTGAAAATCTGATCTGACTTTATTTTTTCCTGCAGCCTCCGAGTCACAACATCTAAATACCCAGTCCCATCAATTTGCGCCGCTGATCAAATAACGGACTGGTTTGATTCCCTGGCCGAGTGCTTGCACTGGAACGTTCGGAAACGCCAGAAGCACCTGGATGAATTAAGTGATCTCACACATTCCAGTTCAAATGATACCTTGGATTCTTTGGACAGCTAGCGGTAAGTTGCGTTCTGGATATGATACATGACTTATTCTCTGCATCCTGCCTTGATAAACTGCTGGTTTTTGCTGTTACAGACAGATACCAGGGCCTCAGCACCAGGTGCAATCAGGGACTGACCTTGGAGTCCTTGACGCTGTGCAAGCTTTGCATCGTTGTTGTGCCCTGTTTAGTTTGGGAGTCAGTAAAGTTTGAATGGCTCTAATGATATCTCAGCTTTCAAAGGATTACAAGTAGTGACCAAAGGGTAGTGGGACTGTCTGTGTTAAACAGGTGCTTGTTGATTTCTAATTCTTTAGATCGGCTCTGCCTCTGCAACAGTTGTTTGCAGATTAGCCCAAAGGTTTTTATTAACTCTCTTAAGATGTTATTTTTCATTAGGCTGTTACAAGGCTTGTTGTCTGCAATGTACAAATTTTGTTGTTATTGACTATTTAAAGAGAAATGTTGTGTTTGTTTTGTCAGTGTGTTCTGAGAGTAAATGTGATGAATCCAAAAATGGTGATATGTTGGATCATGTTAGATTTAAGCATGAAGTATCAGTGTACTGGTCATGACACCTGTGCTGTGTTGTATACGATTGATGTGTCTACTGGTGCCATCCTCTTATTCCTTGATGGGCGCAGCATTTCATCTCATGACATCATTCATAGTGAATCTTATTCTAATTTGCTTCATAATTATACCATTCATCGTTTCTTCTTTTCCTGTTTTTCCATTATCATTGTTATTTTAATAGATTGTGGTGTTAAAAGTATAATAATGTGTTATTTAATAAAATGAAATGTGTCATGTGTATCACTTTTAAGTTAGTTGAGCGTCACAAAGAGAAGGGTTTCTGTGTGGCTATTTATTTGTCAGCTCACTCAAAAAATTTTGTGTGTGACATGCGTTTTTATAAATGTTTTTGAATTTTCTTTTGGAGATTGGAGGCATGCTACTGGTCTCTAACTGATATTTCTCCACTCACCGAATCAATGAATTCTGCCTTCAAGTTTTATCAATGCACAAACTAGTTTATAATGATCATGAGTATTTTTAATTGTCTTTGGGTGTTATAGAAAAACTTACTTAAAATTTGTGTAGCAATTTGACAATCATAGAGTGAGAAAAATCCTTTCCTAACTTTGAACACTGGAACAACTTGTGTTTCATACTTATTATTTCATCGATGGGTACAAAGTTTGACATTTTCAGGAATAGAAATGATTTGTATGTACTAGTGTCCCCTCCCCGCCTTTTATTTGGAGATTATTTCAATGCAAGAAGGACTGTCTTTATAAGTCTCACTTAGTCCATTCCAGTTCCTAATAACTGATTTGTGAAACAAAACACACTAACATAGAAAATGCTGAATTTCTTAGAATAAGAAGACTTTTTTGCGTATTTTCATGAACATGAACTTTCTTGACTGATTTTCTCATGCATTCTATTGTACCTTCCCTTTTTTTTTAGCAATTTTTTCTAGGTGTTAGTTTAACTTTTAGAAGTGCCTATGAACAAATAGAGTTTGATATGCTTCAAAATATGCTCGGGGCTTACAGTATGGTCCTAAGATACTTTGATGTGAAAATGTAGTTTTTTGTTTTTAAATCAATGCACTTGATCATTCATATATATGTTCCTTCAAAACTAATAACATTGTTGATTACTAACATCAAATAACACTTCAATATCATTGTAGACTTTATGATAAGAAAGTTAGTGAGACATTTTGACTACCCCTATCGCAACTCCTGAGACCCAATGGAACCAAGTCTTTGTATGTGTTTCTATTGCAAAACTTTCATGTGATAAATCAAAGCTGTGTCACCTGATCCTTTACAATACCAGCCTTTTAGCTTATTTTTCAAACTGGAAAAAATAAGCTGGTTGAAAGGCATCATGACTGAGGTTTTGTGGGTACCAATATTCTTTGCTTTTTTTTTGCTTATTGTGTAGGAGAATCTGAACTTTAACCAATGAGAAATTCCTAAGTGCCAACACTTCATGCACTTCAATACCAAACTATTCTTGTTGCCGTGAAAAATATGCTCAATTGTTACTTGTGCTTTTATTTTTTTAGAGTCGTATCATATGTAATAATTGGAAACATTCCTCTCTCCTTGCGTAGGATCACTATAAGAGCCTTGAAATGAACCTGTTGACCAAGTATACGGTCTAAATTGACTTTCTGCATTTCTACATACTATTTCTTAAACTTGAGTACTTCATACTTTGTAATCTCTATTTTGATAGAAAAAATTCAGTTCGTTTGGTTTGTAACTCATTGCTTTTGATTGTGTCTTTGTCTAAAGATTTCCTAGGTTTGATGACAATAATGGACACCTTGGTTCTAGTTTGGGTAAACTCTCAGAAGATAATCAAGGTCATGGATAGCTACAGTTTACCTAGGGGAAATAAGGCTTGTTTTCAAATTCTTATTCGTCCTTCATGTGTGTGTGGACCAGGTGTTTTTTTTTTTTTTTTTTTTTTTTGTTAAAGTTGAGGCAAATTCTTTTATACAATTATAACTTGTTACTTTGTAATTTCTTACTTGTTGTCTCTCTGTTTTATTTTATTGATGGAAGTATCAATTTTCTTGGCCACCTCTGTTAACTTACTTTTAAGCGTTTTATACAAATGACAAAAAATATACATAACGGTATTTGGTTCTGAATCTGTATTGCATCCTCTTCTTTTTGTGTGTGTGTGTGTCCCAAATAGGCATAATTTGTGGAACGTGAAGCCACAACCAGTGTAGGACGCTCATTCGATGAAGCGACTGCATCGCGCCGTTCATGGTGTTTGCAAGGTGTCGGTTGGGCGGCCTACCTCCGGGCGCCCACACTGCCTGCCTGCCTGCACGTGTGCATCGGCGTCTCGGCGCCGGGATGGCAGGCCACCCATTCGGCACGCAACAAGCCCAAAAAATAACTGCGCGTGAGAAGCGAGAAAAGGGGGGAAACAAGCTCGTTTTCAGCTCACCCCGATTTGAAAACAATTTTCTTGTGGCCTTTCCAGTTCCTGCGCGTTGCAAAGTCGATCGCCAGTGTAGTTGCGGAGTCCGGTGGCGGCATGGCAGCCCTCTAGGGCGCTAGCGCTGGCCGGCCCGTTCGAAGACGCAGACAGAAGGTTCATTGCGTGTCTCTCTCGCACTCGTGGGCGTCCCGTACGGACCGTAGGGGTGCGAGAGAGACAGAGCGCACTGCTCGGTATCGGCCTGCAGACGCAACCTGTCGAGCGGCGGCGCGGCGGCGCGGCGCTTTGTTCCGTTTTAATTGGCAGACGCATTTCGAGGCTTCGAAGCCCGGTCTGCCTTTGGCTGCCTTTGGCCTGCCAGGCCTGGCTGGCCGAGCATTCGTGCGTCACTGTAGATAAGGGCCATCGCGAGCTGCAGCAGACTCGTTCCGAGACGGAGGCGTCTCCCTCGCGCGCATGGGGCGCCCCGCGAGGGTGCGAGAGAGACGAGCACACTGTTCGGAGTCACTATGGCACCGCCTGCGCCACTGCCCACAGGGGCGCGACGGCGTGTGGGGGTGAGACTGGTCTCCGACCTCGGACGCCGCGAGCTAGGGGCGATTTGACTTTGCCCGGTGACCTCCACTGGCAGTCCCTCGCTCGCCGTTTCGAAAAGGCTTCAGAGAAACATCCCTGCTTCCTGCCGATGACCTCGTGCATGCGCCCTGCCGGCCTGCCCCGCTGCCCTCCGACTCGCCAGAGGCTGTGCGCTTGCTGCGCTTGGCCGACGCGTATCTCGGCCGAGGGAAGCCCGGTGGCAGTGGCCCAGCACGCTCATCCCAAACAACAGCGATTTCGTTGCCCTGTCTCTCTCGCACTTCTCAGGCGTCGAGTACGAGTGCGAGGAGGACAGAGCGGCGACGCTCTGTGGCGCTGCGGGCGGGCGGACGCACTCAAGTGACGTGTTTGGCAGGGGATGGTCGCCAGGCCGCCAGGTTTGGGGCGCGGCTCGGCGGCCCTGCCGGGTGACGCTTTGTTTGTTGTTTGGCTCCGGAGTTTCCGGGGGTGGCGGGGCGGGGCGGGGCGGGGCGGGGCGGGGCGGGGCGGGGCGGGGCGCCTCGCGTCATCGAGCTGGCTCGCCGTCGACGCGACGCGCGTCCCCGGCCCCGGCCGGTCCGGCGATAGCCCCAAAAGGGGGATGCGCTCCGCGGCGTGAGTGATTCTGCATTCTGCACCGTCGCGCTGCTGTCTTCCGTCTCTCTCGCACTCGCAGGGCGGCGGCGCGGCCCGGTGCGGGTGCGAGAGGGACGGAGCGACCCGGATAAGTCGCCTGAGATTACTTTGCACGCGGATTACGCGCGAGCGGTGCGGTGTGCGACGCGCAGTGCGGTGACCGCGCGTCGTGTCGTGCCGCCGTGAGCTGGCGGCGCTGGCGGCGCGGAGGCAGCGTACGTGTGACTGTGTGAGACTCGCCGTGCTCGCCGCACCCGCCGCCGTGTTGCGTCTTCGCCTTCGCACCGACCGCGTGCGCTTTCCACTTTGGAAACGGTACACTACAGACTCCGCCACTCTGCCACTCCGCCGGGCGCCTTTCTGGCCAACAAGTGTACATACTGCTCCCTCGACCAAGCTGCCCGGCAGGTGCTCGCGCCCGCGAAGGTCGAAACCCCCTGTCCCGTCCCACGCACTGCAGTCGGCAAAATATGCGCACGCGAAATATCGGGCCGGTCTGGTTTATCTAAAGGGACACGCTGGGCTGTCCCGCAGGCTCGGTGGTCCAGCCCGTTGACTGTAAAAAAATAAAAAGATAAAAAGAGGAAGGAGGGGGGAAGGGGTCCACATGCGTGACGTGTGCGTTTTCCTGTCGTGTCTGTGTCGCGCGGCGGTGCTGTGGCGCGGCGGCGCGGTGGCCTATGGTGGTCCGTCAAGCGTGGCTCTCGCTCTTCTTTGTGACGCAACCTCGGGCCTCGGCGGGCCTCGGGCAACGCAGAACTCGCGGGGACCAAAATTAGGGAAAAAGCTTAGCGGCATGCGGTGCGCGCCGCCGGCGTTTACAGTGTGTGTTGTGTGTGTGTGTGTGTGTGTGACAGGCGTGACGCGGTGTGACACGCCCGTCACGCGCTTCATGACGCGTGACGAGGTATCAGGTGTCGCGCTGTGGAGGCCGGTGCGGCTGCGGCCGTTGTGCCGGTCGGGTGGAGCGCCGTGCTGGGTAGGCATCCCCGAGGCACGGCTGCGTTACGGGACTGCCTACCCTGAGGCCCGACAGGCGTTTTTCTAAGACGCGCCTCAGGACTTCTGGTGGAGGCCCTGCTGGCTTCGGCCGCGCCCATGCACGGCACGGCGGGGCTCGGCGGGGCAAAACACAGCCTGGATGCGACTGGTCGGCGCTGGTCAGTCTAATGAGTGACGTTCCCGCTGGCCGGGCAGCAGATTCATTCCGAGAGTCGTCGCTCCGTCTCTCTCGCACTCGTGGTGCGTCCCGCGTAAGTGCGAGAGAGACAGAGCGACGAAAACGACTCTCGGAATCGGCCCGAAGCTAGCACCGCATTCTGGGCGTGCTGGGTGCGTTCCAGTTCTGATTGCCTGGTTCCCCGGCGTTGCCTGCTTTTGCCCGGCCTCCGGGCGGGGCCGGGCGGGGCCGGGCGGGGCGTGGCGCGGCCCAACGGCCCAACCCAGACCCACTACACAGCGAGCCGGCCGGCCAACCTAGGTCGTTCGGTGAGGGGAACTCCGAACGGCAGGTGGAATGGAACTGCAGTTGGAAGGCAGGGGCGTAGCCCCACCAGTGGGCCAGCGGGCCAGCGCCACGTTCCAGAATACCGACCGGTCCGCTCTGCCCTCCGCGCTCCGCGCTCTGTGTTCCGTTCCGGCCGGAGCCGCTTCCTCTTGCTGGCCGCCAGCCCGCCAGCCCGCCACTCCCGCGGCCCAGTGAGGCGGCCCGTTCGGAAACCCCGCCGCCCCGCACCCACATCCCGACCGAGGAAGAGACTCTTCAACTTTGACACCCCAACAACACACCAACAGAAAGAAAAATTCGATTATTTTTGTTGCTGTTTTGAATGAAAGTCTCCGCAATCGTATGCAGCGGCGGTTGAACCAGCCCAGCCCAGCCGGACCCGGACCCGGGCCCCGCCTTGGCCCCGCCTTGGCCCCGCCTTGGCGGCTCGGCAGATTCTCTTCTCCTGCCTCGGGTCGGGATTGACCCAGTCCCCGAGTCGCCGTGCCAGCCAGTCAGGCCGGCCCTCTGCCCGGCCCTCTGCCCGGCCCTCTGCCCGGCCCTCTGCCCAGCCCGGCCGGAGCCGATGAGATGAAATGTCTGATAAACCGCCATGACCCCCTCCCCCTCCCGCCCCTTTCTCCGGCGGCACGTCGAGAAGGCCGAGAAGGCCTCCGAGAGGAAGAGAGGAAGCGCATGCACGGCGGAGACGGGCCGCATCAGCATGCACGCCGCCCGCCTCGACGGCGCTTTCGTCGCTCTGTCTCTCTCGCACTCGTGGGTCGCTGCCTGCCGGTGCGAGAGAGACGGCGAACCAGCCCGCGGCCTGCCTCCATGCCTGTAGCTCGCTGTAGCTGCTGCATCAGCTCGGGGCATCTTTTCCAAGTTCTCACCCAAATCACACAGACAAGCGGCCAGCTCTCCGGCTCTGGCGCTCTGGCACACTGGCGCGCCTCGCGGAGAGTCTCCGCGTGATAGGCGTCGGGGCGTTTTTCTCGCGATCTCTCTCTCTCTCTCTCTCTCTCTCTCTCTCTCTCTCTCTCTCTCTCTCTCTCTCTCTCTCTCTCTCTCTCTCTCTCTCTCTCTCTCTCTCTCTCTCTCTCTCTCTCTCTCTCTCTCTCTCTCTCTCTCTCTCTCCCGCGGCCCGACGCGATGCCCGCTGAGTGCGAGACCGCGCGACCCAGCCCCCGCGTGGCCGCGCCGCCAAGCCGCGAGGGGCATTGGCATTGGCACCCGGGGTCGGTCGACGGGAAACAGCGCTCGTTGTACTCGCAGAGTCCTCTGGCCGACCGACCCGGCCGCGCTTGTAAAACTTGGAAATTGAGAAAGCCGAGTCTGTCGCGACGGTGCTCGTGTGTGAGTGTGTGTGCTGGTCAGCGTGCTGGCTGCAGTCTGCGGAAGTGGCTTCGCGTCTCGCCACGCCGCCGAGCACTGGAACGAAATGCGGGGAGGGTCTAGATCAGCTGGAGCAGAGCAGCGCAACTCTGTGTGTGTGTGTGCGCGCGCGCGCGTGTGTGTGTGTGAGAGCGCCGCGCGTGCTGCTCGCATCTGGAGGTAGTTCCTGAGACTAGACAAGTCTTCGTGGCCGGCTCGCTGGATGGGCACGGCCCAGCGGAACAGCCCATGCCTCTGTATGTGTGCGCGCGTGTGTGTGTGTGTGCACGGGAATGTACTGCATGTAGGATCCTGGCAGGATGTGGGTCGAAGGCGCCGTGCCGTTGCCGATATTACGGTCCAGTTTAAATGTTGGCGCCACCGGATAGCCGTGCCAAATTGTCTCCGCACTGCCTCCCCCCCCCCTCTTTCCTCTCGGTACCCGCCTTCCTCTGCGCCTTCCCCGGCACTTGCAGCACTTTCACTACCGCCGCGCCTCTACTTGGCTCTCCGTCTCGGAGGCGGAGGCCGCGGAGGCCGCGGACGCTCCGGGGACCCAGCCAGCCGTCGTCGCCTCGCCTTCTGCGGGTGCCCGTCGGTCGGTCCCCGTCGACTTCGTCCCAGCCCGCTGCTTTGCGGGGGGGGGGGGCGCTCGCGGCCAAACTCGACACGACGCGACGCGGCGACGCCCGCTCATTTCACGGCCTTTTATTTGAAACGAGTTTTCCTCCGTTTCGCCGCGCGATTGCGATTTTGAGCGCCGCGAGTCGCGCCGCTGCTGGCCATCCTCCTGGAGTGCTAGCAGCCTGGAGGCACGCGCGCCCCGCCGCGCGCATAGCACAGTGCTTTCGTCTCTCTCTCTCTCTCTGTCTACCTCGCACGGCATAGCCCCATGCGTGCGACGGAGACAGAAGAACGCCGAATGCACTGTACGGAAAAAAACGGGCAACGCACAAAGGGGCGCCGCGGCACGCAGTGCACGGTCCGCACGGCGCAACGCGTGTTTTTATAAAAAGCCATTCGCTGGCGCGCCTCGGCGCCACGCCACGGCGCCACAGCCGCCGCCGTTCCTTCCGATTTGGAGCGTGTCCTGCACGTGCATGACGGCGCCAGTGGCGTAGCCGCGTAGCCGAGCTGGACACCGCCGTGGCGTCACGGGGCTTCCGCTTCCGCGGGCCTAACCCTCGACGGGCACCCTGGGCCCTGCGCGGCACACTGATTCCGAGAGTCGCTTTCGTCACTCTGTCTCCCTCGCACTGACAGGGCGTCCCTGTCGGTGCGAGAGGGACAGAGCGACGAAAGCGACTCTCGGAATGGGTCTGCTGGCGTGTTCTTAGGGTTCTTGGCTACGCCTTGGCTACGCCCCTGCCTGCCTCGGGGCCGGGCGGGGCGGCCGGGCCGGGCGGTACTTTGCCGATAGCGGTGGGCCGTGTGCAGAAGGCAGAAGGCCGCGTGTGCGTGCGTGCATGCCCGCGCACGCACACACGCACGGCGTGACGCTCCGGCCGCTCCGACCGCTCCGCGCGGTGCAGTACTGTATATTCCAGGGATCGTTCCTCTCCAACGCCGCGCCGTGGCCGAGCCGCCCCTTCTGGGAAAGATAGAAAACGGCGGCGGCCGCTCCGCGAACCTAAGCGGCGAGCATGTCCAAGTCCCAGCGCGAGCCGCGGCAGCACTGCAGCACCGCGGCTATCGTTTTTGGAGAGACGAGACAAGGCGATAGGTACTTGGAGGGGCTTTGCGCTTCGCGACGTGACGTCACGGTTTCCTGTGCGCGCTGCGCTGCGCTGCGCCCACGCGGCTACCTTTGTGTTTCGAGGCAGAAATAAGTCATAAAAGTCGGCGTCTCCGTAATGGCCACGGCGATGGCGATGGCGAGGCACTCGCTGTCGAAATGGCTGGGCGTTGGGCGTTCGTCCGTGCCTGCTGGCGGGGCTGCGGGGCCGGCGGCCGAGCCATGAGGCATCCGCCTAGCGAGGAGTGAGTGCGTTTCGCTGCTTACGTTGGATCGTTACGCGGAGCAGGGGCCGCCGCTCTGTCTCTGCCGCACTCGGGGCGTCCCCGTCGGGTGCGAGAGAGACGGCACGAGGCCGGCCGAGCGTATTGGTCACACCTACGCGTCGGGACGCAAGACGCAACGCGCGGGCAATGCACCAATCAGCGGTCCGCGGAGCGGAGCGGCCTCCTGCGGCCCCCGCCGCCCCCGAGCACTCCAGCAGACTCATTCCGAGAGTCGTTCTCGTCGCTCTGTCCCTCTCGCACTCAAGGGGCGTGCCGTATGGGTGCGAGAGAGACAGCGCGACGAGAACGACTCTCGGAATCGGTCTGCAGGAGGACGAGGAGCAGAGGAGCTCCGACGGATCGGCGGCTAAGCGCGCTGGCGCGGCGCGGCTCGGCTCCCCCATGACCCTGGCCATGCCGCCGGCCAGCCGCCACGCGAGCTTTCCGCTTTTGCGAAACGCCGCCGCGGTTCCAGCGTTCCAGCGTTCGAGCAGCCGAACCGAGCCGAACCGCTCCGTCGGGACGCGACGTGGCCGACGTGGCCGGCGTGGCTCCCACAGGGCGTGCGTGTGCGTTACGGGCCTACGGGAGGGAGGCGGGCCGTCGGGCAGAGCCTGGCAGAGCGAGCCGTGCGGGGCGCAGGTGTCTGATGGGAGGACCTGAGCCCACACACACGCACGCACACACACAGGCGCGCGCATCCTCCAACACAGAGCGATTCTCCACGCTGCCCACCACTGCCCTCCGCGGGGCTATTATTCGCGCGGTGCTCTGTGTCGGACATCGCAATGCCGAGGTGGGCGCCCCGCCCCGCCCCGCCCCGCGCGCCGCGGTGACTGTTCGGCCAGCTGACACCCGCGACGACACGCACGGACACACCGCGGACTAGCCGCGGGGAAACCCCGGAAAACACGCAAGGACCCGCGCCGCGCCGCGCGTCCGAAGGTTCGAGTCCCGGCGGCGGCGTGTGTTCGACGGGCGGCTTTGCTTCCCCCGGCGGGCGTTGTTATCTCGGCCCGCTTTTAAATCGCCGTGTTTTGCCGAGTAGGCCCGGGCGTGGCGGCTCCGCGCGGCTCGGCGAGGCGGAGCGGGGCGGGGCGCATTGCACTGCATTGCTGGTTCGATTGTCCGCCGCGCTGCCGCGCTCGTCAAGGACATTGTCACTCAGGCCCGACAGCCGCCAGCCGCCTCCAGGCCCGTCCGTCGGACTCCGTCCCACTGTCCGGGCCTAGGGCGCCTGGGCCTGGGCTGCAGCGCTCCAGGGTCCAGGAACCAGGAAGGACCTGCTCCATTCTGCCCGCCGCCCGTCGGCGCGACTAGGTCCGACGCCGCCACCACGCCGACAAGGCTACTGCACTGTACTAGCTGGAGCCCGCCAGCCCCGCGAGCCGTAGCTAATAAGCCGCATGCCTGCCCGTCTGCCCTACACTGCCAAACAAAAAAAATCGAAAAAAAAAATCCAGAGCAACTGGAAAACGATTTCCTCTGCGGCCAGTATGCAGCGAAGGCTGACGTGTTGATTGGATTCCGTAATCGTAGTGCGCTTGAAAACGCGAGGCTGGTTCCAGGACACTGCAGCGCAGCGCCGCCGTAGACCTGGTGGTGTTGGCGGTCAACCTGGTTGCCTACCGCTACGCTGGAAAGTTCCGAAGCGCCGAGCCGCCGAGCGCCCCCAGGTAGACGAGAAACCCCGTTGCCGTTCGGGGCAGTCCGTCTCTATCGCGCTGCTAGACACAGACAGTGCGATGCTGCGGGCCACGTGAGTCGTGAGATAGGATAGGCCCCCGTCCCAAAAAAATGGCTCGCCCGAATTTCGCTGCGGTGCACGAGTTCCGGGACTTCCCTTTGGGCGTGTACGGCTCTCCAGTCAACGAAACGCCACTTCTTCTTCTTCTTCTCTGAGTGCGTTTCGAATGTTTACTGTTGAAACGGGCGGGCCGTGCACTACGTACTCCACTCCGTGCTTCCGCGGCGCAGCGCGAGTTAGCGGGGCCGTATCGGCAACGTGCCACTACGTGCTCGCTCGCTCGCTCCGCGACCACACCCAAGAGCGGCCCGCCCTGCCCGCCCCCTGGGTCCCCCCATGGTCCCCTCCCCGCGTCGCTCGGACGCAGCCCAGTCGGCCCATTTCAGAGGCCGACAGCGCGATTCGCGCTGCAGACTGAGAGTCCTTTTCGTCGCTCTGTCTCTCTCGCACTCATGGAACGTCCAGCTCGGGCGCGAGAGAGACAGAGCGACGAAAAACGTACGACTCGCTGAATCAGTCCGCTGCGGCGGCGTGGCTGGCGGGGCGTCGGGCGGTGATAGTGATAGGGCAGTCTGCCGCTGCGCCCGCTTCGCCCCCGCGTGGGCCCCATGGCGGACACACGTTATGTACGGACTCGATGTTGTTGTTGCTGATGGTGTGACAAACGCGGCCAGCGGGCTGAATCGCTGTCGTTCTTTGCATCCACTCCATTGTGTATACCCGTCAAACTGAGTAGGTTTGAGTTTCAGAGAGAGAAAAATAAATTACTTTGCACTGAGAGAGAGTTTAACTCAAATAATCTTCATGTTTTTCTAGACTCTTTTTAAATTTTCTCTAGTCTTTGCGGCGTGGCAAGAGAGGAGAGGAGTGATTAATCAAGCACAACAAACATGTATAATATAAAACATTATATTTTTTAAAAATAAACAGTTTTATAATAGTTTTACATGAATCTTTGACAGTTTTGCCAAGTCATGATTGACTAGGTATGATAGGTAATACAACTCAAGAGGGTCAATTTGTTGAGAAATTTTCTTATATCTAGGTAAGAAACAGCTTTGACAAACAAGAAATTCTACAGTTGCAAGTAAGACACTTGTGTGGAATCTAATAAATGCCATTTTTAAATTTTTATCTAGAAGCATATAGTAACTGTAAAATGCAACATAATGATTTAAACCGCAAGGTGAAAAGCATACAATCACAACCATATTAGAGAGGGTTGATCATAAACTTTTCCCTTGTGAACAAGAGCACCATTTTTCACAATTCGTTTGAAACTACTTGATTTGTGACAGGAAAAGAAATCTCTTCAACTTTACTGCTTTTACAACTTGATGGGAAGGCAGGCCAATAAAATCAAATTAAGACCAATTATTTAAAGCTGAGGGATAGATTGTGACAGTGGTCAGCATAGACCACAAATAAATGAACTATGAATAGAAAAAAAATCACAACACGTCATCCAGGATTCTTCCAAAATACTCAAATGAATATGCTACCTTACAACCGAACATTTGTTCTAATATATATTATTGAGGACGTCAGATACAGTAATAACATGAAATTTCACAAATAAATAGATAGTCATGAGATAGATATGCATATTTGTAGGTGATGGTAAAACATACATGCCCTCCAGGGAAGAACTATCCTTACACCTATACATCTATAGATTCAGGAGTCCCAAAGGTTTTAAAAATGGGGAGGACAATGAAACTGATTCAATGAAGAACTTAACAAAGCAATGGGAAAACAGAAAATGAAAGCTGGTTTGTAGTCACAACAAGATAGTTACATCCATAGTGTACTTTTGGTATCAAAATATCAATAAGTTTCAAGAAAAAAAAAATGAACAGATAACAGGAAAGATGCTATCATTTGTTTTCTTGAGCAATCACAGACAAATTTGTGCAGTCAAAAAACTTTGCATCACAATAAGAAAATAATAATCAAGCAAACATAAAATAAGTGAACAAATCACAAAATGAAAGTTGAAAAAAAAAAAAGAACACAACTGCAAGCTAATGATGGTAAGAGGTACTGCTGCAAATGGAAATGGTATTCCTCTATAACAGAACCTTATGACTGACATACAAAAATGCACTTTCTACAGCTGAAGAGATTCATGTTAAAAGTGATGTTTGAAGTGATGTGCATAGGCATTAATGTCATTTTAGAAGACAAAGATATTTACATCATATTTAAGACTTAATAGCTAACAAGGCCTCACAATAGTAAATACATACACAAAACATAACAGACAAGGAAGTGTTCATTTCCAAATCGTGAGCAAAGAGTCTCTTGCCAAGACTGGACACAAAACAGCCAAATGAAAAATGCACATCAAAATAAGCACAAGGTGACCTCTCCAAACATTCAAATGACAGCTTTGACTGGAATGATAAGAGCTGTTTAATCTGGTTACATCCCTTACAAGGAGAATGGACCCATCTCATTCTAGAACAGTGGTGCTGCATATATTTAAAAATATATAGCTAACTAGCTAACAAGTTAGCTACTAGTTGCAAACTGTCTTCTTACTGTCTCATAACAACCATGAGTGAGCTCAATCAACACTGCTTAGAAAGCACCATGACATTCCTTTCACACCTACACATTTGAAAAATCACAGAGATACAGACAAGCCATACACATTATGGAGCAATATTCAACACAACAGTGTTGCACCTCATACTCAGTCATGCTTCATGGAGTTGAGCAAATAGAACTGGCACACTGAAAGCAGATATTCTGATGACAAAGCAAAGCTACACAGAATCACCTTTACCTGCACAATTTTACATCCAAGTGTGGGTTTGTTTGGGAGTTCAGCTCATCTAGACAAATCTAAAACAATTCACTATGGTTCACTAAATTGAGATATTTTGATAAAAATATTATAGTAGATCAACGCAAAAAAAAAAAAAATCAATGAAAAGTAACTAATCAGCCTTTGAACAACTGCCACCCTAAAGGGGAAAACTTCTCTCATAGGTACCAACTTCTTTATGTTTTTTTTTATTTTGCAGTCTAATTGTCAATTGGATAGGAAAGCACAAATACAGACATAACTTAAGTATTGTGCGGCAATAGATATGTGCTAACTATTAGTATGGATAGTGTACCCCTAAATCCATACAGAACTTACTTCATTAGCACCAATTATATTAAACCTGCAAGAAACTTGCAGAACATGCTTGTGAAAACTAATGTCAATAATTCCATTGGAAGGAAAGTTGTGTAAAAGCATAGAAATAACATTAATCAAGTTTTCAATCAAGTTTCCAACATTGTTCATTTTAAGTTACAAAGTTTGCTGAGCATTTTAATAAATTACGATGGACTATCTAAGATCCCAATTTTCCACCAGTTACCCCAGGAGAACAATCTGTTGGAGCGGGCCTTGGACTGCTCGGAATCATTTAAATTTGTGCGACTTACAGACGAACCACTAACATTACTCCTTCGTACTTGACTGGTGGGAAATTTCCTACCGCCAGGGGAAGAATGTACAGAATCCCTAGATTTGGCAAGTTCGCGCCGACTTAGAGAGGAAGAGGATGCGAGAGAAGGTGTCTTACTTAACGTGCCATCGTTCCTTGCAGGCGTACTGCGAGACCGCGGCCCGGCCAGCGACTCCCTGCTGCCGTGATGAATGGACGAGCTGCGGCCGACGCCGCCAGAGCTCAGCGAGTCCCGACTCCGAGTCCCTGTCCCCGGCCCGAGGGACGGGCTGCTGTCACGCCGTTGCCTCCAGGAGATGGTTCCGTCTGGTATCGAAGTTCCACGAGAAGCAGGGGACGAGCCTGCCTTCCTCCTCTTCAGTGTATCTCTGCCGGTGCTGCTCATGCTGGTGCCAGTGCTGTTGGAAGCACCGTCTTGAGAGCCTTTACTTCCCGGTGGTTTTGGAGCACAGTACGATTTAACTAGTGGAATTTTGCTTGGACGGCGACGAGGGGAGATTGGGGCTTTGGGGAACAAGGTATGAGAGTTAGTTGGGGAAGCGGCTGGAGTTGTTGTCGGGGCCCTTTGACCCTCAATATCATGAGCTGATTCTGTGCTGCTACTGTGCTGTTGATTGTTCGTCTCATCACCAGTTTGAATATTTTGAATCATGGGTTTTATGTGAATGGGTGAATCAGTCCGCAAAGTAACATGATGGATCTTCTCAAGAACACGAACTCTTGCTCTTGTTCCTTCCAACTCTATGTTTCTTTCTTCCAGCTGGAATTTTAAATCGTCATTTTCTTCTCGAGTTGTGTCTAGTTGATGAGCCAATCCTTCCCTAATCCTTTGTTCGCTTACACTTCTAAGTTTGAGAGCTTTATTTTCTGCCATACTTGTCAGCAAATGGCGCTGGAGTTCCACATGGTCAGTTTCCTTCAGTACAGCAGCAATGCGTTCAACATCTGGTGCCACACCACGAACAAAGTTTGGAATATCACTGGGACAACTTATGATACCATCCAGTGCTCCCAATTTGACATTTCTACCGATGAACTCTGAGCGGGTGTGCTGAGATTCACTATAACTGGTACAATCACTATTAGCAGAACCACTTCCAGGCCTCTCAACAGTCTGAAACACTTTGGAAGATGTAATGAAGCCATTATTAGACTCCACACTATTGTTCTTCGGAAACCGCATATGACTAATTGGTTCCCTGTATTTGTCTTCAGACGGAGTATGGGAAGATAAAACTGGGGTGAAACAAGAAGATTCCGTTTGCTTGACAGGCTGACTAGAGACAAACTGGGAGACAGCACCAGCTCGTTGAGGTGATGGAACAGCCACAGGCTTTACTAAATTACCATTCACACTAGCCCCAGGGTTTTTTCTAAATTGTAGATGTAAGTCATGTATTCTTGAATTCAGTTCAGTTTTTTCGGATATGGCAGACTGCAATCGATCTTCTACCTCCCTCTTCGCACATGATAAGGCACCTAGTTCATTTTTAAGGTGAGAAGCACGAGCTCTGCTGGCCAACATTTCAGCTTCCATTTCAGCCAAGCGGTCAAGGAGAAGATCTCTCTCTCTTCGCAAAGTGCGCACTTCTTCACGACCCAGTTCCAGCAACCGCTGTGTACGATAATCCACACTGTCACGGGAATCTTCATCTCCAAGATCTTCTCGGTCTAAATACTCATCAACATCATCTACAAAGCACCTCTCCACACTCCTGGACAGTCTCTCCCTGGAGTGCAAAGGTTGAGTTCTCAGATCTCTGGAACTATCACTACATGGAACACTCCCCAAACTTCGAGCTCTTGTTCTGTCCCGATCTCTAGACCTCTCAGAATGGATATCTCTATCCTGGAGGCGTGTTTGTAGATGCTCCACTTCCTGCCGCAATTTAGTGCCTTTCCGATGAATGACATCCAGCAAGTTCCATAACTCATCTTCCGCACAAGGGACGCTGACACCACCGCCCTTTTGGCTGGAGCTACTAGAGGCTGAGTAATGCTCCTTACTTTCCGTACCAAATCCAGAGTCTTGAATCGCACTGCTTCCAGTCGAACTACTGCCACTGCCATTACTTGTGCTGGCGCCATTCATGAGCTGAGATGTTTGGTACTTGGAGCCTTGACTATTGCTTCTACTTCGACTGGATGTTAAGGAGCTGGAGTTTGCTTCGTTATCCTTATTGCCGAGTTTCCTCTTGACCCTGATGCCTGGTTCCCACTCTCTTCGAGTGGTGGGCACTGGTATATGTGACATTCCAGCGCTGGAAGAGTTGGGTGTTGTGTTGGAGCTCGAAAGCGCACCCGAACTACTTGGCTGTGATGCCATCTTACTACGAAGATGGGGGAATGTCTCAATGACGAGATCACGAAACTCAAGCAATGCGCCGACCTCATTCTGTAATTCATGTAGGGCAGCAAGGGACTTTGCTTGTTCATTCATGAGGTGGTGGAGTCCAGAGCTGCTTTGCTCTGAACCACAGTCCATTCCAAGGTAGGTGTGCCCCCTACCCGTAGGTGTAGCTTGAACAGCAAATGGTGAACACTGCACATAGTACTCTCTGCTCATGCTTTAACCTGACCAATCTGCTAGATGGCACTTCCACAAGTTTCCAGTCCATCAGGTCCGCTGAGGCCATTTAGGCTAAACATTGAATGCTCAACACTAACAGAGAGGAAGGTCGCACACCAATCAACTGCACTGCTGTCAGACGGACACGCAAGCAGAAGTATCACTGTATCACTTCACTCTGCACTTTCACTGTTTCCACCCATCACTTTCCACAAACAAATCCTTTTAGACACGGGCGCACACACGCGAACTCATTTCGGACACAACTTTCCATGAAAATGTACCGTCCACGGGGCACTGAGTTGCGGTCGCATCGCAGCTTTCGAATTTCGAAAGTGACTGGTACCACGACGGGCTCAGCACACAGGCCAGGCCTTTGCTCCACGGCCTCTTTTGACGATTAGTCAACACGCAAGAGTGGCTGGGCTCGCCACGGCCCGGCCAGTACTGTCACCGTCAGCTGTTCGCTACAAGGCTACAGGGAGTGCCAACAGCTCGCCTGTGAGCGCGCCACGAAAGAGACGGCAGAATTCAAATTTATGACTTTATTTTCACCCAATCATTTTGTTCAGATTAAGCGCTTAGACATTCATCAAATCTTTTGACAACAAGAGCGTACGTAGTTCTACGAGTGAATTTCTGATCACGGGAGGGTTGGTCAAGAGAGCGGGACCTTTCAACCAAGGTCGGTGTCCGGACATGCGTGCAAATACGTTTTCATGTTAGGTACAGACCCCTTACTTTGTACGAATTTGGTCACCAGTTTTTTTTTCTTCAGTTGGAGCACCACTTTTTGAGTAAATTTATTATGCAAAATATGAGTGGGATGAAATTTTAAAAAGAAAGGCAAACCGTGTAACAATTACTCACACTTTTATTATACTTGCTCAACCATGTACAACATAGACTTGAGAGACTAGACAATACGTACATAAAAATACATATGCATGACAAAAATGCTTGATGACTGAACACATCTTTATACCTAAATGCGTTTAACTTCACCAGATCTTGATAGGACACGTTGATGATTGCAAAATAGACTTTCTCATTTTTGTGGCTAATGCTTCATACTCTTTGCTTCCAAAGATGCAATAACCAAAAAACCACACACATTTTGATTATATTTTGCTTTTAAAAAGGAGACTTCTGTACAGATACAGATTTAGAAAAGGCATCAAAAAATTATTTTACAGTGATTCTATTCAGACAAACTGAAATTCATTCCAAGATTGCAAGAAATATTAAATCACATTCACATCTACTAGCAATTAAATATTAACAAATATTGCATACAACTGTATGCAAGAAATATAAATTCATAAATACCATACAAAGCTTGTTTTCAACAAGGAAACAGTCTAAAAAACAAAAACATACTGTAACAATGATATCACAGTAAAGACAACAAGACAAAACAGTTAGAAAAGAAAGTTGAGCAGGAAAACCCAAAACTTGGCATTGAAAACGTTTACGAGCAGTAAAAGCTTTGTCACTTGCTAGGAACATCCTTGATCTAGAAAATCCAGCTCATTCTTTCTTATGTTCAACAATGTTATTCCATACCTGCCAGTAATTAAATGACACATCAATGGCTTACAAAACAGTTAAGAAAAACAAAGTTAGTGCTCTAGTCATGCTTTAACATCAAAAGACATGTTTCTAAAACAATCGTTAAAAACAATTTAAGAGCCACCTCAAACTGGTCAGTTTGATTTAAAATTGAACTCTATATTTATTGGATGTAGGCAATGACCTCAAACCAGACTCGGATGGGTGGGTGGGTTTGCTTGTCTCCCTTTGTAGGGATGAAGCTCTTTTAGCACTCAGCACCCGGCCACTGGCAGTAGGTATTAAGCGCAACTTGGAACCAGAGGAGTCTTCACTGGTGCCAGAGTCACGAATTCCTGCTTCTCTTGACTTGCGTTCTGGTTCACTTGTTCTGCTTGAGTCACTTAGCTTCCGAGGCGATGGCAAAAATCTTGCAGGGGAGTCTCTTGTTTTAGCAACAATATCAACTGAACCATCACTACTTGAATTTGCTGAGAGCTTTCCGTAGTCACTCAACTTCCGAGGTGGAGGCAAATATGAGCGACTTGACGATTCTTGATTGATGACTTTACAGCTGTCGTTGGAATTAGATGACATCTTCCGCCCTGATTCACTGTCACTGAGTCGACCATACTCACCCAGCTTCCTAGGCATGGGGGGCAGAGAGTCGCGGCCTTTGCTGCTTGCCTCGGCCAGCCCGTCCAGGCTCGAGTTGGTGGACGTTTTCCGAGTGCTCTCTCTCTCTCCGTCACTGAGCCGGCCGTACTCTCCAAGGCGGCGGCTACCGTGAGAGCGTCTGGGTCGTGGTAGGGAACTGGGGGGCAAGCTGCCTGATCGGCTTCGCACATCCAGCGAGTCGGGCATCCTCTGTTGTTGGCTACTCAAACCTTGCTTTTCCAACAGCAACATTTCCTCCGGCCTTGCTGCCTCATAGCGTGATTGTGCCACCAGCCCTTGCCAGACACCTACGCCTACACTTGCCAATAGTGGCTGGGACACTTTTCCTTTTCTCGCCGCAGAACTTGGATTAGAGAATCCTGGAAAACAGCACAGACCTCTCTGAAAGTGAAAGAGACAAAGGCACAGAGTGAGGCGTGTTTCTCACGGGAGAATTGGGTTATGATGGCAGTGTGAGTTGTTGCCACAGACTCAAGCCCAGACCAGATCCCAATATCAATAATAATAATTATGGTTTTCTCCAGGTCAAGAAGAACAATTAATGGGAAAAATGGGGACGTTCAGAACCCTTTCCATCGACCTGCTTCTTTTAGCAGAGTTTTTGAACAAAGGAGAGAATCTTAGCTTAGATCTGGCCTTAGGGAAGAGTAAAGCTCTGCACACTGTTGGGTTATGAGTTAGCTACACGCAAAAACACGTGCATGCTTGGGGGTATAAAAAAAGGATGAAGGTGAGGGAAAACAAAAGGGAATAGGGGAGTGAGAACACACAATCAAACACAGCCAAAAGAAAACATACAACACAAGGTAATTGTAGTATGGGTTGAAGCATTAGTACAAAAAACATTAATGCATCATAGAGCAATTTATCTTAGTTCAACCCAAACAGCATTTATAGGAATATCACAAGTTCATGCAATATGAGAAAGATTGAACTTGAATCAGTACATTTTCAAAAATCTACAGTTCCAACAAAGTTGAACTAGAATAGTGGCCAGATTTTGAGCAAAAATGTTGTTTTTTGAAAATGTACACCTACTTTCCCTCGAACTAATTCTTTGCCAGCACGTTGCACGGCAGCTGCTTACAGGCAGTAGCAAAAAGAGAAATCCGAAACAGCAATAATTCGACAAGAACAAATACATAACACTGACATACCTTGCTCAGCATCTTTGAATCAAGTTGTGAATCTAGCTGAGAGTCAAGTTCCTTGAGTTCATCATCAAGGCATTTCTTTGTCTGGTCAAAGCTTTGGTCAAAGCTTTGGCTGGTGCCAAACTTGGAGTAACTTCCAGAGGCTGAATGGTGGTAGCCACCATCACCCACTGAGCTTGAGTAGGACTGGTTTGATGAGTTAAAAGCAGGGCTGCTAGATGAATACACGGGGCCTGAAAAAATAGGAGGGCCGTGTAATAAAGGAAGACAATGAAATGTAAAATGGATCAAAAGAAAATTAGAACCAACCAAGCTCTTCTCGTGAGACTGAACAGCCTAGCACACCCAAATCAGCGTTAAGGCTAGGATGAGGAGTGTGATGTGGAGACCGAATAATGCTAGGATAAGAGGAAGATGTAGAGGCCTTTGATTCTTTACAAGTATGCTTCTGAAGGACTCTGATCATGGCATCTCTCTCAGCAAGTTTGGACTCCAAATCTTTCAATCTGAAAGACAAAATGTGAATTAGATGAATGATTCAATAGTCATAATAAATAATAAAAATAAATTGTGAGCAAGAATTTTACCTGGACTCAAGGTCAGTCACTCTCTTTTGAGCAGCATGAACCTCATCCATGTGACGTATTTTCTCTGTACGAGCCTCTGCAATAAGCTTTTCAGTTTCTTGGCTTGTCTTCTCCAAAGCAGCAATTTTAGCATCCCTAAAGAAACAAAATATATATAATTTTACTAAAAATTGTTCCAAGGTCAAAAGGAAAGTTACAAAAAGTGCTAACTCACTTTGGAAGACTGGCTGCGTCAATAGCAGCTTGACGTAATGAACTTTCTTCAAGATACCTCTGTTCCCACTTGGCCACTTCTCCTTCAAGCAACATGATTTTACCTTCACGCTCTCGCAACTTCCTTTTCAGTTCAGCAGCAGATTCACTACTATTGGCACCTGTCACAACCAATTAAATTTCAAAATATAGTGTGTGTTTGATTTTCTGAAATACACAATAACCAGTGAAAAGTAACATACCTAAGTCATCTGATGTAGGTGCACCAGCTGCACGGGCTCGCTCATTCCTGAGCTCCCTTTCAAGCTGCATTCGAAGTTTTCTTTCTCCTTGCTCCCTTCGGTCGCTTGCTAGTTGCAAGGAGGATAATACCCTTTGTAGTTGGGCAACACGTTCTACATAAAGCTGCTTCTTGCGGCACTATTAAGAGTAAAGAAATTTCTTAAAATTCTTTTACAAGTTGTAGAAAAAAAAGATTAAGAAAGTGCTGCATTATTGAACAAAAAATTTACCTCTTCTTCTAAGCGTACAACATTGCTCTGGGCATTTTGAAGAGCGGTATCCAGTATGTTAATGTGAGTACGTTGCTCCTGAAGAGTAACTCTCTGGGCAGCCAGTTCAATTTCTTGTCGTTCCTTTGCAGCAGACAACTCCTTATCTGGAAAAGGAGATGAAAGATTAAAATTAGCATAATTGAACAACTTTATGATCCTTCATCTTGATGACCAAGTAGGTAATGTTAATAATAAAAGGATTACTTTGTGTAATAAGTTGAGCTATCAGAACTTCTCGCTTGCCAACATCTCTTTTGAGTGCCTCGACACTTGCTGCTTGATCTGATTGAACACTTCCACCCGAACCAGAAATGTTGCGGCTGGTCACCATTTCAAGCTGCTCTCTCAATGCCCGATTCACTTCCTGGATGCGACGGCAGTCAGACTGCAACCGCGCTCTAGCAACCCGTTCCAGACGTTCGCGACGCTCGCAAGAAGCAACCAATTCCTCCTGAGCTCTGTGAACTTTCTGAATTTCTTGTTCCAGCTGAAGAAAAATAACATTAATTTAAAACATTGACATGAATATTTGACATTTACTGTAGTAAGGCAAATAATTTTTTATCAGTGAAATATTTATTTATTTATTTATTTATTCTATTTCAATTACCTTGATTGAGCGTGAAACCTTTTGAGAGCATTCATTAAGTTCATGTCTCAAGAAATTGTTTTCATGAATCAGCATATCAACCATTTCCACAGGAGCGGTTCGTTCATCATCCCTTGCTGCCAACCTGAGATAAGAATAATTCAATTTTAGCATTTATGGGTGCAAGATAATTAGTAGCACTTCTCAAAGACAATGAAGATAGCTTTTCCACCTGTTATTAGCTAGCCCAACAATATCAGCGGCAGAAAGAAGTTTTCCTTCCCCGATTCTTGATAAATCTGGTTGAGACCTAGAGAGAGCCATTCTCTCTAGTGGATAAATTCCGCCATTTTTCAAGTGATTAGGAAGGGGTGGTGCGGGCCATCCACTATATTGGGGTGGTGCCGCAGTTTCTTCCTTCAATGTACTGTTGCTGCTCACATTGGTGGCTATTTGACTAGGTCCACCTCCTCCTCGGTGTTCTAATGACAGTCTCTTCATAGGTTCAGATGGAGCTTGATGGCTACGTTGGTTGGTATCAGGAGACTGACGACTGATTACATTACCAGCAGTTGATCTATAAACTTTCACTTCCTTAGCCAAATGTTTCAGTACCTGATGAAACAAAGAAGGCAGTGTTTAAGAACAAGATGTCACTCATGTAGGTGTTGCTGAGGCCAGTTTACAAAACTAAGCAAAAACAAACCTGAGATTGACTCAAAAAATCGTCAGGAATATCAATGATTTCACGAAGACTAGGACCATACCACTGGGCAGAACGGTCCCTATCTCTCTCTAGATCTTTGCTGCTGTTATTTCCACTACCACTAGAGGGTGAAGAGGACTCTTGGGCAACACCAGAACTATATGAACCATATGCACTTTGATCTTGGATGTCTCGGATACCAGATAACCTGAGCACAATATATAAGATAATTGATTAAATAATGATAATAACTAAATTTAAAGGTAAATGATAAATAATAGATTTAATACCAACCTTCCAGGCCAAGACTCATCTAAAGTCCCATGAATAATAAGAGTATTGTAAGAGGAGGAAGACACGTCCAAACTACTACGATTGCTGCTGTTATCAGGCCTGTTCAAGCTACTTCGGTTGCTTCCTGAACCATTTCCACCAGTCATCCCAGCTCCTTCAAGTTTTGCACTGAGACTGCTACGGTTGCTGTTTGGGCTGCTTTGGCTGCTGGACAGCATGGCCATATTTTCTTGACCTTGTGGTTCTTGTCGTGCTGTGTGTCGAATAACGTAACGTTCCTCATGGCTGAGGTTTTCGTTCGATGTAGAAATATCAGTTTCGCTTCCACTGAGACTTTGTGGAAAACCCCCTGCATTTTAAAAAATAAAAATGTTACAAAAACATTAAGAAGTGGACATGATAACGGCGGACAAAATTCTTACAGTACAGACCTTGCAATATCCTTAGAAAGCAAGAGAAAAGGAGCAGAAAGACAAGAGGCAATTTAAAAAACCAGTTGAGTTATGATTTTTGAATTGACCAGAAATTTTATAGAGGGGTTAAATGTCATAGATTTGTATCTACATTATCGGTTCTGATAGTACGTACCTGCTCCTAAAGCTTGCTGCGATTGTTGCTGCACTTGCATTTGCTGCTGCGACTGTTGCTGCAGCTGCTGACTATGAAGAAGGTGCTGTTGTTGCTGCCTTTGAGCACTATTAGTAAATGGTATATGCCGATTTGATTGAAGAGAACTCATCTTCACAGTTTAACAATATCAGCTAAGGCACCTGAAAACGAGTGATAGATTCCTTTACATTGACAGAAACTTTAGCAATTGAGCAATTTGGGGTCGTAAAACTATGCTTAAAATTGGTAATATAGGAAATGTTTGTCTCCCGTTCCCTCAAGGTATGGTAAAAAAGGTAAACAGCCTCAAACATATGCACATGCAACAAGTTATATATGCATGTATATATATTTAGACACACCAAGAGGCGCAAAAAATTAATTTGAATACGTAGGAGCAGAACCTGGAGAGAGGGAAATAGATTTAGGAAGAATCCGATGTACAGCAAAAGGACATTCGTAAATATATCTCTTTTCTCATGGAAGATGATTGAGAAGGAATGTGAGGATTGAACAGCATAACCCTTAAAAAGGATAACATTCTACCATTTCGTCACATTTTAGTCTTCCATTGCAACTTAATGGTTAAAAAAAATATTTCTACACGAAAAGATAGTAAACTTACAAATATATGAGCGAGGAAGAGGCGACATAAGTGAGTGTTCGCTTAGGAATGCAAAGGAATTTGTAGCAGCGCAGAAGCGGGGGTGGGTAGGGGTAGAGGGGAGCGGGAGCGGGAGATAGAGGATAGAGGGTGGGGGGGAATCTGCTTCAAAAACAAAAAGAACAAAAGAACAACCACATCAACAACAAAAACAAACAAAAAGGCCGGAAGAAGAGAAATTCTGGTGGCGGTAAAGCAGCGCCATTTACGAAATAGAAGGTTTGGTCAGGTTTGTTTTAATGAAGAGGAAAACATGCTATGAATGATCCATTCGAACAGTGTCTTTATTTTATGGATGAGAAAATAGTATAATAAGTTTGGACCTAAGCTAAAAGTAGAAAGTTCAAATCCAAATTGAACTTTTCAGATTTTCCATTTACAAATTGGAATCTCTAACCTTATGAAACACACTAAAGATAATCATAAAAATTTTATGACATATTTAACAGTAAAATTCATTCAAACATTAGCTTGAGTCAAACTCTGTGCAGGCACACAGATACACCTAAAATAAAAACCAGCAACAACTAGACCTAAGGTTCAAAGCTAGACTTCAACAACGGGTGTAGCAGCAGCTAAATGCTACCTTTAGGGTTTTTTTTTTAAATTTTTGACTAGGTATCAATGGATATTAACAGCAGTAAACTTGAATTTGACTATATGATACTATTCAATTCAGTCCACGCTGAACAACACTTGGAGCCTGAGACTTGATTAAATTTTCACTGTAATCCCATAGCTTTGTTGCAGTTGCAGGATCAAATGGCATTGGCGATATGAATGGACGACAGTTGCGATAAAATCCAAATGTGCCATAATTTTTTGGAAGATTTTCCTCTACAGCGCAGTGTACAATGCATTGAGCTCCCTTTAAAAGAAATGAAATAGTAAAATATTAAATCAGGTGACAGGAGCAGTACAAAGAAACTTTCTTATGAAAATTTACCAACCTTGTTTGCTGATCTCATGAATAGGAAAGCAATAGGAATGACAGTCAGGTATTTGTACCAAGGGAAATTGTAGTGGCGCATGAGCCCTGAGTAGCACCAACCAGGACACAGTGTGTATACTTCAACATCATGCTCCCCTGCTCTTTTCCCAAGTTCCATCGCATGGTAGATATTACACAATTTAGAGTTGCAGTATGCAGGAGGTAAGCGGCCACTGACTTGAGTTGGTTGCGGCCCGGTGCTCAAATGATCAAAGTCTATGATACCATGCCGATGAAGGAGAGAAGATACATTGACCACCCTGCAATAAAAACATTTTTTTCCAGTACAGGTTTCAGCAGTAGGTGAGATGGAAACTCAAAATGGAACCAAACAAACCGGCTAGGTGCAGATCCCTTCAATCTTTCTAGAAGGAGATTCGTCAAGAAAAAGTGTCCTAGATGATTGACGCCAAAATGCATTTCAATGCCATCCTCTGTCATGGGCTGTTTTTCATCTGGCATTGACAAGCCAGCATTATTGATGAGCACATGAATCTGTGGGAAGTCTTCCAGCACTTCTCGTGCGAAGGTATACACTGATTCCAAAGAGGCGAGGTCGAGTTGCATGGGAATCTGGAACCAAATCATGTATGTCAATGACCTCGATAAGAGACAGTGCGCATTAATTATCAAAGCAAACAACAAAGCACGACAGCTTCGTGTAACTTTCGTAAACAAAACTGACCAGCTCTCCCTGGGCGGTAGTCCTGCGGATGTCCTCCACAGCCAGGTACGCCGCGGCCATGTCCCTGCAGGCCATGACGACCCTGGCGTTCCTCATGGCGAGCATTCGGGCCGTCTCCTTGCCCAGGCCACTGTTGGCCCCCGTCACGATGAACACCCTGCCCGTCTGCATCTTGCCGTTGGAGCACCGGCCCCAGGTCCAGGCGGCCAGCGCGCGCACGAAGCACAGCGTCGCCACCAGCGGCACCACCACCGTCAGCACGGCGGGCATGATGCGCTCCACGTCCAGGGCCCACCGTCGCAGCACGTCCACCACACCGTCGATGCAGGAGGACCACGACGAGCAGCTGGGCAGCTGCCTCTGCATGACTCGGCCCCTGGCCGATTGCCCAGTCAGCCCGGTCAGCCCCCCGACCCCCGACGCCCCGCAGCAGCAGCAGCGGACGGGGACGCCGGCGGGGGACCTCTAAACGCCGAGGGCCAGACCCCGGTGCTCGCGATGGAAACTGGAAAAATGTCCAGGTCCAGCCCCAGGACCAAGATCCAGCTAGCAGACGCTATTAGCAGACAAACGGCTTGCAAACAGCGAAAATATAAACAAAGGACGGCACGTAAACAAACGATCGATATATCTCGAGTCTCTCCGGAACTGCCAACCTAAGATGACAAATGTGCACAGCATGAATATTCTCAGCACTGATCTGCCTGGAAATGCTTGACCTTGATTTTCTTTTATTAAACAAATATTAATATGTACCTAAATTTAGTAAGAAAAAAAATTACTGACTTAGAAAAAATTTGTTTTTTAGGACCATGTAGTAGCATGGTAAGGATGGTAACAAAGTTCGTGTTTCCCCGTACAGTGCTGACCTCTACGCCTGATTCCTGTTCGGGTGCCGTGGCGTAGTCGGTAACGTCGCGTGCCCGCACTCGCGCGAGCGCGGGTTCAAATCCCATGATCGGCTGTTGCAGTGATGAATAAAAAGCTTAATTGGAATTCCTCGTTCATAATATCGTTGATGATCAGAATTATCTGAGCAACTGTCTCTCTTTTTCTCTACGGTGTACTGGACCACGTTTCTTTTCCCCCATCCTTGTTTACGAATCCTGCGTTTGGTGTTGGAATTTCCACAACCGAAAAAGTTGATTTTATTTTCATCGGTGAACTTCCCCGACCGAAAAACAAAGCCTACTTTGCACCTCGTGTTGTGCAACGCGGCCGTCGGGTCGGTCCAGTCGTCTCGTCGAGGATCGTCGAGGATGCATGCGTTATCTCCCCATCTCCGGAGCCCTTTGGAAGGGGCCGCACCACACGGCACCGCACGCGCTGCGCTCGGTCAGCCCATGAGGGTGCGAGAGAGACAGAGCGAATCGTTTGGCCAGCACCCCTTATTGCTCTACCCCGGTCTCTCTTGCCGCCCCGCCGGCGACCTCTTATCGCGCTTATCGCGACACGATGAAGCACTTCTATGGGAACTATATGACGCCCGGAGTCTCCGGGCGCCACGGCGCGCCACGCGGCTCCGACTGCAGGCCAATACCGCACCGCGCCACTTCGCTCTGTCTCTCTCGCACCCCTGCGGAACGCCCAACGAGAGCGACGAAGATGCTGCTCCGGCCGGCACTCCTAAAAGGCGTAATTACATCTCTATTACACCGCCTTCCCCTTTGCGCGTTGCCCTGGCGTTGTGCTGGCTCTGCGCGCATCTCGCGCTCCGACAGTTCGGTCCACATATGCTTTTATCGCTTATCGTGTAGGTGCAGGGCAGGTGCGTGGAGTGCGTGCTAGGTCGGCCTGGTGAGTCGGTACAAGTCTTTGGTCCGAAAGCAACTCTTGGCTGGGGTGGAAATGGTCTAGCGAGCGGCCGCTGGGCGGATAAGGGAGGTTCGCGCCAAATCCAAATCCCCTCCGCACCGCGGCAGGGCGCCAGGGCAGGCCAGCGAGGCCCAGCCGCAGCAAAGCCCATATCTCATTTCAGGCGTGTTATTCCTTCCGTGCTCTCGCCGCTACGTATCTCACTCGCAATTTTTTATTTTCATTTTTTTTTTGTCCTCTCCAGCTTGCCTCTCTCCTCTCCAGCGGCAGACAGAGGCGCCAGAGCGCTCCAGTGCTGTGTGTGGTTGTTCCAGTGCAGCCTGGAGAATGGCCGCCAGCCACTTCAGGGCGGGGAGGGGGGGGGGGCTTTTCTCTCTCTCTCGTCATCCTGGAGAGCGCGCGCGCGGGGTCCCAGCCAAAATATATAAAAAGAGGACGTAAGCCTCTTTATGAGAGTTGCCTTTCTGGCCCCTTTGTTGGTGGCAACCCTCGCAGCACGGCGCAGCGGCCGCGGTGGCCTAATTCGTATAATGAGAGACAAAACTACGTGAGCCCACACCGCGCGGCGGAGGGGGGAGGGAGAGGACCCGGTGTTGCCGTGTGCTTTGCGACTCATATCATCCCTGTATAATCCTCTCTTCGCGCGTCTCTCTCCCCCTTTCTTTGTCTCTGGACTCCACACCAACACAAACACGGACGCACACACAAACGCGCGCGCACACATACATTGTGAACATACACTCGTTATTTCCACCTTCTATGCCCCGCATGTTATGGCAGCATTCCTGAAAAGTTAAAAAAGAGAGGACTATAAACGGGGGAAATGCATTTTCATTACAGGCTTCTTTATTGTGTGAAGCATGGGCCTGGCGAACCGGCCCGTCCTATCACAAACGGCCGGGACATTTTCGAGGCCACCGCAGCACAAGTAGTGGAAAATGTGGTGACATCCACCTCAATAATGTATTAACTGTGGCGCTCCACCAAATTGTTTAATAAAAATCCGGTCACGTGACGTGTCCGACATTGCGGCGGCTTTATTTTCCCGCTTCCTTTCCCGCTATTTTGTCGCAATATTTCCCGCCATGATTAATGTGTCGCCTGACGCCGCCGAGCTTCGTCTGCAGACATTCCGAGATTCGTTTCCCGTCGCTCTGTCTCTCTCGCACCTGTGCGGCGCGCCCCACGAGTGCGAGAGAGAGAGACTACCGGAATGAGTGGCTGCTCTTCTTTTCCACCCACGCCACCCTGCCTCTCTCCTCGCTCGGCTGTCGTGTCACCGCAATCATTTTTCCTGCCCGGCCGCCTCGCCTCCACCGCTTTCATATCTCTGCCGCCCTCCACTCCACGCGCTCCCCTCCGCCCTGCCGCCCTGCCGCCCCTCGTCCAATGATGGTCCACCCGCGTCAGAGCGTGAAGGATTGGGCGGGGCCTCTCCTCCTCTTCCTCCTCCTCCCTTTTCTCCTCGCTGCTTTCCTTGCCGTCGGCTTGCCGTCGAGTCTCGTCCTCATTACATCCCCGTCCCCCGCGCCCCCTCTCTCTCTCTCTCCCGCGCGCGCTCCCACTCTTCCAATTCTCATAAGTCTATGATCCCGCCGAAGGATCCCGGCGCGGCCGCTGCCGGCGATGGGGTGGCGGCGCGGCACGGCACGGCACGGCACGGCGCGGCTGCAGAGTTAGGCAGATCAAAGGCATTCCACGGGGCAGGCCCCTCATAAAATTTTCTGCACGGCGTGGCACGGCGCGCCCTCCATGCTCGCACCCCGCGTGCACGGGCACCGCGATGGGCCGCCCACAGCGCAGCAGTGGAGGCTGCCGTTTACTTGGCCTTCTCGGCCGGGGAGGCCTAGGCGGGGCGGCAGGGTGGCCCAAAGCATCGGTGGAGTGTGCAACTTGCTGCATTACACGGAACGAAGGAGCGGCGCAGCGCGGGCGGGCGCATTGTCTTGCCAAACTATTTTTGCGGGGCGGGGCCTGGGATGCGTGCCATGTGGAGGGGCGGGCTCTAGCGTCGCTACTCTCTTGGGTCTCTCTGAGGCCTCGCCTAGCAGGTGGAGCACAGCGTTGTCATACCACCGGCCGAGCGCTCTAAATTTCCCTGCGGCCTCCGTCTGAAGATGGTTATGTTGGGATGGGGTAAACTGTGAACGGACTGTGGCACCGCTGAGACTCGAACACGGGCCTCCGGTTTGGCAGGCAACGACGCTACGCGCTCGGCCGTGGTTTGCAAAACGACGGCCTCGGACTTCGCCGTGCTGGCTGGCCTCGGCCCCGCTGCCGCACTGTCGGCAATCCCAGGCGCCCAGCCTCATTAAAATCCTTGCTCCATTACAGAAATTTGTAATTAACTTTGGGCTGGCGGCAGCGGATTGGCTGGGCGAACGGGGAGGGGGAGGGGAGGGGGGCGTCTTGGCGGCCGGCGCATTCTCCGCCCCACCAGGCCGCGTTTAGGCCGGCCGAGCTCCCCCACCACCACCGCCCTCCCCTCCAGGGGCGCCGAGATTGTGAGGGGGTTGTAATTATGCCCAAGCAACCCGCCAGCCCCCAACCCCTGGCGTTCACCGCTACCCGCTCGCACAGCCGCGCACCCAAAACGAAGCCGTTTCTTGAACCAAAGGGTATGGACTTGCAATGAGTGAATTTACTTTCAATTGAATTTAGAATTTGAAAGGAACTCGCATTACTTGACTTTACATTCAAGTGAAAACAGCAATCAAACTGTAGTACGCTGCTTTCGCCTCTTTGTGGTTGGCTCTGCAATTTTCCGAGTTTTCCCCGCGCAGCGATAAACTGGGGCTTTCCCTCCGGCGGGCCATGTCTCAAGTGCATCAAGTAATTAACAAAGAAGCGTGTCTTTGGGGCCTCCGCTCCGCCGCTCCGAACTTTGCTTCCGAGTTTCTCCCTCTTGCTCGGGCGAGCGCGGGCGAGCGCGGGGGCTGGTGGCGAAGTACGAAGTGCCTCATGGCGAGGGCGCACGGCAAAAACAGTGTCCAGGACTCGAACTGATTGCGTGACCCCGCCAATGGATTCCTCGTTCGGAGAGCAATCCATTGGTGGGGTCACACGTTCGGTACGAGCCCCATTCAGCGACTCTGGAGCTCAAAACGCGTCTAGGGTTTTGGCCGGCTCCACCGGTCTTCTGGCCCACTGTGCAAGGCTAGCAAGGCACGGAGGCGAAGCGCCGCGTAGCGCGGGCAAATTGCCAACAACTTGCAAGTCCCGGCTCCTTGACTGCCGCCCCCGTCCATTACAGTACCGGAGTAGGGCCTTGAGGCCTTGAGCTTATTATTACATTACCCCGCCTGCTCTGCCTGCCTCCCTGGCCTGCCTCCCTGGCCTTTCCACCATGTAAAGACTAATTTGCGAAATGAAGACCAATTCCAGGGCGAAATAATGAAAAGGGGCCTGGCTGCGCTGGCATAGCGCGAGGCTGCGAGGGGCTCAAAGGAACCTCTGCGCCATTGTCCTCGTCGCCGTCATCTTGAACGAGTATACTCCATCACCGCGTTTGGCGGGGCCGCGTGGTGGAGCGGCCCGGTGCGCCAGAAGAACATCGAGTGCCAGTCTTATCCAAGACGAGCGGTTCGCTGCGATTGCAACTGCGCGCCCAGCAACACGTAGTGCCCCATGCAGGACATCACAGCGTCCACGCGGTGCGCGCAGCCTCCCAATCGGCCGCGTCGGCCACCCTAATGCGTCGTATTAGCTGTCCTCTGTCCACTAAACGCCCCCCCCCCCCTCCGGCCAAATGAGCCCCTCGCTTCGCTTCACATTGGGCCCCTTCCCTTGGCCGTGATAGAGGGCGGCAGGGCCGGGCAGGGCCGCCTCCCTCTCCGTCCTCTCCGCCGCCAGCGTCGCCAGCTTCGCCAGCCCGCGCGCGCTCTTGGCTTTCCCTCCTCGGTTATGGCCCTCCCCCACCCCTCCCCCACCCCCTCGCCCACCCCCGACCCCACCCAGGGCCGCCCCTGGCCCCGCGCCCGCGCGCTGCTTGCTCGGGAATGTCTGGTATTTCAATTAATTCCACGAATCAAAAGACGGAGCGGCAGAGCGGCGCTTTTGTGTCTCCCTCGGCGAGCTCCCCGCCTCCAGCCTCCAGCCCGCGGGCGGGGCGGGGCGGACGGGGCCCCACATTTGGCCAACGACACACCCGCCCCCCGCCCCCGCCCCTTCTCATTTACTTTGTGTCTTCCTTCGGCCTCCCCCCACCACCTTCTCCTGTAATTACCCACTTACCCCCCGCCCCCGCTGCGGCCCGCTGTGCCCGGCCCTTGAATTGGCTTCATTCCGGTGCACAAGGGCCTAAGTGAGACGGGGGTTCGCTGCTGCGCCGCGCCCCGGCGGCCGTCGGGGGCAATTTGGGGTGCATGTGTGTGCGTGCCTCGGCGTGCGTGCATGCAGCGCCGCGTCGCGTTGGCGGCACTGATTTCCGCACCGCCAGAAACCGCGGGAAATCTCGACTGGTGAGGTTAGGCTGGTTAGGTTAGGCTGGTTTGGTTAGCGGTCGGAAATGTAAAGATATACTACACGGAAATGCGTTTTCTAGTCACCACGTTGTTTCCCTGCAAGATCACCGCGCGGCACGCCGAAACAAAAAGCAGAAAAAGAAGAGCGAAAAGGGTAGAGCGGGGGGCCGTCGGGCCGCAGCACGGCGCCACCGTTTGCCGGTGAATAGAGAAGTCAAACTGAGTAACATTCCTTGTAGTCGGACATTACCATTTTATGTCGGACCCGGGTTGGCCGGGCCGCCCGCACGCATACGACTTGCGACCCGCACCCCGCCCGCCATAAAGATAAGCGTGCGTGGCGAACTCCCACCTCGCCGACAGGGTAGGCAACCTCCTGAGCACCCGGCCGCCCGACCGGAGCCTTTGATCTTTTTCAATCTTTTTTTTTTTACTCATCATCCCAGTTCAATTACAAAATGGTGATGGCCGCGGAATGCTGCGCGGTGCGCGCGGGCGGCCGTGCTCAGCGCAAGCGTGCACCCTGCGTTCAGGTCTCCGCCGGTTCGGCCCTGTTCAGCCCCCGTGCGTGTCTGTGTCTGTTCAACACAACACGCATTTCCGTGCGTGAGTGTGCCTGTGTGAGTGTGTGAAATGACAGCGGCTTGAATGGATGCTGGACCGGTTGTGGGAGCGCGTCGGACGCGTCCCCGGCGGTATGGTGTCTCCCCGTGTGTTCCCCCCGCTCCCTCTCATAGCTAATTTGTCACCGAATAATCACATTGACTCGTTGTCACGTCGTCATCACTGTCGAGTGATCGGCTCGTAATTGGTGTCGTAAATTCAAATCAAATGGGATGGGCCAGGGTCGGTGTCAAGTGGAAGCAATAACGGGTGGAGAAAGAAAAAAAAAAAGAAAAGTCTTTTTTCCACCAGTGACAATTTATTTTCAGAATTAAACACAGACAATGTTCATATCTTACGTAGATTCAACCCGACAAACTGAACTACTGGGTTTGCCTATCCACACTCATCATAATTTATACACGTACTTTTATAACAACACACATTTTGCCGCGCGAAGGCGGCCATCACAGATTGAAGCGCTCTTCCGTACAGTTAGTTCAACTTTTGAGACTGTACCGAAAATGGCAATATTGTACAGTAAAGCACACTGTGTATCTGCATTGAAAATCAAAACTGGTACTTGAAAAAAAGTAGCAAAAATAAAATGTTAAAAAATTAGACCAGCGGCTAGTATAGTATCAAGTTGAAATTGAGTCGCACACTTTGACGGAACTCGACTTGAACGGCAAGAAACATAAAAAATTGAGACTTTCCGGAGGAATATCAGCGCGCTCACTACTACTCATTAATTATTAACAATTTTAATAACTACGAACCGTAAAGCTTTGCAGTTATCGATACTGTCCGCTTAATCAATGGCACTTTATAAAGAACTTAAGTTCACCTCACTTTCATCTCCAATTCTTCGAACATCCTCAGTCTTTGGCATATGTGGTTTGGGACCCTCAACGGGCATCACTCCGACCCGGTACCGCTCACAGGTGTACAGTCGCCTCCAAAACACCCTTCCCGTGATGGCACTGGCTCCGGACACCGAAGCCCCCGACGGTCGGCGCGGCGGCCGTCTACGTCGCCAGTCCGGGGTGGCCGGGGTGGCCGTGCCCGGGGCTGGGTGCGGGGTGCTGCTCGCCGCCAAGGTGGCCTCCGTGGCCGCCGTGGCCGCCACCCTCGCCGTGGCCGCCGGGTGAGCTGAGGGGGGAGACTGTGGGCGACCCCACGGGCGAGTCGGGATCCAGGGGCCCCACCAGGGCGCTGACGAGGCGCGCGCGGGCCGCGGCGGGACTGGCGTCCGCGTCGTCGGCGACGTCGGGGACGCCGTTGGGCATGACGAGGGACGCGAAGTACGACCGGTCCTCGCTGAGCACGCTGTCCTCGGAGCCGCTGTCCATGTCTCGGTGGCCCGGGTGGCCGGGGTGGCCGGCGTGGCCGTGGCCGTCGTCCAGGTGCTGCTGCAGGTGGTGCACGGGGTGCTGCTTGATGGCGGCCAGGCGCTGCTGCTCCACCTCCAGGTGCTGCTTGCGCCACTTGATGCGCCGGTTCTGGAACCACACCTTGACCTGGGCCTCGGTCAGGTTGAGGGCGTGCGCCAGGTACAGCCGCTCCGGCCCCACCATGTACTGCTGGCGCTCGAACTCGGCCTCCAGTCTCTCCAGCTGGTCCGCGGTGAAGATGGTGCGCACCCGCTTGCACTTGCCGCCACCGCCAGCCGCCTTCTTGGACGCCGAGCCGGCGCCGGAGTCACCGTCAGGGCCTGCAGGACCTGCACACAGAGGAAGAGGAGGCCTCGTTAGGCTGGGAAAGAACACCAACTCGCCGTCGCGACACTATTCAAAAACATCATTTTAGAAAAATTAATTAGATGCGTTTTTTTTTGCCGGTGTATTTTTTTTGCAATTGCATGCAGTCGTGTTCTCGGCGCGTCACATTATCACCGACCATAAAGCACGCAGCATCAACTGCCATGAATTTAAATGAGCAGCTGGGCGGGGCTGGGTGGGGCGGGGCTAGCGCGGCCGGGCCGACCGCACGCGAGACGCGAGTGAGTTCCCCACTTTCAATCACGCCGGTCATGTATTTTCACAAATCGCCCGCTGCAGTCCACACCCCGACCCTGCCAGCCTGCCAGCGGTCTCATTCCAAACACTGCTTCGCTCTGTCTCTCTCGCACCCGTGCGGGCTGCCCCGTGAGTGCGAGAGAGAGCGCAGCGTATCGCGAGGGCGATTTAATCCGTTCCGCACCAGCGCCTCCTAATGAGCAAGTCAGCGAGTTAGCGCGAAAGTCGAGCTGGATTCGGAGAGTCGTTCTCGTCGCTCTGTCCTCCTCGCACCTCACGCGGGCCGCCCCATGAGTGCGAGAGAGACGGAGCGAGGACTCTTTGAATCAGTCTGCTGGACCGCGAGCAACGCGCGACGCAGCGGGGCGATCTTGTTATTATAAAGTTCGAAACTAGTTTCGGAGATGGGGAGAAAGGGAAGAATATCAAGAAGACAAATAGGAGCGAATGAGAAGGGAGGACAGAAATGGGGCAGAAGACGCGAAGAGCTCGCGGAGAATGTAGGTGAGAAAGAGCTTGAAATGCGCCCCATTTGACTGTCGTCCTCAGCGCGCCTCTTTGGCGCTGCTGTCGGCGATCATAATGATCCGGGTGGATCCGAGTTGGGCTGGGCTGGGCGAGTCAAACGAAATGCCTCGCCGCGCCGCCTCCACCACAATTCGTCCCGAGACGCGCACAACGCGCATTCAAAACGGTTTCACCCCCCACCCCTGCCCCTCCCCTGCCTCGCCCGCAAAGGGGTGACTTGCACGACAATTAAATAACATGTGCTCTGCTTCACGACGGAAGGGAGATATCATGAAAGGGGGAAGCCTCTTTGTGTTATTCCATCACCAGCGAACTAACAAAGCTAATTTCATGGGCGGAGTGTGTGGCATTGCATTATGGGGTAATTATATCGAGTCTGACGCGGATCAGGTATGCGCGCGCTAGGCCATTCGGTCATTCCTCCGCCCGCTTTTTGTTTATCAAAAGTTCTTAGACGTCTGCTCTGCTTCAAGTATTGGTCCAGATTTTTTTTTCAACCCCCTTTTCTTTCTTTTTTTCCTTGTGCAAGATTTTTACGTTGATCGACGTGATCCTTTAGGGTCGAGTCACTCTTTGCGGTGACGGGGTGCGTTCAAAAAGTCAAAGCGCCTCGCTCACTGCTTGCAAGTTTGACCGCCTTGATTTCTCATAGCGACCACGAACACTTCGCGTCACTAGAGTCACTCTTTGCGGTGTGTTCTGTAAGTCAAGCCCCGCGCTTATTGCCTGCAAGTTTGACCGCTTTGATTTCTCATAGCGGCCACGAACGCTCCCACGGCCATCCATAAAGGGTTGCGGAATGAGGTCCGAGTTTACAACGTTCCCCTGCCGCCGGTCAAAGGGACCAAAGGGACAGCCCCGTTTCAAACTGCTGTTATTGCAACCGCGGCTCTACCAGCAAGGCGGAAACTGGGCGTTTGAACGCCGCAAACTGGACGGCACGGCACGGCACGGTGTTGGCTGTGGCACAGCCGCTATGCACTCGGCCAGCCCCGCCGGCTCAGCCATGCGAACACACAGCGCAGGACGGGCAATCTCTCGTTATTACTCTGTTTGAGTGAACTCGCGCTTTGACGCAATCTAACAAATCCAATGCCGGACAGACACAGAACACAGAACGCACAATTATAGTGGCTTCGCAGAGTCGGTGTGGGCGGGGAGAGGGGGGAGTATAGGAACAACGGGGCTCACAGCGCGCGCGCGCACGCACACACACAGACACACACACACACACTTATGAATGCAGAAGCTCTCTTCACCGCCCCGAACATCCCTGATTCGCTGACAATAATGTCGCTGAAATTTTCTATCATCTGGCTTGCGGTTCTTTCAACTTTACTTTCAGCATTCTCAAGGACTTTGCCGAGAGAAAACTCGTCTGGTACACGCATACCTTTTCAACTTTCCTCGGCCTGTGCCTGCCACCCCCACCCCTTATTGGGTGCTCTCGGCCGGAAGGAATCATAACAATAATTCAGTGGCCCCGCCCTCCAGCCTCGCCCCACCGGCGTGGCAGTGTGGTGGCAGTGCCTGCATGTCCTGCGCAGAGTGCGCTTATTGTCTCGTTTTGATGACGTCAAACACCCACCTGACGCACTTCTCCGCGGGCTGAGCTGCTGCTGCAGGGGCCGGCCGCTGTTGGCGAGGGACAGGTCCGTGGGCGAGGACGGCGGCTCCGCCATGTAGTGCGAGGCGCCGCGGTGGCCGAGGTAGGCGCCGTCGCGGTGGGAGGGCGGCGCGCTCAGGCCCAGGATGGCGTCGATGGTGAAGGACTTGGAGGGCAGGCTGCCGAGCGAGCTCAGCCCGCCCAGGCTGGTCGGCGGCGAGCTGCTGGGGCTGGGCGACACGCTGCTGAGGGAGCCGGGCGACGGCGGCGACGGGCACCGCGCCATGGACGACATGGACGACATGCTGAGCGGCAGCTGGGGGTGCTGGAGGTGCTGCAGCAGCGACGACGCCAGGAACTGTGGCACGGTGTGCACGCCGTGCACGGGGACGCCCAGCGGCATCGGCACGCCGCGGCCCTGCGACGGCGGCCCGCCCGGCGCGCCCTGCATCCCCTGCACGGCCGCCGCGCCGCGGGCCATGCCCAGCGACGACGGCGACGTCATCGGCGACGTCATCGGCGAGGCCTGGTGGTGGTGCTCCTGCTGGTGGCGGTGAAGCAGCTGAGAGAAGGCGGTGTATCCAAGGAGCGGGCTCTGGATCATGATGGGCCTTGGCTAGCCGTGGCTAGCCGAGGGGCATAGCACTGGCTTCACAACGGGGAGCACTGTCACACTGTCGATGCGTCACGACCTCGTCACGACCTCGTCACAGTCCGTGTGACTCTCCGTCGGCGAGGTCCTCGTGGCCGCGTGCGCCGCGTGCGTGCCCGCCGGTGACGTCCGTGTGACTGCGTGACTTGCCTGCGACGAGCACCGACACCGAGCCAGGATGGGAAGCACGGCGCGCGACGGGAGGAGGAGGGAGGGGGAGGGAGGGGCACCCTCTCCCACTCCACCGGCCCGGCCCGGCCCCACCTCGCTTGGCCACCCCCACTTCCTCGCCCCGCCTACTCCACCAAGCAGGTCTCCACCACCATGATGAGGCCCGTCATTGAGGTCGCCGGCGTGTGAGTGTGTGTGTGTTGTGTGCGTGTGTGAGAGAGAGCGAGCGCGCGTTCGTTTCTCTCAATCCCGGGCAGCTAAAAGGGCTGCACGATAAAGCCCGCGGTGAGGTCGATCGCGAGGCCCCCGCAGCCCCACGGGGCCCCCGCCCTGCCCCGCCGCGCCCCGCCACCGCCCCACGCGCGCATCAGTTGATGGCGCTCCTAAACTGCGGGTGGAAGACTGCGGGCGAATTCTTGGAGAGCCCTCTCTTGACATCTACTTTGGTCATTCTCCTGTTGGCGGGCAATTTTCCTGCTTCATGAGAAAACGCCTCCCCCCCCCTCCTCTTCCCCTCCGCCACATCGCCGCCGACGTGTCGCCTTTTGCGACGTATGAGCAGGTTCAAAAAAGACAAACACGTGGGCCTTATTTATTACTTTCAAATACCGGAGCAATTTTTTAAAATGTTTTTTTTTTTTTGCCAAATTGACACACTTTTCTGCCTGGCGTCTTGCTGCCGACGTGGGCCCTCCTTCACAGACGCACGGCGCCTCAACAAAGTTGTCTCGCTGGACTGCTGGACCCGCTCCATGCTCGGCTGCCAGGAGGTTCCTGGAGGGTCCTGGAGGGTCCCTGGCGCCACGCCGCTCGCTCGCAGCGCGACTACGTGACTACGCGACCTACAAGATCAATAGCGGCGCTGCGATTGGTCCGCGGGCTGCGGCGCGCGCTCTGATTGGCTGCGGTGCGCCCCCACCTCCCACCGCCACTCTGGCGGCCTGGCCCCGCGGCCTGGCGGCGTGCGGTGGGTGGAGGGCGGTGGCGCGGCGCCGCGGGGGGGACACGTACGAGGTAATAATGCCTCGCGCGGGGGAGGGGGAGGGGGCGCCAACCGTTCCAAACCTGTTAATCTTCGAAATAGGCTTACTTAGCCCGCTCCGTGAGGTCCTGAAGGCTCGGCGGGGCGCCACTCGAAACTATTCCAAGACACTGTCCAAGACGTCCAGCGGGACGAGGAGGTACTCTCTCACCTATACGGGACGCCCCGTGAGTTAGAGAGAGACAGCGCGATGGAAACGACTCTCTCTCGGAATGAGTCTGGTGGACGAGGGAAATTTCCCGCCCCCACCCCTTTTCCCGCGTGTCCTCGCCTCCTCCAAGTAGTGCTGCGACCCGGCGACGTCCATTGAACTTGCGAGAGCACTGCCACGGTCATCATTGAGCGCTAAGCCGGCAGCTAATTGCTGTCAGCGAGGAGGTCGCTTTCGTCGCTCTGTCTCTCTCGCACTCGTGGGGCGTGCCGTACAGGTGCGAGAGAGACAGAATGAGCCTTCAGGTTGGCCGGCGCGCATTTTCCTTTTCCGACGAATCAATTAGGGGAGAGTGTCCTGTCGCCACACTGTCACGCTGCCGCCACCCTGACTCGTCGCCCCGCTCCCTCAACGTCGTCCTCTCCGTCCCGTCCGACTTCGGCGAAGCGGCGACCGCCTTGGTGCCACGCTGTGGTGCCACGCTGTGGTGCCACGCCACGGCGCGCTGCAAGCACACTGTACCCCGAACCACAGCGAGTTCTCATTAGGCTAAGCCAGAGGTCCTTCCCGCGAAGGGCCACCGAAGGGCCACCGAAGGGCCAACCAGGACCCCTAAAGCCACCACCCAATTGTGGAGACACTGGCATAACGACGAACAGAAGACGCCACCGCTGCCTGGAAGCTCGAGCTCCAAATTTTATTTCCCCCAGTGACGCCAGAGCCTGGAACGGGTTTATTCCTTCAAAATAATTAAAATCCGATTCCATCTCGGGTGGATGGCTGGGTAGAACGTTCCCGCCAAATTTTTGCACGAGTCCGCGCTCTTTGTGTTCCCTTGATTGCTGGCTTGGCTGCGGAAAGCATCGGAACACAAAACAGGCTTGTTATTTGCGAGCGAAGCTTATTAGCACCACCCACTCATGTCATAATACACGCCCTGGCAAACATGTCCATCTTCGTGTCAGGCAGAGAGAGAGAGAGAGAGAGAGAGAGAGAGAGAGAGAGAGAGAGAGAGAGAGAGAGAGAAGAGAGAGAGAGAGCGATGATGACCGCCGGCAAGCCGACGGCAAGTCGGACACTGTCCACTGCGCGGACAATGAGTGCTCATTGCGGGCATGCACGGCTTAGCAGCGTGTAATCTCGTTAAAATGGCCTGTCCACGAACTAAGGGGTGGGCGAGGTGAGGTGGGCGCCGACCCGGCCACTGTGTCCAATCTAGTTGCCGTAAAAGGCCTCCCTCGACGTCCTCGTATTCTTAAGACCCTACTCTTTCATGCCCTGTATCGGGAAGACGTTGACCACAACGATTTCGCCTTTGACCGCAACGATTTTGGGACCAAAGTTGGTCAGAAAGTGGTCGAATCTCGGAAATTTGCTGATTTTGTCGACTTTGGGCGGCTACTGTGTCCAATCTAGTTGCCGTAAAAGGCCTCCCTCGACGTCCTAGTATTCTCAAGACCCTACTCTTCCATGCCCTGTATAGGAAAGACGTTGACCACAACGATTTTGCCTTTGACCGCAATGATTTTCAGACCAAGTTGGTCAAAAAGTAGTCGAATATCGGAAATTTGCTGATTTTGCTGACTTTGGGTGGCCACTGTGTCCAATCTAGTTGCCGTAAAAGGCCTCCCTCGACGGCCTAGAATTCTTAAGACCCTACTCTTTCATGTCCTGTACGGGAAGGCTATTGACCGCAACTAGTTTGGGAGCGGTAGCCTCACAAAGTTGGTCATGAAGGGTAAAAACAATGATGATCGGGGGCCTTTTGCGGTTTTATCTGCCGGGGCCTTTTGGGGGCCAGTCCGAGCCTGCCTGCAAGAGAGACGAGAGCGCTGCCCGGAGTCCAACTGCAGCTTCGGCCCCAATGACTCCCCCCACCCCCCGGGGGGCGATTGACACGGCCGCTTGCGAGCACCACCTCCCCCTCCCCTCTTTTCTCACGAGTCTCTCTGACTTGGGTCAAGTCGTGTGCCGCATCCTGGAGTAGCGCGTCCAGCCGGGCAAGCCTCCGGGCCTCCGGGCCTCCGGGCCTCCACGCTCCGGGGCGCCGAGGAAGGAAAGAGGACCGGAAACCGCAACAGGGCGGACGCGGCGGAGTGGCGGGGCACTGGGGGCACGTCACCGGGTTACTGTAGTACAGCGCCGCACTCCACGGAAGCTTTTCACGGCATACGCGAACCCCGCGAGAACGTGAAAAACAAAAATTCACAGCGAAAATATTTATTTTGCGGACGGTTAACCCGGGTCCTGTGTGTCCGACGGGGAGCACCGTGTGTCGCGACTGGCGCGGGTCAGCAGCGGATTACGTACTGTGTCCAGTGCTGTGCCCGCACCGTGTGTGCCCGCACTGGACGAGACGGACTAAAAGCCCCACGATAAGGATCAGCAGGCATCAACGGAAAGGCAGAGACAAAAGCGAGGACCCGCGCACTTAATTAGGAGAAAAGTCGCCATCCGAGTGTGAGTCGCATGTGTTCTAGTATATCCACCTGTTTGTGTGGAAATTCGCCGGGCACCCCGAGTGCCAGGCTCGTCCTCTAGAGGCCCTCTAGCTCGCCTCGCCCCCACCGCCGCCGCCGCGCACAGACGCTCCCCCACCACTCCGCGTGGCCGAGGGCCGCCGGGCTGCCCCATTTGACGCGCACCGGTTATTTTTCTGTGCGCGGTGTAATGGCAGTGTATGCACGGGGTGGTGGCCGGCCGGATGATGTACAGTATAGCGCCACACATCTTCAGGGGAACGAACAAATTGGCAATCGCGCGGCGCGTAAATAAAAACGCGAAATGGGACTCGCGGCCCCGCCGTTACCAGCAGTCTCTCTCGCACTCATGGAGCGTGCCGTGGGAGTGCGAGAGAGACAGAGGCACCAGCAGCTGTTCGTGGTCTTTATTGAAATCACTCTGGAGGGGAGGGGAAACGGCAGCGGCCTGTTCCACAATGGTATAGCGAAACAATGTAAATAAAGTGCAAATGCAAGAAATCGGGAATTGTCACACGCTAATATCTTCTATCTTCCTTGCTCCAAACAAAAGTGCGAAACAAATGAACTTTTGTCAACAAAATAAAACAAAACATTTCATTTGGCCGCACGTTTCCCATGCAGGGTGCAAGTCAGTAACAAATCGCAAGTCTTTTTTCTTTTTTTTTCCTCCACCGGAATGGAGGAGGCCGGAGCTTGTAAACGGGAGCCAAGGGCCTGGAAACGAGCAGCACTTTCCGACAAGGAGACGCAGCCAAGCACACACGAGGGAATCATCCAGGATCACACACGGGCTGCTGGCTTCGCCTCGCTTTGGCTGTGTGCGCGTTGCGTGCTGCTGTCCGATGCGGTGTGGTTGCGGAGGTGACTCACATTTTTAATCCTCGCCACACTGGGATCATCTCAGATCCTATATGTAGGCCTGTGTGAAGGAATCTGTAGACGTTATTTTGACTTTTGGTGCGGCACGAGCCGCAGTAGTGAAGGTTGTAACAATTTTAGAAGTAATTACTTTTGAACTATCGGTTGCTCCAAAATTGTTGAGGCTTCCGCGTTAGAAAAATACTTCGAAAAATAAATAAAGGAGAATAGTGGCGACGTCTGTCCCCTTTTTGGGAGAAACACGTGTATACAACACAACGAGCTCTGAGCAGTGCCTCCTCCCCAAGTGCATCAAATCGCAGCAAATTTAGCCCGCGCGAGTCGATGGGAGAGAGGGGGAGGGGTGGGGGAGCAGGGGAGGTCATGATATGAGTTTTGGGGTAAAGAGCGGCACTGGGGCGACAGGCGCTCCGAATCGGGCCGTTTAATCGACAAACGATGCGACACGCGAAAGCACGTGAAAGCTTTGGTCGGAGCGAATCGCCGCCCGCAAACACAAGTAGTACGAAGAGGGGTCTTCCCGGGCCACGCCCCCACCAGTGCCACGTGTACCACTGTGCCATCATGTATGTTCCATTCCATTCGCGATGCACGTTCCATTATTTGACACAGACTTTTGTCTGATTTGCGTGTATTGACTTTCCCCGCAGGCGTGACGACGCGTTATGTCTATTAGGTCACTTTCCGTTTGCTGGTCGAATAGAAATCGTCGTTTCAAGAAACAGACACATGTTTTTTTTTTAGCTTGTTTGTTCGATTTTTATGGTTGACATCAAGAATCTATTTCAACAAAACCAAAAAAGCAGAACCCCTATCCCGCAAGTTAATAAAAGCACCCGTAATTGAACACAGCCCCTCGTGGGCTTCGCTTCGCGTTGCTCCGGGACGGCGTCGAGGACGGCGTGGCGGCGTGCGCAAACCCCCGCCGTGGCGAGTTGTCGTGTGCACGGCCGTGGGGGCCATGGCGCTGCCCGGCGCTGCCGCGGTCGTCGTCCTGGTCGTCCTGGTGGTCGAGGTGGTGGTCGTGACGTCGCCGGCGTCGCGGGAGGCGGCGAAACTCGAGCTGCTTGGAGGGCCCAGCTGGCCGTGCTGGCCGGAGTGGCCAGGCGACATGCTGGACTGAGTTACCCGCTTCCTGCCCCTCTGCGCGGCGCGCGCTCGGGCCACTGCATGCACTGCACGCCACCGATGGGGCTCTCAGAGCGATTCAGTCGTTCGGTCGCTCTGTCTCCGTCGCACTCATGTAACCCTCCATAAGGGTGCGGGAGAGACAACGCCGCTCTTCTGAATCGCTCGGCAGGCGATTTCGGCCAGCAATATCCGCCGGCCGCCGGCAGGGTGCAGCCGAGGTGCCCTCGTGTCTCGGCCCCTGTCGAGAGGGGCAGCACCGCGTTCGGAAGCAGCCCTCAGCCGCCCACAGACTCATCGCAAAATTGCTGTGGCCGTCCAGCCTCGCCTCTCGGCCTAACCTCTCGGCGAGCCACGCCACTATTAAACCGGGGACTGATCAAAGGGCCGCCCCGCCCTCGCTCGCTCCGCCGTGCGCGGCGCGCCAATGATGGGGCCGTTTTATCGAGGCGACAAGGCGGTGCCACAGTGTGCGTGCATGACCACGTGACCACGTGAGGGCAAAGCGGCTGATACGGGATGGACAGTCCGGCCGGCAGCGTGCGATGCGACTCCTGAAACGAGATAAGTGTTACCTCATTGTCGCCGTCATGCCGAAATGAGGCACAGGAAATAGAAATCATCGACACTATTAGTGAAAGCAATGGGAGCGCCTCCGATGACCTATCTTCGACTGTCTGTTCTCGAAGGGTGAAGTGTCGGCTCTTAAGAGCCAGCAGTAGTACTCACCTCGCTCGAACGAAGCGTCTTGTGCAACATTTGGACGTCAGATTTAGTCCCGTCAGCTGATCCATAACCACAAACATCGTCGAAGAAGCAATCTGAGAGAAACAGAAACCCGCCCCAAAAAAAAATGAACTAAGCACAAGTAAACAAAAGCAAAACAATGTTTAGAGAGAAATGGTAACAGTGGTACTCACTGTACGGCTCACGAGGCGTGAGATTAGATTGCACTCATTCAGACCCGACAAGGGAATGATTTCATTTTATTCCAGGAGTTTATCTGAAACAGAATCCACATGGCAAGATGCAATCAAGTGAAGCTCGTAAATGGGCCAGTTCATAGTTCCAGATCAATGTTGGCAGTGTACCAGTCTCGAGTCGCGGCGCGCCGTCACATGAGCGCCTTGGCCACCCCGCGCAGCACGCGGCGCACCTTGCGGGGCACGTTCGGCTGCAGCTGCAGGAAGGGGAGGTCGTCGTCGTCCTTCTCGTCGTCCTCCTTGGCGTCCAGGTCGCCGCGGCGGTCGCACAGCAGGCCGAGCGCGCGCAGCAGCGCCCCGCGCGTGTCCGTGTCCATGTTGACGGCGACGCCCGCGCCCAGGACCTCCTCGGCGGCGTCCTTGTCCTTCTTGGTCTGGCGGGGCTTGCGCGGGGCGCGCGGCTTGCGCGGCTTGGCGGCGGCCTTGCGCGCGCGCTTCGGCTGCACCTGCTCCACCACGACCACGTCGTCGTCGAGCTGCAGCGAATCGGGCCAGCTGTACAGCGTGACGGTGCCACCCGGCGTCGTGACGGTGGCCTGCACGGGCGTGACTGGCGTGACGTCCGCGGCCGCGGCGGACTCCTCGGCGGCGGGCTTCTGCCGCAGCGCCTCCTGGAGCAGGCCCTGGGGCTGCAAGTCCAGCGAGAGGTGCGGCGACTCCGGCGACGCGGTGCCCTGCCAGGACCGCGACGACGGCGGCAGCGAGGCCCACCAGTAGGTGGGGGCGGCGTGCTGCTGGTGCCACGTGTGCCACGTGTAGCACGGCAGGTGGCGGCACTGCAGGTCCCCGCACAGGGGGATCTTGATGGGGCCCGGGTAGCCGCAGCACGGCAGCCTGCTCTCGTCCACCGCGGGCCGCAGGCGCACGGCGGTGGGCTTGACGACGCGCACGCGGGGCACGCCGAGGGGCGCGCGCTCCGGGGCGGCCAAGTAGTCCTGGGCCGCGGCGTACTGGTGCCACTGGTACTGGCTGTGCTGGTACGGCGGGCTGTGCGCGCCCGCGCTGCCGGGGCTGGCCAGCGGCGGGGAGGCGGCGCCGGCGTTCACGTCCGCCACCTGGTACTGGTACTGGACCACCTCCATGCTGACTGCGCTGTGGCGCTGCGGCGCGAGGGCGTTACAGTGTCCCAGCCTCGGTCCGCGGAACTTGAGGCACTGGCGGTGTCGCGACCGTCGCGACCTCGTCGGCGTGGCGATGCTGGCGATGCCCGGCGTGCCGACTCGGCGGGCCAACTCAGCGCTCCTCGTCAGCCAACTGGCGACACTGGCGACTGCCCCGGCCCGCGGCCCCAAGCCCTGCCGCGCAATATCTTATCTCGCGCTGATGGCGTTCTAACGCCTACTGGCGCGTTGACGCCTCGGCTTGCGTCGCGCCGCGCCTCGCGGTCGCGTTTTGAATGGCCCCGTCGCTCCCGCCGTCCGATCCGCCTTGCCGCGCCACGCCGCGCCACGCGGCCGTGCTGGCCAAAGCAACGCATCCGCGGCCGCCGTGAACACCGTCACGTTTCACCACCCACCCGGCGAACCTGCCCGATAAGCGGTTACAAAATGACTCGCGTACCCTCACCCTCCTGGGCCTGGTGGTGCCTGATGGGCCGGGCCGTGAAGTAGGTCAGCCCTTGTGCTTCTGTATCGGCACCCAGCTGACTGCCGGCGCCGGCTAGGCCGCTGAGTGGGTGTCGCGCCTGCGGCTGCGGCCCGTTGCGTCCGTTGCCTCGCGGTGTCGCAACGCCAAGCAAGGGGGAGAGGAAAAGACAGTCTGCAGATTAGCTCAGATTGGCACATTTTACAACGGTTTAAACATGTCATTAAGGCGCTAGTCGCAATGTAGACGAGTTGGCTGCGCTCAGAATCAAACTCACGCTGCACTCGGAACGATTCGAACCGAACGCGGCGCGGCGAACGCTGCGGACGGCGGATGCGGCGTCACCCAATCTTAATTAAAAAAAACGGACGAACGCGGCGGCGGCCCGGCGGGTTGATCTGCCAAAGGAAGGGTGCTAACAGCTCGCCGTGCGCACGGTGTGCACCGAGCCGGCGCTAAGCTGCGCGGGGCGGGGCGGGGCGACGCCGCGAAACCCCTCATTGCCGTTCAAGTGGCGGGGCGCGGCGCGGCGGGGGGTCGGGAAGTCGTCCTGCTTGTTGCCGGCGAGCATTACACGCGTCATCCCCCTCCCCCTCCCCTCCCCCTCTCCTCCGCACCCCTTCGCGTATTACGTACGCGCAGCGCGACAAAATAAACTATACAATAGGCTTGTCCAATAAAACGAGGGGAATGCTCGGTAATTACAGTTTGACAAGTTGCCGCGGTTCCTCCCGCGACGACGCGATGCTGCGATGCCACCCACGTCCCGGCCGGCCTTGCAGTGCGGACGCGACAAAGGGACGCCGACGACGCGGCCCGGCCGCCATCGAGCAGTGCCTCTCCGTGCACTCCGGGTGCTCCCACACGTGTCTGCACGTCGAACGGCCGAATGGCGACCCGCCCCGTGTTGCTGCGCGTTGCGCGTTGCGTGTCGCGTTGCTGGGAAGCGTTGCGTTATTTTTACTTTGCTATCTGTGCGGCCCACCCATCGCCATCGCCCTGCTCCCTGCCGGCTGTCTCTCTCCTCTCTCTCGGACCCAGTCTCCTGCCGGGACTGCAGGGACTGACGGGACGACGCCGCCAAGGTCGCGGAGCTAGAGCCGCGGAACGCGCCCTGTAGGCTGCCGTCTATCGCGCTGCTCTGCTCGCCGAGGCGGTCGAGGCGGCCGGGCCGAGGAGGGGGTCCGCTTCCGGGGCAATATCGGTCACGAAAAACGGCCGAGGTTCAACTCCCTCCCCTCTCCGTCTGGCAAAGTCGAGAGGACTTCGCGTCGCGCCGTGCCTCCAGGCGACCCGCAAGCGTCCTGGCGGTGCCGGCGGGCCCGGTGTGGCGGTGCCAGGGTGTCTAGCTCGGTCTAGCCAGCCGGTCTAGGAGGGGGCCAGGAGACTCTGACTCTTACTCCCGGTAGCAGTGTGGCGGTAAATTGGATTCCATTGTCGTGGCCGGGGTGTTGTTGTTGTTGCCAATCCAAACCGGTGCTGCGCTTTGGATGCATCGCAGTGCATCGCAGTCCTTGCGACTCCTTTTCACACCGCACCCCGCGACAGGCCGCCAGGCCGCACCCGCTGCACCCTCATGTACTCCACAGTGCCGCCGTGTGTTGTGTGTCCACCGCAAAATAATTACCACCACAGCATGACGCTTGCTGATAGCTGATGCCTGCCTGCCTGCCCGTCTTTTAGTGGTGTGCCCCCTGCATTCCGCGGCGTGCGTCTGCGAGCGTCCATCCGTGAAAGTAAAATCCCCACTAAGCCCCGTCCGGCCCTGGCCGCCCGGCAGACTGATTCCGAGAGTCGTTTTCGTCGCTCTGTCTCTCTTGCGGTCATGAGGAGCCCCCTGGAGGTGCGAGAGAGACAGGGAAACGACTCTCGGAAAGAGTGGCGCTGCGGGGTGCAGCATCGTGCACTCGTTGGTGGGCGCGGGGCCCTTGCTCAATTACGCTCCAGGAATTCCCCCCACCCCTCCCCCTCCACCCCAACGAGGCCCCCTCTCGGCGGCCCTTCACCCTGCCACTGTAGGATTCCGCTCCGTCTCTCTCGCACCTATGCGGGACGCCCCGTGAGTGCGAGAGAGACAGAGGTACGAATCCGTGCGAGGCGCGAGGCGATACGCCAACCAGGGCAATCCCTAGGTACACCCCGGCCGCCCCCACCCCCGCCAACTTTCAAGCACCGAGCGCGAGCGGCACCAATATAAAACGTATTAAATCCCGACGGCGACAGGCGGCGGCATGGCCTCCGCTCTGCTCCGTTCCATAATTTCGATTAGCGCGCTGAAGAGGGCAGGGCGGCAGCCCGGCCGCCACCCCTTTGACGTTGCCCTCGCCGTCGCCCCGTCATCGGCGTCCTGGTGGCGGCCGGGTCGGCGGACCCCCAGCGTCGATGCCCTCTTGACCTGGCCGCCCGGGTCTTCCTCGCCTCCTTCAGGACGGTGTTGTTGTTGCTGAGTGGCGGCTGCCGCGGCGGGCCGACGCGCCGTCCGACTGTCCGGCTCCACAACAAGGAGGGACCCCACGCGAAGCGGCGAGCGGCAAGGGGCTGCCCGCGCGGCCCGTCAACGCGTCAACTCCACTAATTCCAACATTTTTCGGTTTCGAGACTCTCCCCGGCCGACTGACGGGCCGACGTAGGGGTCGGCCGTAAGCGTGTGGGTCACGGAGTGTGTGCTCCACAAGTCGAGCGACGCGGGGGCGACGCGGACGGGGCTGACTTGATTCCAGAGATTACTAGATCCCTCACACACACGCACGTACGCACACACGTCAGGTTGTTGATCCGGGGCCATGTAATCCTCTGTCACCGCGCCGCCACCGCGCACCGCGCTGTGCTGCCGGACGACGGACAGCTCGTAGGTGAGTGTTCCCCCTCCCCGTGTCGCTAGTCCTCCACCACGGCGTAGTCCTGCTCCAGCGCCGCCAGGTCCTCGCGGGCGTCGGCGAACTCGGCCTCGTCCATGCCCTCGCCGACGTACCTGGGGGCAAGAGAGAGAGGGCAGACCGGTGAGGTGGGTGAGCGTCAACACGCGGACGCCGCCAGATTTACCCGACCGTTTCCAACTAATTTTTAAATTTCTCTTCATCTGTAAAACTTCCAAAGGGACACCACTAGCGCCTTGGTGAGTCACCGCGACGTGTCCCTTTCCTCCTCGATACCTCGAGGGCAAACACTCGACTTTCGAGCGGCGAGGCGGCGAGATTTCAATCAAAGAGCTTGAATGGCTTCCTCGTCTTCCGAGCTGTTGACTTCGCCTGCCTCGCCGCGACCGTGTTTGTACAGGGCGATTCCCTAAATAATTCACCTGGCACCGCCTTTTCACGCGGATGGAGTGCGTGTGTGTGGGGGGCGTGCAATAAGACAAGCCGCATTTTCCTCGTTCGTTCATTCATCCATCCATCCACACATCCATACAGCCATTCAGTGCGACTGTTGATTCCGGGAAGACACGACGACGGCCGACCCCGGCATCGCGGCAGCCTCCCCTTCCTCCCCCTCCCCGCCCCGCCCCCTCTCTGCCTATTTACACGGCCGGGAGGTCCTTTGGTTGGGCGCGGGGCTGCGCGGGGCGTGGCTCGGCTTTCGCGGTTCGATCCCCGTCGCCGCTTTGCCGTGGCTTGCCGTTGCCTGTGTTGGCAGTCAATCCGGTTGGCCACGCTGCCTCAAGCTTATTAATGCGATGAGCTTTATTGTGGTCCGCTGACTGATTCCGGGGGTCGTGTTTTTCGCCGCATCCCTCGCACCCGTACGGGACACCCCATGAGTGCGAGAGAGACAGAGCGACGACTCTCGCCAGAGGGGGTTGGCCTCTCGATGTCGACAGCGTGTTGATGCGTGGCTCGCCTACGCCATGCCTACGCCCGGCTGCACTAAGCCGGCCGCCACACACGCGAAGCGCGAAGCAAAACACGGCGCTGGACACTGCAGCACTGCAGCAGCACAGAATGCGGTTTGGGCTCCGCTTTTGTGGATCCGTTTCACGCCACGCGGCCCCTGTCCGCAGCTTGCACGCGTGCACTTGGTTTCCGCAGTGAATAGGCCCAACCTACCATAACCTAACCTACCATAACCTAACCAAACCAAACCTAACTTAACCTACGCAAAAATCCAGCACTGTCATGTAAAGTCTCACCCAATGCACTAAAATTTAGAACTTTTCTATTTTTCACAGCGAGGTTGCCCAAGCGTACGCACCAGTGCACGAAGGCGCGCTTCTTGTGCATCAGGTCGAACTTGCGGTTGAGCTTCTCCCAGGCGGCGCGGATGGCCGTCGAGTTGGACAGCATGGTGACGGCGCGGATGACGGGGGCCAGGTCGCTGCCGGGCACCGTGGTGGGCGGCTGGTAGTTGATGCCGATCTGCGAGGAGAGGCACACCCGGTTTTGACCGCGACAATCCCCGACTCCATTCAGGCTGGGAGTCTCACTTTGAAGCCGGTGGGGCACCAGTCCACGAAGCGGATAGCGCGCTTGCTCTTGATGGACTGCACGGAGGCGTTCACGTCGGTCGGTGTGACGTCGCCGCGGTACAGCATGCAGCAGGCCATGTACTTGCCGTCGGCGGGGTTGCACCTGGGCGTCAGCCAATCGCGTAACTCCGTAAAAAAAGCGCATTTTGTTTTTGAATTGTAAAGGGTGGGGCTTGACTCACTTGACCATCTGGTTGGCCGGCTCGAAGCAGGCCGAGGTGAGCTGGCCCACGCTGAGGGCCTCGTGGTAGGCCTTGCCCGCCGACACGAAGGGCGCGTACGTGATGAGGGGGAAGTGCAGGCGCGGGTAGGGCACCAGGTTGGTCTGGAACTCCACCAGGTCCACGTTGAGGCAGCCCTCGAAGCGCAGCGACGCCGTCACCGCGGACACCACCTGGGCAATGTTAAACCATGATTATGCCTACTTACAAGCAACTTGAAAGTTCCTCTTGAATTCCTCGGTGTAAAGTCGGGAATGACGTCCAACTACAGCCAGCCTAACCTCAGCATAACCATACCTAACCTTACATAACCTCAACCTAACCTTACCTAACCTAACTTCACAAACTGACCTGCCCCAGGAGGCGGTTCAGGTTGGTGTACGTGGGCCTGGCCACGTCCAGGTGCCGGTCGCAGATCTCGTAGACGGCCTCGTTGTCCATGACGAAGCAGCAGTCCTCGATCTCGAGCGAGCCGTGCGTGCACAGCACCGCGTTGTAGGGCTCCACGATCACGGGCGAGATCTGGAAATGGCGCAGCTCTGCAGACTCGGTACCAGTGTCGTTTCGTCGCTCCGTCTCTCTCGCATCCATAGGGGACGCCCGGCTGCTGTTAGCGCCCGCCGAGTCGGGGGTAGGCAGCCACGGGGTGCAGCCGCGCGCCGGGAAGCCTAAAGCGCGCTGGGCGGCGCAGAGCTCTGTCTCTCGCACCGCTTCTGTACGCCCAAGGAGTGCGAGAGAGACAGAGTGACCTACCTGCGGGGCGGGGAACACGGCGAACTCCAGCTTGCTGGTCTTGGCGTAGTCCTGCATCAGCCTCTCCAACAGCAAGGTCGTGAAGCCGGAGCCGGTGCCGCCGCCGTAGGCCCGGAACAGGAGGAAGCCCTGGGCGGGGAAGCGTGAGCTAGCGCTGTCTCGCTCGCACTCCCTGCGGACCGCGGCACGCCCCTCGAGTGCGAGTGAGACAGAGCACCTGCAGGCCGCTGCAGTCCTCGGCCAGGATGCGGATGCGGTCCAGCGTGAGCTCCGCCATCTCCCTGCCCACGGTGTAGAAGCCGCGCGCGAAGTTGGAGGCCGCGTCCTCCTTGCCCGACACCAGCTGGTCCGGGTGGAACAGGCACTTGTACGCCCCGGTGCGGATCTCGTCTGCGGGCACAAAGACCGCCCAGTCTGCAGTCGGCACCGCGAGCCCGGCGTGTCAAGAGGCGGATGCGGATCCAAGAGGGTGAGCAAAAGGACAATGTAGCCGCTTGGCCTCTAGACTGCCGCCTGAGGTAAAAAAAGGCTTCGCTTTGCCCCTGTAAGTAGGCAAAAAGTTGTGCTTTGCCCGTCCCTGGATCCGCCACTGCCAAGAGGGGTGTCCTCGGTTCCGCTCACCGATGCAGGTGGGCTCGAGGTCCGCGATGACGGCCCGGGGCACGCACTTGCCGCCGCCCGTCTCGCTGAAGAAGGCGTTGAAGGTGTCGTCCTGGACGGTCCAGCAGAGCTGGCCGTCGGGGGCGATGCCGTGCTCCAGGCAGTACAGCTCCCAGCAGGCCGAGCCGACCTGGACGCCCGCCTGCCCCACGTGCAGGGACACCACCTCGCGCTGCGGCTGGCACGGCCATTGCGAACAGCCCTCTCACTCCGACCCCACGCCCGTCACGTCGTCAATGCACTGTTCGTACCATCTTGGAAGACGAGTGGTGCCGGAGGAGAATCGGAGACTCAGGAACTCATGGTGTGGCGCGTGAATGGCGGCATCCTCAAACGGGAGCTGCTGTCTTCATTTTGCTATTTTTATTGCGTTGCTTTCCTTTTTTCGGCGAAAGTTTTCTATTTTTTTATCGTTTCTTTTTTTTACAGGCTAATTTTTGGTGTAGGGCCGGGGGGCCGGGGTGCGTGTCCTGCGGCGAGAAGAGGGGTCGATTTAGTGTCCAAGTAAGGAAATGGAAACGTTGAGGTTGTAGCCTACCTGGGAGGCGCCAAGGGCCAGGGCCTGACATCGTGGTGTTCCAGTGTGTCGTCCTTCGCCCTTCAGCCGCTTCAGCCGCCTCAGCCCCGGCCCGCCCGGTTTCCTTGTCCTTCACCCTTGCTCCTCCCAACCGCCGCGCCACCGCCCAGTTCCTCTGTTGTGTTGGCGGGTAACATCGAAAACCCTCAGCGCCCTCTCGCACCGCGTGGTGGTCGATTTCCCAACCTCTCTATCAGACTGAGGTACTTTCCGCGCGCCCGGAGGGCAGGCAACCCATTTGACTCGCATGTTGGCACAGTTGGCAACGCACACTGATGGGTGTAGCTTAAGTGGTTTGGAGTGCAGCTCTGAATGATGCAGTCAAAATATGAAGTTCTTTTCAGGGCCTCTTGTCTTTCAATGGCGATCGAGGTGGTTTCCGCGGTTTCCGCGGTTTTCGCGGTTTTCAGGTTGCCCGTACCGGAGGTCCCGCACGTGGTGCGGAGAAGGGGAAGGGGGAGGGGAGCGCGCGGGTAGCCAGTTTGAAAGGGCGCAACAAGCCCAAACCTGCAGCCGGCACGCATGAATTTAGCTGCATTTTACGTGATTCTGAATTGAAGTCAGCAGTTTCCGACCGCACATAACTTAAGCATACTGCAATGGACCTCGAATTCAGTGTTTTCCTTCGTGGTAAAGTTCTTCTGATGGCCCATTATTAATTATGTGTCGAATAGGTTCATAGGTTATAAACTAATGTTTCGTTTGCAGAAGTTTTGAAAAATGGATGTCTTTGATTACTCCATTGAGTTCTTGCTATGGCTGATGATTTTCCCGAGGACTCGTTTTTCAGGAATAGCAATGTTGCTGCTCTGGAAGCTGCTATTAATGAGAAAGATGACAATCTGTCCAAACAAAGCAAAGCTGAGAGTAGCATTAAGAGTAAGTTTAAATTTTTAAAATCTTTATCTCTTCGCACTTGATTGCTGAATTTTTACTTGATTGTCCTCAGAGTTCTTCCTGTTATAGCTCCTTATCAATGTCTGTGTCTACCGCAGGTCCAAAATCGACTCAACATGAACCGGCGACGGCATTTATCACAGCGAAGCAATTGCTTCATTCTAGAGGAGCTGATTCCTCGTTGACTGCTTTTGGTCATCCAGGTGCACATGGGAATGCTGGAAGCTCTGAAGATTCATGTCCACCTAAATCATCCAACATCAAAGACTCTAAACGCACAACATGTCAGGCCTCTAAAAATTCACCCAAATCTCAAACTACCAGGAAAAGGTGTCCCAGGAAAATACTTGGGTCTGAAGATGAGCCCAGCACCTCAAAGACGGCTCCTAAATCAGAAACTGCCCCAAAGGATAAACCCAAAACATTGTATCAACCCCTAAACATTACCAAAAATGCTACACTACAAAACAAGCACCCTGATTGCTCAGCTAATGGCATTTTGTCAAACTGTGATGCAGCACACTTATCTTCAGGTAATTATTTTAGAAGTATGGACTTGCATTATGCAATTCCTTTTTCATGCATCCTCTTTAATGATTTCACTTTGATACTCATCATGGTCACCTGTGATTTGCCCCCCTTGAAGGTGATTTGGAGAGCTCTCTCAAAGACAACTCCTCCCTTCTTCTAACTCAGCAGAAGCTAAGGCTGGACACTTGGGGTCTACCCCAAAGTATTTTAACTCAGTACGCCAAAAGAGGCGTCACTGAAATGTTTCCCTGGCAAGTTGAATGCCTGTGCTGCCCACGAGTACTTAATGGAGGCAACTTGGTCTATTCAGCTCCCACATCTGCTGGTAAAACATTGGTTTCTGAGATTGTTTGTATCAAAACTGTTCTGGAGAGACGCAAGAAGGTGTTATTTGTTTTACCTTTTGTTTCTGTTGTGCGTGAAAAAATGTTTTATTTCCAGGTAGGTAGTTTTCTGTTGTGTTCTAGTTTTGATTAATTAATCTGTATAGTTTCAAACCACGTGACCGCTCGTTTTCTTTATGTACAGGAATTATTTAGAGGGAGTAAAGTACGAGTTGATGGTTATATGGGTGGCCACTCTGCTGCAGGAGGTTTCCGCTCGCTGGACTTAGCCGTGTGTACCATTGAAAAAGCTAACAGCCTCGTAAACAGGTGCAATAAACTGTTTCAATTTTATTTTTTCCCTACCATGGTCTATGTACTGATTGCAAGTCATTTTTTGTCAGATTGATGGAGGAAAATGAATTAGCGAAATTGGGGGCTGTCATTGTTGATGAGCTTCATTTGATTGGAGACCCACACAGAGGATACCTGTTGGAACTGCTTCTCACAAAGTTAAAATACATGTCTATTAGGTAATTTTTGTCTGAGATGCTTGTATGTAGTTTGAATTTTTGAGGCTCTAATTGGCTGGTTAAAATTTTACAGGAACAAAGATATTTCAGTTCAGATTGTTGGGATGTCTGCCACATTGCCTAACTTGTCACTTTTATCAAATTGGCTTGAAGCAGACCTTTACAAGACAACCTTTCGACCAGTACCTTTGGAGGAATTCATTAAATTGGAGACACTCTTTACAACAACAGCATGAAGCCTGTCCGGACCATTACGCCAGAGATCACAATAAAGGTTTGCTTTGTCCCACACCGATGTATTTGGAGGTATCTGTACAGATAAAATGTTATCTCTTGTTGTTTTGTTTGCCAGAATGACACTGAACATATTGTCTATTTATGTTTGGAAACAATTGCTAATGGACATTCTGTTCTCATCTTCTGTTCTACAAAAGCATGGTGTGAATCACTTGCTCAAACTGTGGCTTGTGAATTCCGTACGATTGGTCAGTTCCTCTCCACCTTGCCAAACTTTCGTTGAGACTGATTTACTCATTTTTTTTAACCCTTATGAATGATCCCAGGTCTTGGCAGAGACATTAATGCCCCTGACAGTCTTCCGTACAAACTAAGGGAACAACTCAATTCTGCTCGCATATCAGAATGCCTAGGGCAATTACGAAATTGTCCAGTAGGATTGGATAATTTGTTAGGCAAAGTTGTGTCCTTTGGAGTAGCATACCACCATGCAGGTATTAACCCCTTAATTTTTGCTACTTCTATTGTGAGTTTCTGTCTGGTACTAATCCTGACTACCAAACACCTACTTTTTACAAAGGCCTCAGTATGGATGAACGAGACATTATTGAGGGATGCTTTAAGAATGGAACTTTACGGGTTCTGGTCGCAACAACTACTCTCTCATCAGGTGTCAATCTTCCTGCCAGAAGAGTTATTGTAAGATCTCCTACTTTTCAAGGCCGGTCGATTGATATCCTTTCCTACCGCCAGATGATTGGGCGAGCTGGGCGAATGGGTGTGGATTCTGCTGGTGGGCGACATTTATTTTTATAGTTATTTAATGCTTTTGCCCCATACCTTTCTTTAACCAGTTTATTTTCGAAAATGATTTTTTCAGGTGAAAGCATTATCATATGTCAGAAAACAGAACAGCGTATTGTGGCAAACTTAGTTTTGTCTGCCTTGAAGCCGATTGAGAGCTGTCTTGGGCATGGTGATCTCTCAGCAAGTCTGAAAAGAGCCATTTTAGAAGTAAGTAGATTGATTTTTGTTATCATCACTATCACCATCAAGTCCTAAATTTAATGTTTGTCTCTCCAGGTGATTGCTGGGAAAGTTGCAAGTACACCAGAAGATCTTGAACTTTACACTAAGTGTACCCTCCTAGCCCAGAGCCGGGAAGGAACTGAGGAAAATAGCAATCCAGTTTCTGCCTGTATTTCTTTCCTTGAGGATAATGAATTAATTAGACTCCAGGTCATTGTCATGTTGTTCTCTTAAAAAAATATAAAAAAATTGTTCTTCCATTTTTGAAAATCTTATCTTATCTTGTCTTTGTTTTGAAAATTATTTTTGCTTGCAGACTGGAGATGATGGAGTTTTACGCTATTCTGCGACTCCTCTTGGACAAGCATGTCTCTCTGCATCGATTCATCCTGATGAAGGGCTTCGTTTATTCCAGGAATTGCAACGTGCAAGGCAATGCTTTGTGCTAGAAAACGAGCTTCACCTTGTTTACCAAGTAAAGCCTCATGCAATACCTCTGATTTCACCCATATATTTTCTTGTTCAAATTTACAATATTTAGTTCTATTTTGGATCATTTCTTTTCTGTAGGTGACTCCTTTAATGTGGCTGATCAGTGGAATAATTTAGACTGGATGCATGTTCTTTCACTATGGGAGCAATTGTCTCCTGATTTGAAACGTGTTGGAGAATTAGTTGGTGTGGAAGATAGGTTCATTGTGAGAGCTATGCGAGGAACAATTAATTTGAAATTGGAGAAACAGGTATGGAGGAACATGAACGTGCCCTTTATAAGTTAATATGCACTGAACCTTTTAATTATGTATAATACTCCATTTTCAGCGGCAGAAACTTCTGATCCACAGGAGGTTTTATACTGCCCTTGCATTAAATGACCTGGTCAATGAAGTCCCATTAAATACTGTAGCAGCTAAGTTTAACTGTTCTCGAGGGATGCTCCAAAGTTTACAACAGTCAGCATCCACTTATGCTGGCATGGTCACATCATTTTGTCACCGATTAGGCTGGTCCTCAGTGGAGCTAATAATAAATCAATTTCAAGACCGCCTTCACTTTGGAACTCACAGGGAACTGTTAGACCTTTTAAGGTTGCCCTCTTTAAACGGACCGCGAGCCAGAGCCCTGTATAATGCCGGGGTTACTTCTGTGTCGGAAATGACCACAGCCGATGTGCTCACCGTTGAGAATGCCTTGCATGCTGCCATTCCTTTCTCAGGTATCGTACTAATTATTCATATTCGGGTTGATTGTTTTGTGAGTGCGGTGCCTTAACTGTGTTGAATTTCTGATTAGCGATAAAGAAAGAGAGGGAGAAACCACATCAGAATTAGAGCGCAGGAGAGCTCTGAAAGGAATTTGGATCACTGGAAGGCAAGGCTTGTCTGAAAGGGAAGCTGCTGAGTTCATCATTAAGGAAGCTAGAACCATTATTCAGGTACCCATTTTTTCAATATTTCAGTTGATGCATGTTACACTGCCTGCATTGTATCGGATTTAATCTGTTGACTCCTGGCAGGCGGAGCTTGGTTTGGTTGATGTGAATTGGGACCAAAAGAAACAGATAATAATGCTGTGATCAATGACGCAGATTCCTTACTTGGAAGAGCATCTAGCACCGAAGAGAGTTCATCTACCTTTGATGAAGCAAATGTAAAACAGTGTGAGACTATTGTGCTGAAAGCACCTGAATCTGCCATTGGTCTCACTGAAAATACCAGTTCTACTGTGTTGCAAGATACTGTTGCAGCAGCTGAGCCTAAGATAGATATTGGAGAATCAATGAATGGGAATATATCAGACATGAAAAATTCTATCCTACCTGAAACTTCTGATATCACCAATAATTCATATAGGGAAAAAGTGATTGAAATAACTATTAACAACTCTTATCTGCATAAAGCTGCGGAAACCGTGAATATGGAAACAGTAAATAACTCAAACCTAGAAAGAGTTTTTGAAACAGATAATTTGGAAGCCATCCATAACTCTAATCAGGATAATGTTGTTGAAACAGAAAATTTGAAAACTTTCGAAAATTCTAATCTAGAGGAAGTAAGGGAAGTGGATAACTCAAGAAAAGCGAGTGAACGAACTGTTCAAGGTGAACAAGAATGCATTGGAGGGAAAGACGAAAGCTATCATCATGCTGACAGCTCTAAAAATTTATCCACAGACATGTTTGAAAATAATATATGTGATTTTTCCAACTTAAGTGAAACTATGGAAAAGATAGCACCATCAACTGATGATAAGCCTACAAGCCCCCTTGAAAGTTCAAAACACTTACAAACCAGTGTTGACATTTTTTTTGAGTCTTCATTTTCCAATTCAGCTCTTGCAAAATTAGCTGCCAATATTACTGATGTTCCAAATACAAAAAGTAAAGAGACATCACAGCACCAAAATGTTGAAAACAGCCCATCTTTTCATCCAAGTGGTACAGACTCTTGCATGGGTTCTTGGAACATAAACATGTCAGCAATAGACAGATTATGTGCACAAGAAGAGATTGGTGAAAACTCAGCAGATAAAGGAAAGGTTCCCACAGATTCAACACCAATATCAAGGAGGCCATCATGGGACCTTTTTGCTTGTAGTCCTTCTGAAAATGAGAATGCTGCTGTTAAAGAATCTGAAGACATGTTTGCCTCATTTACTACTCCTGTTTGTGACAGAGTTTTGCGACCAAGAAATAGAAGTGGAAGTAGCAGTAACAGCAAAGGCATACAAAATACTGCATCCCCACTATCATTCATCAATTACTCCAAAAGTCCTAGTTTGTTTGGTGATAGTTTTGAAATTAATACTGGGCTGATGGAAGTGCTTGATGGTGGAAGCACTGCTGACAGCAGAATGGTGCAGGACGGTTCCCCTGCATTGAGCCCTCCAAAAGCTCCTGAGCCTGCAGCCACCAAGCATGGCAAACTAAATAAATTCCTAAACCCAGCAAAAAAGCCACAGCACCTATTGGAAGGTAAAGGATGTGAGTCCAATGGTCCTAAAGACCCACCTGTTTGTCGTAATAGTGCTAATCTACGCCTAGGGCTGAGTTGTCGGGCGGTGTCAAAGAAATCACAAGGCACTGACAAATCAGTATCAAGCAATTCAAAAGATCCAGTTTATACTGAAATTTTGACAGACTCATTCATGGAAGCAGCATTTCAGACTGCATTTTACAGTGAATCCAACATACTAGATGTTCAAAGTCTGCTGAGAAGTGTGACCCACTCCAAGACATACAAGACAAGAAAAAACTTGTGCAGGTCGTGCAATGGATGAAGATGAGTTAGTTATTGATAACAAAAGACTGAAAGTAAGTGTTTCATCAGATGAAGAAGTCGTGAATACACCTCCAGAGAATGAGAAGAACTTGAGGTATAGTACTAGGAGATCGTCAAGACTAAATGCGAATAGACTGAAGCTCTGATTAACTTCATAAACAAAACAAAAAGTGCATTGTAGCAGAATTAACTTTTTGGATCTTTTTTGTATTTAAAAGCAATGTTCTTTCTCTCTCAGAAAGTCTTCAAAAGTCTGCAGTTCTTCCACTATATCACCCCAAAGAATAAAATCAACCAAACAGCAGGTTGGTATGACACAAAAATCATCTTCAAATGGAATTGGACCTCCACTTACCCGCAGAATGCTGGCTAACCGACAGGTAGGAACATTTGCAATAGAATAGTTGAAAGAAAAGCCTATATGTAACAAATTTCCTTTTTTTCACCCCCAGAAAAGTACATCTAGTATTGATAAGACTCAACCTGAAAATGTCCCAAGTACTACTACCTTAACTAGTTCAAATTTAGATCAAAACGACCACATTAAAAATCCTTTCACTTTAGCTGAGGCAGAAGAAGATTGGACCACATATAATATAATAGATGTTTGTCGCAGTAAAATACTTTTTAAAACATTTTACAAGGTATCTTATTATTTTTATGAAGATAATTGCAATCTAGAAATTGACAACCCTTTATTATAATTTTGAAAAAAATATTTTTTCTCTAGGAAGCGATGGTTGCTACATTATGGGCTCTTTCTCTTGCCTGTGAACGGAGTGAAACCAATGAGCTACCAGTGGGCATTGGTTCAAAGATTTTGAAGACGCATAGGACCTCAAGGCAAGATTCCAAATCGTGTAGCATTTCCCAGTTGTCAGTTGCCGGGAGTACCCTTGTTGGAGTTTCCTTTTGTTTTGGAGGTACTGATGCCTACTTTCTCAATCTGGAGACCAAGTCTGAGCATTGTGTTATTTCATTAAGTGAGCGATTGGAACTTCTGAGGAAGGTTCTCTGCAGAGATGACAAAATGACAAGGCCAATAGTATGTTCCTTTGATGTCAAGGAGCAATTTAAAGTGTTGTTCAGGTAAAAGGATGAACTCTTAGAAGTTCGATTAGTTACATGGTTTAGTGTAAAATAATAATATTTTGCTTCTAGGTGTACTGGTGTTCAAATGTACAACCTGTCTTTATATGATCCAAAAATTGGTGATTGGCTTTTGGAACCAGAAGGCAAAGAGAAGACTTTGCAATCTTTGGTACAATCCTGCACTGAGTTTCTTTTTTCTTTACTTGCGTTTGTAGTCAATATCTTACATCTGGTTTCTGTTTTGAAATTGTTATTTTTCTTGACAGGTCATTAAGTATTTTGAACAAGCTATTGGCTTGGCAGAACATGCAGGCAATGTACGGTTTGGCCAGGGCAGCCCTGCATTGGATGTTGACCAAACTATACCTGGGAGACAGCGTTCCAGTGTTGAAGCTATATTGTGTTATCAAATTATGAGTGCCCAATATAGTAAGCTACAAGCCGTAGACCTTCTTTCATGCTTTACTGGTAAGAGCCAATATGAAAGAGACATAAATCGGACATCCTTGAAAAAAAGTGATTTATCATAATAATGTTCCACAGATGTGGAAATGCCTGTTGTTGCCTGTGTTGGTGGTATGGAGTTGACTGGTATTGGTTTCAACACTGACACTTTACAAAATCAACAAGAAAAGCTACGAGAAGAAATGTCCATTCTGGAGAAAAGAGCCTATTTGTTGGCAGGCCGCACCTTTTCACTAACATCACCAGCAGATACAGCGAGGGTGGGGCTCTTTGATTTTATTTTCTGCCAGCATTATTTCCTACCCTCTTCTGAATGCCCTCATTTCCCCAATATGTAGGTTTTATATCAAGAGCTCAGGTTGGGCCAAGGACAGAATCTGAAAGGTCGACTCAGAAAGACCAGTAAAGAGGAACTTAGCAAACTGCGATCAGAGCATCCATTACCGGATGTAATTCTTATGTGGCGTAAACTGAATGCAATCCACTCAAAAGTGAGTTGCCTCACAAACTTAAATCCTCATCATAATTAGGTAGATTGCAATGTGCTGTATATAATGTGTACCAACATTTTTTTTTTTTAGACTGTTTGTCCTCTGCTGCCTTCTGAGCCATGCACCAGATTATTTGGACGGTACATTTTGCACACTGCGACTGGGCGGATTTCGATGTTTGAACCAAACATACAATGCATTCCAAGAGATTTTGAGATTTCCCTAGAGTCCAAGGAGTCCTTCTGCATGCGGACGGCCTTTGTGGCTTCTCAAGGTAGGACCATGCCACAATGTGCGACTCGTGACAACCAACAATGGAACACTTAGCTTACTCCTATCTAATTAGGTGCATCACTGGTGGCTGCTGACTATTCTCAACTAGAATTGAGACTTCTTGCCCATCTCTCTGGCGACACTAAACTTCTAAACATATTAAACCAAGGGCAAGATGTCTTCAAAAATTTAGCTGCAGAATGGAACAGCATTCCATTTGAGCAGGTATGTGTCAGATTTTATTGTATGCATTTGTCAAATGCCTTGTATTTATCCATTACTCTCATTTTTATCTAAGTTATATCTTACATCTGTTACAGGTTACTGATGATCATAGACAAAAAGCCAAGCAAATATGCTATGGGATAATTTATGGAATGGGTGCTCGAGCATTAGCTGATCAGCTTGAAGTTGAAGAAGCTGAAGCAGTAGATCTTATGGAAACATTCCATTCAAAATTCCCAGGTGTGTTTTTATCTGCTGTTCATATCTTGTTTTATAATCTATCTAACTAACTCTTTACTCTCCAATTTTTTCCAAAGCCATAAATGACTATCTCTCAAGAACTGTGAAAAACTGCCAATGCCAAGGATACGTCAAAACTTTACTGGGACGCTATCGGTACCTTCCAGGAATCAGTAGCTCAAGCATTCATGTAAAAGGTACAGTATGGCATGCTTAGTAAAACTACTCATTTAATTCTTAAGCACTGAAATGAAAGGAACTCTAATGTTCTACGTAATACCACCATAGCTCATGCTGAACGACAAGCAGTAAACACCACAGTTCAAGGGTCAGCCGCAGATTTGGTTAAAACTGCAATGGTTGTTGTCGAGAAGGCAATATACAAATCCTTTCCTCACGCGTTATGTGCTGTTGGTAAAGAATTCTCACTCAATGTGCCTCGCCTTGTCCTTCACTTGCATGATGAACTTATGTATGAAGTAAGTACAAAGAGGTAAGCAACATATATTAATTTACAAAGATAATGCTGCAAACTGACTCTTCAAAAAAAAATTTCCAGGTACCTAATGACAGTTTGGACAAATTTTGTCATATTCTCAAAGATGGAATGGAAAGGGCAATTCCTTTATCAGTTAAATTGCCAGTAAAAGTGAAAGTTGGCAAGACCTGGGGCAGTTTAGAATTGAAAACATTCCCTGCGAATGTTGAAACATCCTCCACCAATGTTAAAACATCTTCAATCAATTGACTTTTTCATCAAATTTTAATTTTAGTTGCTATATATACACAAAACATTTATGAATTTCTGGTAATATCCATTATATTGCCCAGGACAATTTACTACTTGTTATTGATAATCAATTTTGTGTCCTGGAACTTTATTCCATTATGGTCATGGAAAAACATGTGTGTCCCAATTGTAGGATTTTTCTTGTATTTTCATTTCTCTTTATTGTCTGTGATATACACTTCTTTTTTGTTTGTTACTTTATGTCTTTGTTCTTTCTGTTGTATTTGTTTTGCATTTTTCTCTAGAATAATGATTTTCATTTTCTTTGTTAGCATAATTGAATGATAATGCATGGATCTATGTATCAAATTTATTGAATGGGTCAAAAGTAATTTTTATTAGTATTCAAAATAGTCAAATATTTTTCATACTGAATGAAACTGTTAAGTGGGTATGAGAAACACCTTCCTGTTTAGACAGATGACAAGTGACAGTCATCTGATAACTGAACTGTTTTCAGTGTATGGTTATTTGACATTTCTTAAATTCCGCTGCCCTGTTTTGAAGATTTTGCAAGATGAACAGAACTCGCCATGCCATCTCATATGTTTGCCGTTGCCGAAAGGCACTTGTTCCATTGCTGCCATCTCAAACTTCCAACTTAAACAAATGTTTATCTGTGCCAGACCACAGACGCTTTTTTCCTCCCTTAAAAATGGTCCTAGCTGTCACAACATTGAAGATATTTTCCCAAAATTGCCTATAAAATCACCTCCAATGTTTGCAATGGATGTGGCCAATAGGTTATTCAAACAAGTGTCATGGACTGTGGATAATCAGCTGAGCAAGGATGACATCCTCAACACTAATGCAGCTGCAGAGAAGGTGACTTATGCTCTTGTTCAAAGTTATCCATTTATTTTGAATCTTATTCTCATTGTGCTAGCAAATGGGAACAGTGTGATTTGCTACTGCGTTGTTATTTATTCAACTGGATATTGTTCTTCTCCAGATTTTAATGTTTGTGACCGAATGCTTGGTAAATAATGAATTTGAAGTGTTGGAAGAAAAGCTCAGCGAAGAAGCGCTACAGAAAGCTCGCTCAATAGCACTTGCAGAGTCTAATGATAAGTGCTTAATTTTTGAAGGGACTTCTAATAAATTGTTTGCGTCAGAGAATCGTTTCTTTGCTCCGTGGGTATCTTCTTCTGAAGATAATTGTAAGTGCGTCTCAAAGTGCTCTATAATTGTGAATGTAATGCATTTTTGTTACTTAACTTTATTTTTGTGTTCCAGGTTTTATTTTAACATACCTTGCTTTAATGGCCAGTCAGCCACGGCAAAGTGTATGGGGGATCACTCTTGTAATAGAGAAAGATCGTGATGGGGGCATTTCGGAAGAGCTGAAAGTGACTGATCTCTACTTCGAAACTAAATTGTTGTCAAGCGATTGAAGTAAACATGCACTTTCATGCATGAATTTTGCTTGTGAGAAATTTCTTGATGAATATGTGTAGCTCATTCAGTTGCTGAATTAAATTGTCTTTTGTGGAATGTCTATGCTGTTCGTCTTGTTTTCAATGTCTACCCTGTGGCAAGCCAAGGGACCCTAGTTGAGTTCTGGTGCGGTGAAGAGGCTGTGGATGATGGGTTGCCTACCTTTCCATATCTGAGATGGAAGATTTAGGTGAATTTCTGTGAGCTGAGATTCAATGGAATTTCATATTCTCAAGTTGCTTTGAAAGTCTTATGCTACGTCACTTAAATTAGTGTATGAAACGGGGCTTCAGGGTGTAAGAAACAACATATTCATTTGCTCAGCCCCAAAGTACTCAGACTTCGGCTAGTTTATTAATCCACACTCAACTTTCAGCACAACATAAGCATTGAGAAAGTGGATAACAAAACATAGATGAAAATGAAAAGACAGTGGAGGACATGAAAGAAAAGTGAATGAAAAACATTTTCTGGTGTTCAGCAACTCAACATTCTGAGAAAGTATCAGGATTCAAAATAAAACCATCTTCATATTCCTTTCTGATACCACAGCAATTCAGTGCTACAGTGCAATTAAAATAAACATCATTCAATGAAAACCATACACCAGCACCTTCACCTCTGCTCTTATCATGGGAGAAAATATTTTAATTGAATTCTGAAAAATCGTAGTTAAGTCTTAGTGAAGGTAGTATCATAAACTAAATACATCCAGAGAAACATGGTCCTGGCTATTACTAACTTTCCTATGTGCAGGCAATTTTCAAATGAGGAGTGTGAGTGATAGGGTTGGTTAGTGAACACCATCATGAGATTTGAAATTGTGTCCACAAATTTGCTGGTAAGGAAAACTGAATTGAAATAAATCAAAATGTGGACAAAGTCTACACAAGTTTTGTGATGTCAGAATGATACAAACTGTCTTCCTCCTAAAGAGTTTCATTGTACTCACAAGGTGGTTGAACAGTAAGCAAAACATGAAATGCCTCTCATATTGACAACAAGAAGTCTACAAACATGGACAATAATGAGAATTAAGAGAGATAACAGAACAGACAGTTGAAAACACAGACCATGAACAAAGTCAGTAAGAGAAAACATGGCATTTTGCCACAGAAAGGGATCACATTTTATTGGCTTATACAAACAACAACGTTGAAAAATGTTAAATTACTCTCATTCCAAACCGATTAAATGCCAATCTTAAACAAGTCACTTAACGATGTCACACGATCACACATCAGTACAATGTCAAATCTTAACCTATTCAGACATTTCCTCAACTTTAGATCAAAATCTCATGGCATATGGTATATTGAGCCAGTTTGTAAAACCTGAAGGGAGTTTCAGGTAGGCAAATTTGACTGTAAGGAGATATACTGAAAATACATTGAAAAGCCATTCTAGAGGTTTCACTATTATTAAAAATCAGGATATGCTTAAGGAACAAATGTCCAATGTGCCTATCAAATAGGATAGTTGCCCAGAGTAGATTTTTTCAGGTAGTGGACTGAGATACAGCACAATTACATGGTTTGGCAAGATGTAGGGAACATGGCAGCAAAGCCTCTGAAGCAAATTCAACTCCTTGAACTTTCATTTCTTTCTAAGTTATACTTTGAATTGCCATTTCTTTACAATCAGTAATCGTTGGCTGATAAGTCAACTGTCTTGTTCACAGCTGAGGGGTTGTTATGGATATAATCTTAAAAATTGTATTTAACATTCAACAATTCAGAATATTCCAAGATTTTGCTGGAGGGGTTTAAGCAACAAAGCTTCTGAATCAGAAAAGAGAGAGAACTGTCTTTACCTAATAAATCCTAACTGTAGTTTTTGAGCAGCTACTTACACCCACCCAATTCATTAAGTAACATTCGGTAATATTGCTGATTAAGATATAAATTGTAACTCAAACTTGGACCATATTAAGATGAATCACGAAAAGATCTATGTTGCTTCTGCACTGAAAATTAGATTCAAAACTGATTTTCACACATCGCTTTCATGATATAATATCATGGTCACTTCCATCGAGATTTGTATCCTTCAATCCTTAAAAGAGTAGATGGCAGTTAAATTTTCAACATTTCAAAACTGGATTCAGCGAAACGGCTTATTGAATGTGAGACAGGATTGAGAAAGTCAAGCAATGAAACATTAACATTACTAGTTCATTATTGATATACACCACATTTCTGTGCCTTGCCACAAATCCAGTTCAAAATGCCTGAACAGATCTTGGGTCCGGGCTTAGACTCCCTTCAAATAAATTATTGTAAAACTTAGACATAAAACAAAAATATGTAACATATGTAAAACACAGTTGGCTTAGTTCATCTTGCCTTAATTATTAAAGGGTAGACAAATATGAACTAAAATGTGCTCTTCTCTACATGCACACATAAAAGTATCAACAAGAAATACCTATGAAAATAAATAAAATGATTTAACATGATGCAACATTTACTGTAAATATCTAAAAATTTCTTCTCATTATGACATTAGTTATGAAATATGAACATTGTGAAAACATGTCACCAATTCTTAGTCAAGACTTATTTACAGAGTAGACTGTACAACAGCAACATACTTTAGGTGCTAAGGCAGGCAACCGACTAAAGGCATGTACAAACTCGTGCTAATCAATGTACTAAGTAGTACAAAACAACATACAAATGATCATCAGTGTATGTATAGTGCCGCATAACCTACAGAACACATCTCAATAAGTAGTAGGAGACTGTTACCTACATCATCAATTGAACAGTTAAGAATGAATGAATAAAATCAATCAAAATTGGTAAAGGTGTATTATAAAACTACATAGAGGAGCAACTTTATGCTCTTTTCTCTCATGAAAGTACTTGAAATTTTACGTCTTCCAAGCCCAACACAGATGTGTTCTGCAATAGAATTTCAAATTAACTTTCCCAAGACAGGATAATTCATTACAATCATTTTTTCTTTAAAGTGAAGAAGTGAGAACTGTAAGTACTAAAATACAAATCAAACGGTGGGAAACTCGCTTCAATCATAAATTTGAAAACAGACCAAAATTTTGAACTGTCATCATGAACTTGATTGCAAAATGCCTATTTGTGAGAGAATTTGAAAAGTTCAAAATGACACTTCAATCACAAGACGCAGCTGATATTCAGAGTTCAACCGTTCTAACCAGATAGCAATGGGAACAAGGATTTAAATGGATGTGACAACCAATTACCGGTAGGTTTGCTCATTTATATTTAACAAGACAAAATAAATTTTGAAATGACAGTTAAAATACTTATGTTCCAGGAAAGCTCAGCTGAAAGCAACAATGCACCCCCCTCCCCCTCCCTTTCTTTTGACACTTCTTAACTCTTAAACTGTATTACGAATAAAATAAAGCCAACCTGAATACTAAGAGAATATGTATGCAAAATTAAAGCAAAAGGCCAAGATTGGAGGCCTTTTCACAAAGAGAACACCTATTTTGCATAACATTTGCTGTAAAATCAACATAGAGACTCACTGTAATAAGGTGAGGGCATAGCTTTGGCACAATATGTATTTGAAAAGATAAGCTTTCCCCAAATTCACTCTTATTCACCTCTGAACCCCACCATATAGATGTGACTCATTTGACTCAGTTGAGCGACTGAAAAACAAAACACCAGACTAGTTAAAAACAATAGTTTAAGGTAGACAATATAAAATATTCTAGACTGGAAGCCAATGAAACAGATATTAAGACACATGAAGTTAAGGTAAAACAATTACAGAAAAATAACAGCCTGGAATATTATAAATTTGTTTTAAAGTTAATAACAATAAAATCTTCAAAGCAGATCTCCTGCAGACAATGTCAGACATGTAAAAAAGCAGGCAGAAAAAGATGTTCAAAGCACATAACAGTGAGGGGACGAATGAGCACTTTGCACACAAAACTGACACCTCAGCAGTAAAATTACTCTACAATACACTCACTGTTTCAATGAAGAGCTCAACACATTGCAACTAGAGCATCTCCTGGCCATCTAAAAATTTCTGCCACGCATCCAAGTGTATGTATAAAGGCACAAGACCAAGGCAAATGAAATAGTGCCTTCTGCTCCATGGAATGATGTTACACTATCAAAAAATGCAATCTTGCTGCACAAGCTTACATGGTGGGAAATATGTTCAAGACAAAAAAGGTCATAGAACAAACTTGAATGTCACAAATATCTTTGTCCAATACAACTGAAAGCAAATAACGGAACAAAGAATTTCATTCAAATAACAATAAAATTAGCTAAACAGAAGTCTTTCAATGTTCGGATGCACTGTCACCACGCTCACACACACAACACTGGCAATCCCTAGTAATAAACACCATGCCTATGGATAGTGTCTATGTCTTCCTTGGGGATTTGTCATACGCCACCACTATGGGCTTCCCCAGTGTGGCGTAAACCAAGCCTCAAGAGCTTGGTGTGGGAGACCTTTGTCACAGTTGTTGGTCACGATGAGGAACCCAGATTGTTGAGCCTGAATTCTGACTGATTACTTCCTTCACTTTCAGATAAATTTCTTCAGGTGTATCACCTTGAACAATGCCTGAAAAAGATAAATGTATTATAAATATTTTAAAGCCCCAATTTTAATGCAGATTGAAAGACCGGTCATAGCAACTCACCAGTAAAGTATTCTCCGAATTCTGACTCCATTTTGTATGCTCTTTCCATAGTTTTCTTTGCTTGTTCATATGACATCCTTTTATTCATTTCCCTTTAAAAATGCAAATGAAACATAAATTCAAGGTCCAAAATATAAATAAAAAACAAACAATCTACAAGTCTAAGAGCTTACATGACAGATTCAAGTGATTTAGGCTTGATAAAGATAGCAATTGGGTACAGTTGAGCCACTTGAAGACGTTTAATTGCATTGCCACTAACGTCAAGAATACAGTGCTTTCCCTGAAAGAATAACATTTTCAAAGTTCATCCCTCCAACAAGAGACAACATTTGCGACTGGTTCAAAGATCGATTGCCAGTTCAAGTCATCACTTACTGCATTAACGAAAACCAACAACACAACATTTGAAACTTACACTTTCAGCAACTTCTCTCACAGATTGAACAGAGGTGCCATACAAATTTTCATTGTACTGCCCTGCTTCAATGAAAAGATGGTTTTGAATATCTCTCTCCATTTCCTCCCTTGAGCTCACAAAATGGTAGTCTCTCGCATCAACCTCATGTTCTCGCATTGCTCTCGTAGTGTCTGTAATATGCAAAGTGTATCATATTCCTATAAAACAGAACCTGATTGACAAATAAAAAGTAGAACAGTCATGCAAACTCAACTTACGTGGAACACAAGATCCAAATCTGTCTGGAAATTCAGCTATTAAGTCATCATTGATGCGGTCCTTCAGTGGCCCCAGGATTATGACAGGGCGAGTGTAAGAGATCTGCTGCTGCTGCACCGGCTCATATGACAACACCTGCTCCTCTGTCCCTGCGCCAAAGGCACATCAATATTAGCAAACATGTCATCAAAAGATGGTTAAAAAACATTGATGATAAAGTGACAAGAGGTTTCAAAAAAATTGACAAATAAAGCATCTCCTTTAAAAAAGACCTCTCCTTCATTAAGTTGGGCAGAAATTTTGCCCTGAATATTACTCATACGATTAAAACTATCAACGCTCTATACAAAAATCAAACAGAGAATTTGCCTTCCCCTCTTTTCAACAATATCACATAGACTACTTGGATACATAATGGCTAGAGCAGAGGTCACAAACGGGAGTTGAATGATTTAAGTGGTGACTCGGTTAGTAAACTCAAAACAATTTCATGCAAATCATTCAAAATGTGTGACCATAGGGTAAGTAAATGTGGATAAGAAAATTCACACCAAGAGAGGATAAAAATGCAACCTACAAAGAATTACTAAAAAAAGTTTTAAGAAAGTTAGTTGGGAACATTTTTAAACAGTTTGAGCACCTGTCACTGCACTATTATTATTAATTACACAATAACTGGTAGGTAATACAAAAGGTTTCTTATCAAAATATTATAGAATTGGAATATACTCCTCCGCTAGGCAATTTTGAGATGTATGTAGATACATGCATGGAAAAATACGGTAGAAAGGTTACTTGACTCAACATGGTCCCAGGCCTCTGTCACACTAGTTATTTACTTCAGGCCATTAAGGTGCAACCATCTCTAAAGATCCTTCTTCTAGTAAAATACATCTATTGACGAACTGCTAATACACATGACACTAGCTGCTAATATTTTTCATTCATGGTGCTACAGAAAGTACTTTTAAATGTTCCCTTCGTCCCACCTTGCTTGATTTAACAAGAAATTAAATATTTACTTCCAACATTTTAGCTTTGTGGTAACAAAACATGTTTAAAATACGGTCAGCAGTCAAGTAAGAAAGATTGATAAGTCCCAAGAATGAGTTAATTTTTATTAAAGAGAAATCATATTTTTATCTCAATAAAAGTGCAAAATATATTTTTAACTCAATATGAGAGATGGGAAAGTTTAAAACTTTAAAAACTGCACTACTTTCTAAAGAAGCAGTTTGTCAAGACACGATGAGCCTCACAAATAAGAAACACAGACAGAGCTAATGAGACATGCCAGCCTCAGGAGTCCAATATAATTTTCATAAAATGAGTTCATGAAACTCGTCAGACACTTCGCCTAAAAGTAAATATCAACTCAACTGTGATAGCTCTGCATTTTAGATTCTATGTTCTAAAGTAAAAGTAGAAATCATGCAAGTGGGCACTGTATCACACACATATAAAAATAGACGCTTTTTGAAAGTGATTCTTGAAATCTTTGTATAATCATTACATATAAGTTGTTATCACAATTGATTAAAGTATAAGGGCTGTAACTTTTGTTGAAATTCTGTTTCTTCTCTATTTTGAAGGAGAAAAATTATCAATTCTTTGAGAAAAGAAAAGAGATCTAGATAAGGGTAAAGATTGAGAAGATGCTCCCCTACAAACAACACATTTTGTTCTGTTTACAATGTTTACAATGCCTCAAAGGTCGGAAGTTGACAAACAAATCAACTAGTAAATAATAATAAATGTGAAATAGAAACATATCACAGAAAGGGTTCTTTGGGAAGAGTCTAAACTGCTACGGAGGAGACAAGCATGGAGTCAGAGACTAATTAGTTTGAACAATAAAGACACGACTATTGAACAGCACTGATTGAACAAGTAACAAGGAGAGGAACGGGGAAGCAGTGATGCAGAGGAAGCACACCACAGCGCAGACAGCAGCGAGAAAACTGGTGAGCCGGGAGCACAATCAGTGCGGCGAGCGTTATGCAAATAACCATTCGGAGAGAAGGAGAGCCTTACCGACAAGAAATTCAATTGGATAAATGTTGTTTATGGTTATACCTTCAGAAGTTGCCTCTTCTTGTGCATAGCAGAGCATGAATGCTGTAACAAAGGAAAAGAGGAAACATGTTAGATAAGATGTAGCATTAACAAGAGAAATTCTCAGAACATCATGCAGCCCACTGAGCCAAGAATCCACAGCTTTGGCTCATGGCAAGCTCATTGTCCATAGATACTGAGAATTAAATTAAGGGGCTACAGAAAATGAAGTTCCTTCAGGTGTAATTAATATAAAATGTGCATTTAATACAAAGCGTCAACCAAAAAAAAAACCAAAAACAAACAAGTAGATATAAATTAAGTTTGATGATTTCACAATAAACAAAACCTTTAAGACTTAAAAACAATGAAGTCTTTTCAAAATGAAACAGCAAATAAGAAAATTTTGATGAAAATGGTTCGCCAGATGATATGGGCATGATGTAATGTAAGTTTTATTATAACACTTTGTCCCAAACCCTACCACATTGTCATTAGATTTGAGGGCACCAGATGAAGGTCCAATTTACCCTAAACTGCTATCCCGCGGCCATATTGCAGACCACATGCTTAACATGCAAGAAAACTTTACTCAGCTTCCCCACTAAAGCTGTTTTATGACAGCCCTTCTAAACTGAAAGCATGGGAAATGTAGCACAAACTTCCAGAATGAATTTAAATTGTTGTTATAATTTCTGCCTTCTTTGATCTGCGCACAAAAACATAATGGATTCAAAACCAATTTAATACTGTACACAGACTGAATAGGTGCTAAAAAATTGACGGATAACAGTTACATGGGGTTAGTTTTGAAAAGCAATAATATAAAATGATTTAAGTATTTTGAACGATGTGAAAACTGCTTATCTTTCTCTGTGGTTTGCATGAAGTTGCACAAACAATAAAGCAACACTCATTTCCCTCACACTTGGACAAGTGTCTGAATTGACAGAAAGGTACGCCAAGTGCCAATCATTGTAACATAACCAATCAACTTAAAACTTTGTGAAGCAGACAACCATGCAAAACATGACATGTGAACAGATGAACAAAACAAACAAACCCCAAATCTTCCAAATGAATGACAAGATAAAACAAGGGGAACTACTCACGGGCACTTGCTGGGTCTCCCTCACTGTTGGGAGTGGAAGGTGAGGCTATCGGAGGGAGGCAGAAACAAAACAAATGGGTTTGACAATGTCGACTGACATTTGACAATGCAAGCAATCACTACACAACAACACAGCACCGGACGCAGTCAATGTCAGCCTGCTCTTACGCAGCAAGGTTCAGCCACTGGAATAATTAAACCCGCCATTACAGCATTCAAAACATGCCATACTGGTCTGCATGAGCTCAAGCATGGCTGTCATGCATGTCAACATGTTGATGTAGAAATGATCACCACTTCAGAGTGACAAAAAGGAGATATAAAAAATCTCAAAACTTATTCAAAAATCAAAACCAGACCAAAACAAGAGAGAGACCTTGTCATTGATTTGCTCCCGCGGCTGGTGTTGTTGAAGGTATCAAAACATTTGGATCAAGGGTGAAAGAAACCAACGGTAAGAAAAGAAACACAGAACAACCAAGAGACAAGAACAAACAAAAACAAAATATGGTTGTCACTATGAAAAACGTACAGCACGCATGCAAAGAGCTGCAAAGTCTGCCAGCGAGCCCGCAGCTTTGTACTAGTTTGTCACTAGGAGTCTGTCAGGTCCTTCAGAATCAGATTTTGTTCTTTGATGAGGATTTTAATAAGTCAAAAGACGCAACATAAAAAAAAAAAGAGAGAGAAGATTTTAGCAGGAAAAATCATAAAAAGCCTTTAAAATAAATAATAAAAATTGATAAAATAATATTACGAGATTTAAGGTTCTCAAGAAAAAGCTCTCTTGTCACTTGATTGTTAAAGTGGTTACGGTTCCATCATCAATCAAGGGAAAGGTATAAAACAAGTTAGAGAGAAAAAAACACTTTTTGTAGATTAGAATAGTAACAGCCATTCACATGACAAATTGTCCTTTCATTTATCATTTGAAAAAAGTCAGTAGTCTTCATGCAAGACAAACATACCACCTTAAACCAGAAATTTAACTAGTAAATGTATCAATATTCTAGGTGGGTAGAGGAGAATTAAGATAGAATTAAAATAAAAGAATCTGGTGATACCAGGGCACAAATCCAATAAATTTTCAGAATGAAAGCAAGTCACTAATAATATGAGAGACCAATATAAGGGTAAACCATTGTCTTAACTTTACTGATGACGAACAGAAAATCCAATGACATTCTAGATGCATTGACAAATCCAATTGGTGGCTAAGGAGTGGCGTTCAAAACTGATCCAGGTAAAGCAAATCACACACACACCAATTTGACATGAACCAATGTTTATGTGCACCAGTTTGAAACCACTAAACGGCAGCACAGGTTGGGGTGAGGGGGTTGAAACCACAAGACAAACGCACGAAAACGGGTCGTTGGTGACATTCCTTAAACTACACTTACGTTCAGCATCCGAACCATCCTCTGATTTGTCGTCTTTACTCTTCATGAATGGAAATTTACGACTGAAACTGAAGTTCTTCTTTTTACGATCAAGGGTGGATTGCTGAAAGAGTGAGATGAACACAGTGAGACCAGCTGAGAAGTAAGTCTGTCTAGGTCCTAAAGGACATGCTCTGCAGAGGGGCGTACCTTGTCGATGAGGACGGGCATGTGGCCCTGGAACTTGACAGTGCGGTCGCGGGCGCGCTGCTTGCGCTCCCAGCGGTGCCTGCTGGGGATGATGCCGATGCCGTGCTCCTCGCCCGTCGCCACGATGACCCGCCTGGCCTGCCACCACTCGTCGTCGCTGGCGTTCACCACGTGCAGGATGTCGCCGTAGTGGAAGGGCAGCCCCCGGCTCGGCAGCCCGTCGTCCTTGTTGGGGTCGTAGTCGAACATGGCCCGGACGTAGAGCGACCGCTTCTGCGACGTCCTGAGCAGCGTGCCCGTGGGCGCGGCCTGCTGCGCCATGTGCTGCTTCAGCTCGTGGATCTTGGCCTCGAAGCGGTTGTACTCCTCGGGCCGGAACTGCACCGCCAGCGTCACCGTGTTGCCCGCACTCTGCAAGGAGGAAGGTGGTCAACGCCGCCCGAGTGCGAGAGAGACGGATCGGAATCAGCCTCCAGGGTTCGCACACGCCCCTTCCCCTTCCCCTCACCTTGAGCGCCTGGGCCGCCTCCTCGTGCGTGGCGTTCTTCAGGTTCACGTTATTGACGCTCACGATCTGGTCGCCGCGGTGCAGGGACCCGCTCAAGTCGGCCGGGCCGCCGGCCAGGATAAAGGAGATGAAGATGCCCTCGCCGTCCTCGCCGCCCACGATGTTGAAGCCCAGGCCGGTGTCGTTCTTGTGCAGCGTCACGGTCCGCGGCTCCCTGCAGGCGGAGAGACAAGTCGACTAGCGTGGGCGCCACGGCAGAGCCACGGCACAGCGGCACGGCCAGGGCAGAGCCAGGCAGAGCCGCCGCCGCTTTATCAGGCACCATGCGTCACCCAGTGGACTGTCGTCGCGCTGTCTCTCTCGCACTCATGGGGCGTCCCGAGTAGGTGCGAGAGAGACAGAGCGACGAAAACGACTCTCGGAATCGGTCTCCAGGCCCAGGACGGACAGTGGCGGTGACGCGACGCGCGGCGCCGGCCTCGGGGCCACACCCTTGCAGGCAGCACACCCCGTCAGGACTCACCTGGTCGTTGCGTCCTCCCCGACGACGGGCTTCTTGGTCTGGCCGGGCGACGGGCCCCGCGAGGTGGGCGTGGGCGCGGGCGCGGCGTTGACGGGCGACGCGACCCGCGGAGGGGCGATGACGGCGAGGGGGGTGACGACTGGTGCCGGGGCCACCGCCGCGGGGGTGGGCGACGGCGCGGCTGTCACGGGGGTGGCGGGCGGAGGGGCGTACACCTCCCCGACGGCTGCGGGGCAACGCGGGCAACGTTTACAAACAAAAACAACAACAAGAGGAAGGCACCGAACGAAAACGAGGGCAGAGACTCACTCTGGTGGGAGTGGTGCGACGTGGTCGACGCCGGCCTCGACAGCTCCGTCTTGCCGATGAGCAGCACCACGCGGTCCGTCGTCGACTTGAGCGTGGCCACGGCCTCCTCGTGGGTCACGTTCTCCAGGTTGCGCTCGCCTTGCTGCACGGGGACAGGACAGTGTAAGCCACGTAGAAACGGAATTCAAAGTCAAAAGTCTACTCTACTCACGTTCGAGTTGCGCACGGCGATGAGCTTGTCGCCGACCGCCAGCCGGCCGTCCACCTGCGCGGCACCGCCCTCCATCACCTTGGTGACGTAGATGCCGTTGTCGCCGGGGATGTGCTGGTTGCCGATGCCGCCCGCGATCGAGAAGCCCAGGCCCTTGGTGCCCTTCACCAGCTCCAGCTCCAGGACGCGCATGTGTGGCGGCACCTTGCGCCGTCGCACGTGCTGAAAAAAAAAATGTCGGTCAAACCAAGCGTTCCAGGGTTCAAATACTACCAGCTTGATGGTTGTTTTTCTTTTTTTTTCTGGCGGAAAGGGGGGGGGGGCACTGTGGCGCCACGCCCCCACATCAAGGCTCAGCTTTCCTCGGCCTAGATGCCATGCGTGCCCCCCTCCCCCCACCTCATTTTCATACTCCCCCCGCCAGTGCTGGCCAGTGCCATTTTGGAGCGGTCCGACGGGGTCCGACGGTCCGGGCGACGCGAGTAGGATTAAAAGCAGCCAGGCACAAACAATTAAAGCCAGGGGCAAGGGGGGCCGCGCTAGGCCGCGCCGCCCCCGCGTTGCGCTGGGCGTTCGTTCGCAGCCCGACGACAACTTGTCCCAACTGCAGCGAGCTGATGACAGCTAGAGTCGTCCTTTTTTTCTGCCGGTTCTAAACCAAATCGCGCCTCCCAGTACGTAGTCCCGAAATACTAGGTTGACCACATTACTTTTCAACAACCCCCCATTTAAAATTTTGGGGTGCGACCTACCAGCCTGACGTGGTTGCCGGCCTTCTTGAGGGCCTCCACGGCCGCCGAGTGCGGCACGCCCACCACCGACGTGTCATTGACGGACAGGATGGCGTCGTTGACGCGGAGGCGGCCGTCGGCGGACGCGGCGCCGCCCTGGATCAGCTTGGTGATGACGATGGAGGGGTCCTCCGGGATGTGCGGGTTGTCCGTGCCGCCCGCGATGGAGAAGCCGAGGCCCGCGCCGCCGCGCTCCAGGGCGATCTCCTCGTACTCGTACTCGCCATCCTGGACGCACGTCGAGCCGCCGCCGTTCACCTGGACAGCCCCGACAAACAACAAAAACGGTTCAGATTCACAGTCGAAAACGGATTCTGGCGCGCCTGGCTCTTGCTTGCTTTTGTCTGTTCCCTTTTAAACATTTTATGAGATCTGCAGTGATGGGTCCGCAGCAATTAGTGGGGCTCCTGCACTTCCCGTGGGAACTTCCCCCACCCTAGCCAGAACCAGTGAGACAGGTCTAGGGCAACGACAATGCCCTACAGGGCAGGGCCTGGGCCGGTACACAGTCAACAAACCCTCAGGGCACGGAACTGCACTTCTTGTTTGCACTCTATAAACTAAACTTTATCATCCTCAAACAGGCAAAATAATAATTGTAATCTGTTTGAGGAATATTTAAGGCAGGTGTTATTTATCTCTTGGTTAAATAGCATCACCACGCCGATGCTCAAATGAACTGCAGCTCAACTTCCTGCATCTGCAGAGGAAGTCTACCCAATATTGACTCACCTTGTCCAAGCTCATCAAGGACGAAACTTTCTGTGCTATCGTCTCTTGACGTTTCTTTCTACGCCCAGTCATTTTGAAGGCCTTTTTCGCCGAAGCTCACAACCACATTACACTGAAAGGAAACACCACTATGTAAAGCCCACTGTGCCTGGGTGCAGCGTGAAGTGCGATTTGAGCGTGCTGAGACTGTGCTAGATGCGTCAAATGTATTCAAAGCTTCACTGGCTTTAGAGTAACTGCTCCAATGAATCTATACAAACTAAAATTATAAAACTTAATACACTTAAATATACAGGGAAAATTATGTAGTTATTACTGTGTAAAAGGCTTACAGACAGTAATCTATAACAGAAACCTGCCTGGTTGGCATAAACCACAGCTTATTATTTGCCAAGCTATGTAAACAATTAAATAGTGAACAAAAGGTAGAAGAGGTATAATTTAAAAAAGTACATGTGGTTTCTAATTCGTAGACGCATACAACGAAATCAACAGGCACAATCAAAAACTACATGTATGCATCACTCACAGCAGTAACTACAAACATAACCTCAACTACGTTTTGACATTAATTTCATTCATCGAGGCTCGCGATTAATCCGAGCTCAGTGAAGCAGCGAGGACACTGGACGTTCTGTTTCTCTTCCAGGCGAGTATCGCTAGCCCTGGGCGAGTCGCCGAGCCGCGGGCAGAGCAAAACCGCCGTCGTCAAGACAGGTCAACACCATTGACGCGAAGCGTAGCTGCACCGACAGAAACGTCGGCCCCACCAGCGCGGCGGCCCGAAACGGCACCACACGGCTCGGCCTTCGCACCAGCACACTCTCACGCACCCTCGGCCAAAATGTGGCGGCGGCGAGAGCCGTCCGGGGAAACGACAAGGATCAAATTCCAGACGCTGCACCAAGCCTCAGCAGGCACACCCCTAACCTAAAAATAACACTCCGCCCGAAGCGGCGACAAGCGCCCGACGCCCTGGACGGGTGGCCGCGAGTCCGCTGCGCTATCGGCGCGAGGGCTTATCGGCGACCCGACGGCCGCGCACCGCGGGCAGGCCGCAGGCACCGGGTACTTCCGCGAGGACGAGAACGCTTCTCGCCGCGGCAAAGGGCCGCCGTGCCAGAGAGTTTGTTTGGAGGCGCGGCGGAGCGTGGCGCGTAGCGGAGCGGAGGACGGCGGGTAGAGGACACTTGTTGAATCGGACGAGGAGGCGCGGCTAGCGGCTAGCGCAGCGCAGCGCGGCGGTTCGGCGCTCGGCTCGGCTCCGTTCGGCTCGGCTCGGCTCGCACCGGCCGAACGCAGCCCCGTTGCATCGGCGTGGTGCATCGGCGGACAGGCGGACGGTGCATCAGGAACCGGTTCCGCCTTCCGTGACGTTACGTCACGTCGCCGAGCGTCGCGTCACGCGCCTCGCTCTGTCCGTCCAGTCCGTCAAGCGTCGCGCCGCGCCCAAGTCTCCTCCAACCGTTCTGAACGTGCTTTTCAATTTCGAAGAAGAAACAGGAAAAATGCATGCTGGCTGGGAGACCGGAAGACCCAGCGAGGGGAGCGGGAAGGGGGAGAGGGGAAAGCCCGGACTGCAGAGTGCTTGGCCCTGTCTCCCTCGCACTGGTACACTGGTACGGGACGCGCCACGAGTGCGGCAGAGACAGGGCTTGCTCGACTCGACCGCGACGCGACTCACCTGCCTGACGGCGGCCGCCACCTTGGCCGCGTTCGCCTTGGCCACCACCTTGACCACGGCCGGGGGCGGCGGCTCGCCCTCCTCCGCCTCCGGGGGCGTGCCCCTGCCCCTCAGCGGAATGTAGATGGCGTTCTGGTCGTAGCTGGAGGTGCCCCTGGAGCCCCGGGGCGGGGACGGTGCGGCGGGGGCGGGGCGCTCCCTGGAGGGGATGGGGATGGGGACCTCATCGCCGGGGCCGTGGGGGCGTCTACTGTTCCCCACGCCGTCCGACTCCTCCTGGAAACAGCGGCAGCGCCGTGTCAGTGTGTGCACAGTGTGTGCACAGTGTGTGCGATAGACAGAGACAGACAAAGGCAGACAGACTGTGTGCGTGCGTGAGTGTGTGTTTGGCCGGGGACGCGTGCTTCTGTATACAAGCCCTTCTTCTCTCTCGCTCTCTCTCCAGGGAGCCCCTGGCCGGGCAGGCCAACCCGCAGGCCAGGTGAGTGCTCGTGTTGCCGACTCTGCAGGCGCTCTGCCGCGCTCTGCGCTGACGGAGACCCCTCCCTCCCACTCCCTGCCTGACCCGACCCACCCACACAGCACACACACACAGACACACACACGCAAAACACTAACTGTTCGGATAAATACAGTGAACCGTTCAACGGTGAAGAAATCAATGCGTGCCTACACTGCCGCCGGCGGCGTACTCACCAAGTCTATGGTGTATCCAGCATCGTCGTTTCCTCTCCGCACGTTCTGCGAACAAGCAAATTCAAATCCCGATTCAATTTCGAAACAGAAAACCCGTCCCGCGGCAATGCGCCCTCACCCCTTCTTGGTCCTTTCTCGGGCTGGCACCAGCAGCAGTCTCATTCCGAGAGTCGTTTTCGTCGCTCTGTCTCTCTCGCACCTACACGGGTGGCCCCATGGGTGCGAGAGAGACAGACAGAGCGACGAGAACGACTCTCGGAATGAGTGCGCGGCAGCGGCGGGGCATCTGTGTCAGCGATGACGTCTGCGAGCAACAGGTCGCGGATTCAATTTGATGGCGCCCCGCCCCACCCCTGCTCAGCCTGCCTTCCGCGGGGACGCGACGACGCGGACGCGCAGCGCGCAGCCATGGCGCAGCCTGCTCCTCCATCTGCTGGCGAGGCGCGGCAGTGGCAGTCGCGGCGGGCGGGGATAGCGGGGGGTATGTCCGCGGCGCGGCGGGGCTGGCTGTCACTACCCCTCGCTCTTCGCCCTCGCCCTCGCGCGCCGAGGCGCCGCGCGTTACAAAGGGAATGCTTGATTGGCGCTCATCAAGTGGAGTGGAAGGCGACGGCAGCAGACTCACTCCGCAGACTGACTCGTCGCTCTGTCTCTCTCGCACCTACACGGGAAGCCCCACGAGTGCGAGAGAGACAGAGTCGTGTGTGGTGGCACTCACCTCGCCGGGGAACTGCATGAGGTACTCGGTGCCGCCGTGCTCGTGCAGCTCGCGCACGCGCGGGTGCGGCGGCAGCGCGCGCCGCGCATGGTGGTCCGCGGCCGGGGCGTAGTTGTTCTGCAAGAAGAAGAGGAAGGTTAGGTTAGGTTAGGGGGCGTCCTGTGTGGGTGCGAGAGAGACAGGGCGACGAGAACGGCTCACGGAATCAGTCCGCTGCAGCATGCAGCAGTGCTTAGCCCGGCTTAGCCCCACTCGAGGGCCGCGCGACAGTGCGGTACGAGCTGGGAAGGCAGCAGCCCGGAGGCAGACCGGAGGCAGACCGGAGGGCCGAACGGGAATGAGGGACACGATTGCAATTTACGTCGGCTATAAAACTGCCGTTGTGGGGGGGGGGGAGCGTCACGCCCGACTCCGCCCCGCCACGGCGGGCTACTTTGTCGCTAGCCCTACGACCCAGTCGAACGTGACTAGCCGGGGCAGCCGCGGCGGCCGCGGCAGACGGGGCCCTACCTCGCTCGAGAAGCCGAGCGAAGACGATGCAAGAAATACGAAAGAAGAGCAGTGCGGCGCCACGCGGCGGAGAGCGGAGGAGAGACAAAGCAATTCCTGGCGCAGAAGCAGGCAGAAGTACGCGGACTCAATTGAAACTGAGACTCTGGTTAGGGCACGGCAATAAATTACGAGGCGAAGCGGGTCTCCTCGGCTCCGAGTCCTCCGGAGTCCTCCGTGGGGACGAGGCTCTCCAAGGCTGGCAGCATCGGGTTGCGTTTAGAGTGTGGTGGAAATGCCCCCGCCAGCCGGGCAGGGCAGAGGGCAGTCTCGTCGCCCTGTCTCTGTCGCACCGGTACGGAACGCCCCATGAGTGCGAGAGAGACAGAGCGACGAAAACGGCTCTCGGAATGAGTCCGGTGCAGGGCGGCGGGCGGAGGCCGGCCGGGCGCCTTGCAGGCTCGGACTGGCCCCCAAAAGGCCCCAGCGGATAAGACCGCAAGAGGCCCCCGATCATCATTATGTTTTTACCCTTCATGACCAACTTTGTGAGGCTACCGCTCCCAAACTAGTTGCGGTCAATAGCCTTCCCGATACAGGGCATGAAAGAGTAGGGTCTTAAGAGTACTAGGGCGTCGGGGGAAGCCTTTTACGGCAACTAGATTGGACAAAGTGGCCGCCCAAAGTCAGCAAAATCAGCAAATTTCCGAGATTCGACCACTTTTTGACCAACTTGGTCGGAAAATCGTTGCGGTCAAAGGCAAAATCGTTGTGGTCAACGTCTTCCCGATGCAGGGCATGAAAGAGTAGGGTCTTAAGAATACTAGGACGTCGAGGGAGGCCTTTTACGGCGACTAGATTGGACACAGTGGCCACCCAAAGTCAGCAAAATCAGCAAATTTCCGAGATTCGACCACTTTTTGACCAACTTAGTCGGAAAATCGTTGCGGTCAAAGCCAAAATCGTTGTGGTCAACGTCTTCCCGATGCAGGGCATGAAAGAGTAGGGTCTTAAGAATACTAGGGCGTCGAGGGAGGCCGTTGACCGCAATTAGATCGGACGCAGTGGCCGCCCAAAATCAGCGAAAACGGTTACTTTCGTCCTATATATAGTAGGACTCTTTGACCAACTTTGTGACGTTACTGGTCCCAAACCCGAAAGGCTCCGGCAGATTTTTCTGCCTGTCTGCCCTGGCCAGTCCGAGCCTGGCGCCTTGCGAGTAGGCACTCCGAGCGCAGCGCTGTCGGCGGGACTGCTGACCGGCAGGGGCTCGGCCGCCGTCTTGGCTCGCCGTCTCGTCTCGTCTCTCTCGTCGTTACATCATCGGGTGGAGTGGGCGGGGGCGGGCGCACGGTGCGGTAACGGTACTGGAAGGCTTTCCAACAGAAGCAGTCCGCTCGTGGGCGGCGCCCACGGTACGCATTACCTAACGCGGCCACGGCGAGGAGCTAGGCCGAGGCTAGTCTTTCCAGCGTACCCCTCGAGTCCTCGCGAGAGGCTAGACAGCCCCTGCGAGGCCCTGCGAGGCTGGCAGGCAATCGCGCGTGAATTAAGGACGACCCCGGCGGCCCCGGCGTCCCCGGGACTCGACTCACCTCCCCGATGAGACTGCCGCTCTCCTCCCACTTGTTGGCGATGCGGATCGTCTCGGCCGTCTTCTCCTGGGTGGTCTTGCTCTCGTTCAGCAGCGTCAGCTCGTAGAACTCCTGGATGTCTGCAACAGAGAGACGGCGCGCGTGAAAAAAATAAAATGAAATACGTAGAGGGGGTCGGCTGAGTTCTCGATGCAATCCGGAGCCGCGCCGAGGCGAGGCGTGGCGTCCCAGCGGCACGGCGGCGCGGCGGCACGGCACTAGGAACAGGTGGGCCGTGTGCTGATTGTGAGAGGCCGGAGCCCCGGAATCGTTTCCCTGAGAGTCTGCGAGGAGCGGGGCGAGCCGGGGCGAGCGGGGGGAAGAAGGCGTTATTTCCTTTTATTCCCCGCTCGGCCGCTCAAGCCTGCGCTAGCGGCGCTAGCCTCGATGCGATACGGGATTACGGGATTCGGCTCGGGACTCCCAGAAGGATTATTGCTCGGGCAGACACATCGGGAAGGAGCAGGCAGCGCTGCAGCGGCCCGCCGCGAGGCTGGTGAAATCAAGACCCCCGCCGCGGTACGCGGTACCCACGCGGTACCCACCATCGCCTTCCAGGGGCCCGGCCGGCTCCAGGAGCCCGGACCTGCCCGTCCGCGGGGGCGGCGACGAGCTGCTGTAGTGGCCGCGGTAGAGCCGCTCCGGCGTCGTCGGCGACCTGGCGGGCAGCTCGTCGTGGACGTCCTGGAAGGGCGCAGGGGGCGCGACGCTGGCGTAGCGCAGGCAGCCGGCGAGCTCCACTTCGGCCTGGACCTCGGCGTGGACGCGCAGCACGCCGGCCGACGGCGACCTGGACAGCATGCCGACGACGAGGGGGGCGCGGCCGCCGCGGCACGTAGCCAGCGTGTCCAGGTCGGTGATGACGGCCGAGGCGGACAGGGCGACGGCGCGCTCGGCCGCCTGGTGGCGCTCCAGCTCCGCTGCATGTCGCAGGGCGGCGGCCGCGGCCTCGACGGCGGCCTCGGCGGCCTCGCGGCGTCGGCGGTGGCGGCGGTCCGAGTCCGCCTCGTCCAGCTGGCGGCGCACGCGCGCGCGCCGGCACTTGCTGCACCAGTCGGCCTCGACGCGGGCCTCGTCGCACGTGCTCTTCCGCCGCAGCGCGCACGCCATGTGGTACAGCGCCATGGCGGCGTCACCACGGCCTCCGCGACGGCCTCCACCACGGCCTCCACGACGGCCTCCGCGACGGCCTCCGCGCCGGCCTCCGCGCCGCGGCAGCCTCCTGGCCCCCGGGCATCGCGCGCTAATAGGGCAGCAAGGCGTCACGCTGGGGGTCCTGGGGGTCCTGGGGGTGGACTTGGCCGCCGAGGACCAGGCCCGCCAGGCCGCAGAAGTGGCAGCGAGGCGGCGAGGCGCCACCGAGCAGTAACTTTCTTCACAATCCCCCCTCATCTCTCTCTCCCCCTAGCCCGATTTGCAACCCCCGACCTCCCCCTCCCCGTCGTGTTAGTCTTTGCAATGATGACGAACTCCAACTTCGAGGACCCCCGGCACGGCACGGCACGGCACGGCCCGGCACCGCCCGGCGGGACTCGAACCAGGACGGTTCGGTCTGCCTGCAAGTTGATATCCCTAATGGGGGCCGCTAGGCCGGGACGCCAGACCGCCAGGAGAGAGGGGGAGGAGAAAGGGGGAGGGGGCAAAAGGTCAAACTCGCAACCACCATTCGGTGGGGTCAGCCGCGAAGCACGCTTCGTCACGCCCTGCGACACCGTGGTCACGCACACACACACACACACACCACCGCGACGATTACTGTCGAAAGCTCGACTCAACAAGCGGCTGCCGCTGTTGAAAGTTACCACCCCTCCCACACACACTTCCGCGATACCCGCCAACACCTCCATCCCCTTTCACCCACTTTGACAGTGGCGTGTCTCCGCAATCAATGACAGCAATGGAGCACCGCCGCCGCCGCAGAGTGCGCCGCGCGCCCCCCGTCCGTTTTAATTTGTTAATTGGATGAATAATGTATCGCCTGCTCAGAAAAACAGAGGCGCGGCTACGTGTTGTCGGTGTTGTTGATCCTCGCCTGGCGTGTGTGTACACACACACACACACACACACACACACACACACATCCGCGCCAACTCAGCGCGAAATCCGTGCCCTCTCCCCCTGCCCCCTCCCCTGGACAGACGTGTGCAAATGTGGTGCGTAAACACGCCACGGGCGGGCTTGGCTCGCTGCCGCCGTCGCGCTGGGTAAGTAAGGCTCGTACACACTCACACACATACACACACACACACACACACACAGCGCATTCGGCACGTCGTTCACGCTGCGCCTCCTCATCCTCCTTGTCATAATGGCGGCAGCTTGAGGAACCGACGGCAGCACACTGATTCCGAGAGCCCCCTTTTTTTCGACGCTGCTGCCTCTCTCGCACTCGTGCGGAGCGTCCCGTGAAGGTGCGAGGGAGGCAGAGCGACGAAAACGACTCTCGGAATCCAGTCTGCTGGAACCGCTCAGCCGGAAGCACGAGAAGAAGAAGAAAACGACGACGACGAACTCGTGGTGGCGGGGCGACAAAAAGAAGGTTCGCGACGTGGAGGGCGACGACGACGACGACGACCCTGCCGCCGCGCCTGCACTGCCAGCGCCAGCGCGGGGCGGTATAGGGACGCAGACGCGGTAGCAAACACGCGCTCGCGCAGCGACCCATTGCGCTGAGTGCTGTGTGTGGGTGTGTGCATGTGTGTGTGTGAGTGAGTGTTTGTGTCCAGCGTGCCTGCCCCCCTGTGTGTCCCTGCCGGGCTGTCGGGGCGCAGGGCGGCGCGGGGAGCCACCCGACAACCGACCGCAGACTACGCGGCGCCGCGCGCCGACGCGCCCCGCTGCTGCGGTGATCCTCTGCGGCGTCCTCTGTCCTGCCCTGCCCCCCCCCCCCCCCCCGCGGACTGATTGGGGCGCGCGTTGCGTTGCCTCGCGGGACCCGTCCACAATGAAACCGCACTGATACGACCTGGGGACGCGCCCGCCCCACCCCTTCCGCTCTTCCCTTGTTCGACGGCTACCTCCACCCCTCCGCGCTCATCCCTTCCGGGGGAACCGAACCGGGACCATCACGTCTGCCTGGACGCAAATAAAGCTTTCGTTTTCTCCGTTGATTTGGATGGCCCAGGGCCCCGGCCAGTCCAGTGGCCCTGCAGACTGATTGCGAGAGTCGTCGCTGTCTCTCTCGCAACTTTTACGGAAGGCTCCATGAGTGCGAGAGAGCGACTATGACGACTCTCGGAACGAGTCTGCTGGTCCTCGTCGTGGAGCACCAGAGGGAGAGGGACGGAGGAGGCGGCCCATCCCGGCGGCGCGCGGGCTGCCTCGACAAGTAGTGCCCGGCGGCACGGCCAGCAGACTGATGCCGAGAACCGTTTACGTCGCTCTGTCTCTCTCGCACTCAGACGGGACGCCCCACAAGTACGAGCGAGACAACGACGAAAACGACTCTCTGAATCAGTCTACAGCCCGGTGGCGGTGGACACAGACCGCGGGCACCACAACAAAACCCGAGAGCAGAGGACAGCCGGGTCGGCCGCTGCGTGCCTGGCGCGGCGTGGCGCGGCGTGGCCATGTCCAGGCGGAGGCCGTTAACTCGGCATCAAAATTCCCTCCCGGCCGTCGTGCCGTCGTGCCGCCCCAGGCCGGGGCCTCCAGGCCGGGGCCTCCAGGCTTCCTCCAGGACAGACGCGTGTCCTCCCGGCCGTTGACTGGAGCGCCCGTAAAGTCTGGAGCGCCGTTCAGGATCGCTGCCGCTGGCGGAACGGGCCGAACAGGGCGTGCTTCTGCAGCGGGCTGATGCGCCTTCTCTGTCGCACCCCTCCGGGCCGCGGCGCGAGAGCGAGAGAGACAGAGCCCTCCAGGCACGGCTCGGCAGGCCGGACACTGCCGGGCACAGCGGCCCCTAGCCCTGCTTGTGGTCGAGCTCCCCCCCCCCCTTTTTGTCCGTGGCAAGTCAAGGCTGATGCGTCCCCAATGCTGCGTGCCGCCGGCCGTGCCGCCCCCTCGCTTCGGAGCGCCGTCCCCGCGCTGCCCGAGAAGGCCCTCATCCCGGGGACCGATTCCGGGGGGCCGCTGTCGTCGCGCCGTCGCTCTCGCACCCGGACGGAGCGCCCCGTGAGTGCGAGAGCGACGGCGGGCGGGCGGGCCGCGAGGCGCAGCGCGACGCCGTCTCCCCTTCTTTCGTCCCCGGCTAGAGGCGGGGCCGCCGGGCCCGCCGGCCTGGGGCGCGTTCCGCCTCCAGCCCTTCAGGTGGGACCAGGGGTCTCCTTCTTGGGCCCGGGGGGCGTTCCCTCTTTCTTTCCCCACTCGGGGGGCAAAACGGCCGAGGGCAACGGGTGCGCGCTTCCCCACTCCATTCCACCCCCAGTACACCAAAAGGGGTTCACTTTTTCGAGCCACCACTTCTCCAGCACGCGTCCGATGGAAGGCCCACCCCGGCAAGTTCAAGCCGCGGCCCTTTGGGTGGGCAACATCCACCCCCTGGACTCGAAGCACCGCCAGCACCGCCACTGGGAGTGCGACGGAGACAGAGCGACAGCAGCGTGGTGCCAAGGCAGCAAGCCAGAGGTCCAGGAAGCCAGCGAAAGCCCTTGGCATTAAAAGTCACTCAGCAGACTCATTCCGAGAGTTGTCTTCGTCGCTCTGCCTCTCTCGCACTCCAAGGACGCTCCCTAGGTGGGAGAGAGACAGAGCGACGAAGCTGACTTCGTGAGGGACGCGGGCCGTCGCCGTCGGGGTTCTTTCTCTTCCGCGCTGCGCTGCGTCGAGATAGTGCCGCCCCGGACAGATTTGATTGATGCCAGGATAATGAACGACTCCAATTAGAGCAGCAAATCTCTTTGATGCCATCGGCGGCGCCATGTCGGCCCGCGCTGCGGCAGCAGACTCATTCCGAGAGTCTGTCTCTCTCGCACTCACGGGGTGTCCCGTCTAGGTGCGAGAGAGACAGAGCGACGACTCTCGGAATGAGTCGACAGCGCTGCGGCAGCGCTGCGGTGCCGTCTAGTCCGCGGGTATGCGGGTTATTCGATTCAGCAGCGCCGCGTGTTTTTCACAAACACTCGTGGTGTGCGAGTCAGAT